AATCCTTGACAGGCTTCCCTTGGGTTGGGTGGTGGATCTGACCACGTGATTTTGTTAAGTATTGTTCTCTGCCTTTCTTTCATCATGGCCTCGGGCACCTAGGCGCTGTCTGCCAGGAGCTCTGGTCTGGTGGGTATGGGGCTGGGGCCACACAGACAAAGAGATGATCACAGGAGTGTATGGGAAGTGTCATTACGCAGGCATCTTGGACAAGCATCTCGTGTGGGGTTAGGGTAGCGGACAGCGGGGTTTTTCCAGGGGAGGAGTGAGAGATGACTTGGGGGGCATCCCCTGAAGGGGATAGGACACAGAAGTCTGTGAAAGAACGGAGCTTGACATCCTTCGTTCAGGGATGTCAGTGTGAGCGATCAGGGTTGGGGAGGTAGCAAAAGGGAGGGACAGAGAATTTAATAATACAAATGACCACCGCTCGATATATTTCTGTTTAAGGGTGCTTTAGGTGGCGTGTTCTCAGTCAGGACACATTTCTATATTGAATGCAGTTTTATCATTCTTGTCACTGTGCTCAATATTTCCACTCCTTTTCCTTTTCTCTCCAAAGTTCCATTAGTGACTTGGACTCGGCATCGCATGTCTAAAACGAAATACATTAAAGAGAATTATAGCCAGTGAGTTGGCTGTCCTTTCTGTTCCCCTTTTCTGTCCAGACATGCATTTTGTTGTTTTTAGATCATAGGTTACTGTAAAGTACAGCATTCACAATACATAATTTAGAACTTTTTTGTGTAAATGATATATAAGACAGATAATTTCCAAACTTAATGAAAAAGCAGTTATTTCCTGAGCCTTCTGGGAATTAATCAAAACCAACTGAGATTAATTAACATGTAGAAAAGGTCAGCTGAAGTTATTATTTATGCTGACATTTAGATTGTAGTTTAGAAATTGTATAATATCTAGAGTAAATAGATATGCCTTCAAAGTGCCCCTAAATGGTTGGTGCCCATATGATTAGATTTTATATTTTATTGTTGTCTTTTCTGTCACACTTATGCATACATTTAAGCTTCCTTGAAAATTCTAAGCTTATAGTATTTTTATGGGTGCTCAAGGAATAGCAGCTATTCTAATGATAATGAAAACGCATGAAGAGAAGGAAAAGTACAAATGAAGTATGATTTTGACTTATAAAATGTAGGCAGATGTTAAAGGTTGTCAGTAATAAAAAAACGAACGAGGAAGAAAGCATCGAGTCCAGGGTCAGCTTGGTGTTAGGGGATTGGCTGAGTGGACAGACCCCATTTTCGGTCATATGGAGCATTTATAGGGACAGAGAAGTTATGGAAGTTTGCTTAAGTGGTACCCAGGCAGTAGCAGCTCCAACTTGAGCTTTAAGTAGTTTCAACAGGATGCACTCTGACTGTTTATCCAATGGGGGTTGAGCACATGAGGAGCTCTGGGGCTCATGCTCAGGGCTGAGCCCCATGACTGGCCCTGGTTTCAAGAGGGTGGCCGCTTAACAGAACAGTCTCACTCGCCCCCTTGTGGGATTTCATTCATGGGATTCCTGAGATTGGGTCACCAGAATGGTGCTTACACACTGATTTCAGATGGTTCAAATTTTTATGTAGATGGGACTCTTGAAAAAATCTTTTCCCCCTGGGCCCCACACACCCAAAGGATGGCTCTACATTCTAGGGGCCTGTGCACGCTTTGTGGTTTTCGTTATTCAGTCACTAAGTCATGTCTGACTCTTTGTGACCCCATAGACTGTCGCCCCCAGGCTCCTCTGTGCATGGGATTCTCCAGGCAAGAATACTGGAGTGTGTAGTCATTCCCTTTTCCAGGGATCTTCCCAATCCAGGGATTGAATCTGAGTCCCCTGCATTGGAGGCAGGTTCTTTACCACTGAGCCACCTGGCAAGCCCCATGCACGCTTGGAGCTGAGCACTAATGATTCAGAACTGCCCAGAGCTTTAAGAGATCTGATCTGAACAGATCTCCCCTGAAATCCACTTAGCTTTTCTCTCCACAGATCAAGACTTCACTTGCTTACTAAATGCAGTTATCCAGGTTCTCTGGCAGGGAAAGGGGAGATTCAATGACTTTTCTTAAATATTTGGAAAATTTTTAGAAAACACAAAGAAATGGCAGGTGAATAGTCTGACTTCGGATGGATACAGAGTGTTTTCAGGCTGTAATGAAATAGAGCACAGACTCTGAAGCTGTTAGACAACACAGCTAGACATGTGTGTGTATAGTACATGGTGTCATGTGGCCAGATCACCCTGCATTGGCGAAATCACTGTTATAAACTTCTCATTAAAAAGCTTCTCTTTACCTTTTCTAGAGGTGTTAAGACTGCAAAGTGAGTTATTAAAAAAAAAATTTGAATCTAAGATACTCTCTGCTCACATCAAATTATAGAGATTGAATGCGGAGGCTGGAAGTATCATTTAGAAACCCTGACTTTAGATTCTAAAGTTCATTCAAAGAGCCTCATTATTCTCATACATTGGTTATTTTATAAAAATAAATTTGAAGTATAAAATCAAGTAATATGTCATAAACATTGCATTTGATAGCATTCCTTTTTGCAAAGGTCAAAAATCACTTGCCAGGGTCCAGGTAGGGTGTTTCTGGAGTGGATAGATGGTCAGATTGGATCACCAAGCCTGAGAGCTAGTTACCACCACATAAACCCTTCATTCATTCATTCATTCCTGAGCCAAAGGCCATGGCAGGTGGTAGATAGAAGACTTAAATGGTGAACAGATGTCCCCACCGTCATGGTGCTAGTATCTCACTGGAGAGCAGACAGTGAACTGATGAGCAAATACATAATTGTAAAACTGTGAGGGGCTTCCCTGGTACTCCAGTGGTTAAGACTCTAATGCAGGGGGCGCAAGTTCGATCCCTGGTTGGGGAACTAAGATCCCATAGGCTGTGCAGGAGGGCCAAAAGTTAAAAAAAAATGTGAAATGCTAAGATCTTAAGAAGGAAGTAGACAGAGTGCCCTGCTGGAGACTAATGGGGATGTGGATGCACTGAGAATCCTCCTTCCCCGGTGGCGGTTCGGGTGAGACTCACGTCACGGGCAGATCTAGAGAAAGCCTTCGGGGAAGTGCTTGCACCCAGGCCCTGGGACAGATAAGAGCAGCGTGGCGGACGCGGTGAGTGTGGGGCGGGCACAGCACGGGGTGCAAGGGAATCTGAGGCCACAACCCGTGAGGCCTGGAAGGTGAGGAGCACGGGGTTTACTTTGCTTGCAGCGGGAAGGCAAGGACAACTTGAAAAGCAGGACCATGCCGTGATCTGATTTTCTTTTATGTCACTCGGAGAAAGGCCAGGAGGCTTTTCTAGGCTCCAGCCATTTGGGAGCCTATAGTGCAGGTCTCACTGATGCTGGCTGCACCGGTGTGGCAGCAAGGCAGCAGACAGTGAGGTGGGGAGGTTTCAGGTCTCTTTTGGAAGTGAAATAGCTAGGAATTGAGCATGCATTAAATTTAGTGTGGGAGAAAGGAATAGCAAGGGTGACCCCTACTTTTCTGGAGCTGGAGAAGGTGAATGGAAGATCAGATCTGGGGAGAAAAATTAGAAGTTCTATTTTGCATTATTTTTTTAAGCTGCAGATACCATTATATTCGGGGCTTCCCTGGTGGCTCAGATGGTAAAGAACTGGCCTGCAATGCAGGAGACCTGGGTTTGATCCCTGGGTCAGGAAGATCCCTCTGAAGAAGGGAATGGCCACCCACTCCAGTATTCTTGCCTGGAGAATTTCATGGACAGAGGAACCTGGAGGGTCACAGTTCATGGGGCCGCAAAGAGTCTGACACAACTGAGTGACCAGCAGAAATGACCATTGTATTCAAGGAGATGTCAAGGAGGAAGTTTCATCTGGAAACTGATCAGAGAAACTGATGTTGCCTACTTCAGAATACAAAGAGTTGTGAAATTCGCTCTTGTAATTGAACATGCATTTGTGGCATCAGTGCATCTAAATGCAAAGGGGGAACAGGCTTAAAGAGAGCAGAGCTGTCCTCCTCTTTGTCCCAGAGATGTTGCCCCTGTGTGTTCAGGGGGAGAGCTGAGTTCCTGAAACTTCTTTGCCTAAAAGAAAAGGTGATATTTTCATTCCTGGAAAGAAATTAGATTGCATGAAAGTAATGGGACGTGGAGAGCCAGCTTCCAAATTAGGGATAAGAGAGCAGATAAAATCAGCTAAAAAAGAAATGTTTCTCTCTGAAAGGGCAGGCCAATCATTAGCCATTTGAAGGAAATAAAAGATCTGGCAGTTCTTCCTTACTCTTGTGTCACTAACATAATGTTAATGAGACTTCGTTTAAAAATTACTTACTTCAGGGCACTTCCCTGGTGGTCCCCTTGTGATGCGGGGGATGTGGGTTCGATCCCTGGTCGGGGAACTAGGATCCCACATGCCACAACTACTGAGTTCGTGTGCCATGACTGGAGAGTCCATGCGTGGCAACTAAAACACGATGCAGCCAAATAAATTTTTTAAACATTACTTACTTCACTGAACAGCTCAAGATTTACAAATTTCAATGACAGAATGAAAATAATAAGAGGGCTTCCCTGGTGGCTCAGAGGTAAAGCCTCTGCCTGCAGTGCGGGAGACCCAGCTTTGATCCCTGGATCAGGAAGATCCCCTGGAGAAGGAAATGGCAACCCACTCCAGTACTCTTGCCTGGAAAATTCCATGGGCTACAATCCATGGGGTCGCACAGAATTGGACACAACTGAGTGACTTCACTTTCACTTTTTCCGTCAGTATGTAGATGTGTGTGTGTGTACATGCAGTAATTCAAGTTTATTGTATAGCTTTGATTCAGATTGAAAAAGGCAACATTTTCTTTCTTTTTTGGTAATTAATTCATCATTTGTCCTTCTCTTATTAAAATTTGCTGCATCTTTAATTTTCCAGTCTTCTGTAAACCCGAGTCACCTTATATTTGTGTTAGAAAACTCTACTTAAGGCTCATCCACCCCTCCCTTACCTTTTAAATCTTTCTTCTTAGGGTCAACCGGGACCACCAGGGCCACAGGGTCCTATTGGACCCCTGGGACCCCCAGGACCCATTGGGATCCCAGGAGAGAAAGGGATGAAAGGTGACAGTGGCCGTCCTGGAGCAGCAGGTGACAAAGGTGACAAGGTAAGCCTCTTCTTAAGTGAAAATTATTTAACCACTCACCAGCTTTGCTATACCAGATTTTTTTTTTTTTTTGTATATTCTCAAGTTGTACCTTATAAAAATTAAGCCTGAACTCCTCTTGTATAATCAGCCCTCATTCCTAGCCCCCTTTCCAGAGGAGCGTGCCTCTCTGGATGTTTTCTAGATACTTAAAGAGAAGAGCATGTCAGGCTTCCTGGTGGCTCAGTGGTGAAGAATCCGCCTGCCAATGCAGGAGACACGGGTTCGATCCCTGATCTGGGAAGACCCCACATGCCGCAGAGTAACTAAGCCCGTGTACCGCAGCTACTCGGCCTGTGCCCTAGAGCCCAGGAGCCGCATCTACTGAAGCCCGAAACCCCTACAGCCTATGCTTTACAACAAGAGAAACCACCACCGCGAGAAGCCCGAGCATCACAACTCAGAGAGTAGTCCCCACTTGCCACAGCTGGAGAAAAGCCTGTGCAGCAACGAAGACCTTGCACAGCCCCAAATAAAATGAATACATAAAATGATATGAAAAAACTCGAATGTATCCAGTGAGGAGTGGTTTTCTTTATGACTTTTTAAAAAGCCTAAATGATACTACAGGTACCATGCCAAGTCTTTTTTCACTCAATCACATGGCTTAGAAATCACTCCATATCAATTGTTGTATTGAACTTGTTCCTTTGGAAACTTTGTATAATATGGATGTAAAACTGTTCTTTATTCTCTGTTGAGAATTTGAGATCTTATTGTAGTGTGAGTGTGCAAAAACGGTCCTGTCAATTACCCATGTTTCATTTAAGGTTTTCTTTCTCTAGGATAAAGAGATTCTGGGAAGTTGAATTTCTAATTATCCAGTATTGTATTCTTTGAACTGATACTGCCATGTTGGCTTCCTAAGTACAAAAAGAAGGGAACAAAATGCTGATTTCTAACTGTTGGCATTTGAGCTCCTTAATGTAAAAATAGATGACAGTGCCCATTAAGAGTTGTTTTTTTTTTTTAAAGCAAGCCATTAATTACTAATGCTTTTAAGTAAATCAACTGGTTAATCTCATAATTTAGTAACTTTTATATCTTTGTTTTATTTTCTGGGATTTTAGGGTCCAACTGGAGTTCCTGGATTTCCAGGTCTGGATGGGATACCTGTAAGTATCCTTAAGTTTTCTCCATTTTGGGGGGGGGAAGATACTCATCAAAGCCTTAAAGTCACATGATCTAATGTATTTATATGATATATATTATATAGTAACTGAACAAAAAAAACAGCAAATGGCAAACTTTTCTTTATTTTTTTATTTTCATAAATGGCAGGGTATGTGCATTTCAATTTTGTGTAATAACTCTGAGACCAAAACACTTTACTTGAAGAACAATGTTTTCAAACTGATTAGAGAAAAACGTTTTAGAACATGAGCTAGATATACTTGTCAGTTCAAGTATAATTTTCTGGAAATAAATTTATTCTCATTATGAAATTTTTTACTAGCTGTGAGTCCTAATGGTGGGAGTGGGCTTAAAGCTCTCATTTCTAATGTGAAAATCAAAGGAAAGAAGAAAAAGGTATTTGGGGATGGTTATAATTCATTAGAGTCTTTCTAAGGATTTCAAGGAAAATTTCCTCCGAAATCTCTGAAAATATTCCAAACTAAATGAATTTAAATTGGAGTGTATGAAAATTAATTCATGTCTTCCCAGGTGGTGCTAGTGGTAAAGAACCCATCTGCCAATGCAGGAGACATAAGAGACATGGGTTCGATCCCTGGGTCAGGAAGATCTCCTGGAGGAAGGCATGGCAATCCACTCCAGTGTTCTTGCCTGGAGAATCCAATGGACAGAGGAGCCTGGCAGGCTTCAGTCCATGGGGTCGCAAAGAGTCCCAAGAGTCGGACATGACTGATGTGACTTAGCATGCACATATGCACTGTACTACATAGTATTTGTGGGTGGGAAAGGAAGATTCACAAAACTGAATAACATATGAGTCATAAAGGCCATAATCTGGGAACACATATTGCATAACCGTTTTGTTATGATTGGGTCAGTTCAGTTCAGTTGCTCAGTCGTGTCCGACTCTTTGCGACCCCAGGGACTGCAGCATGCCAGGCCTCCTGTCCATCACCAACTCCCGGAGTTTACTCAAATTCATATCCATCGAGTTGGTGATGCCATCCAACCGTCTCATCCTCTGTTGTCCCCTTCTCCTCCCGCCTTCAATCTTTATATTCTTGTAAAAGTACTTCGCCTATAATTTTGTTTTCTATAGGGACACCCAGGGCCTCCTGGATCCCGAGGCAGACCGGGCATAGATGGCTACAATGGCTCAAGAGGTGATCCAGGGATGCCAGGAGAAAGAGGAGCTCTTGGCCCACGAGGCCCCCCAGTAAGAGAGCCACAGCTCATTTTAGTGGGGATCAAGTGAAAAGAGCCTCCAGTGGGAACAGACTTGATGTGTTCAAGAAACAGAGTTATTACAAGTATCCCGGGAGCCTGGTGAACGGATGGGGGTGATTGGAGGATGAGAACAGAGAGCTGACATAACAGCTGTCTCAGTAGATGACTTGGGGCCTTGTAGACTGTGGAAGGAGGCTGGGTTTTCTTTTCCATGGCATGGGAAGACACTGGATGGTTTTAAGGAAGGAAGTGATCTGATCTGACTGATGTCCTACCAAGATGTTTCTGGTTGCTGGATAGAGAATGGATAGTAGGGGAAGGGAGGCCAGTTAGCAAAACTGAGCTTGTTTATCCTTCAGGGTTCACTGCAGCCACTTCAACCCCTCTAGGTATTTCAGACAGAGAAGAATTTAATACGGGGAATTTGGCACTTAATATTAACGGTTGGAGGATTAAAACTCTGGGGTCACTGCAAGATTTCAGGGGCTCACACATAGCTGAGATCCAGAAGTTAGAAGCCGCTCCTACACCTCAACCACTGCCTCTCATCCCCACTTCAAGACACCAGCAAACACTTAGGTTTCTATCTTCCTGCTTGGCAGCATCGACAATATCAGAAGAGGATGTTTTGCTCATTTCTGCCTCCCAAATCTCAGAAGTACATCACCCAGGTGGACCCTACTTCATAGCCAGCTGCAAAGCAGTCTATGAAATGTAGTGTTTAGCTTTCTAGCCCCCATAATGCAAAAGAAATAAATAAATGACAGGAGTTTGGAGTGGAGGTTCAGAAATAGTTGACAGTATCCAGCACTTGAGATCTTTACCGCTCTTAGTGTTTTTTTTTCCTTCAAAAGTTTGCATTTTTATTTAAATGTAACTTTAGTGAGAATGACTCTTTCCTCTACCACTTATATCCCATTTCTCTCTTTTCTCACTTAAAGAAAGACTGGAGATGATTTGGCCTTTCAAAACTGATTTTCTGTGCCTGTTTTTCAGCCTTTCTGCTTCCCTAATTAAATAGCATCGCCCAAGATTCCTTCTAAAAGGTTTTCTCATCACCACTTTCATCTTACTTTCTTGTATGCATTTTCCTTTTGCTCCAGATCCTAGTGGAAATGGTCTGAACACAGAACTCAAAAAAAATATTTCCACATTCACCTTTTTCTTGTGGTATCAAGTAACAACCAACTTCCATGGTTAAGCTTCTCAACCACCATTTGTTTTCAAACTCAGCCCCTTGAACATGCAAGTGCAGTCTGGTGAATGCACATTTAAGATCTTCAAATTGGATCACACCGCATTCTACTGAGCATCCATGAACATCTGAGAGAGCAGGGTTCTCAATTTTAGCTTTAACACAGCAGATTGTTCTAATCACAGTACTGAAGTTTGTCATAATAGTCTCTTTGAAAAGTGATTTTTTTTCCCTTGACCCATTTCATATATGGGTGGTCCTCACTTTGCCCAGAAGTTGAGACTTTAAGAATGGCATGGAATCCAAAGGCACACAAAGCAACCTTAACATCCAATGGGAAAATTACTATTGTTCTGTGACCTTTAAGATATTTCATTAAAACTTCATAAATATATAGGGGTAATTTTGAAAACTAATATTTATTTATCACATTGTAATCTAAAACATTAAAAACATTGAGAATTAAAGGGTTTTCTTTCTTTGTAAAAACTTATTAAAGACAGTTTGAATTGGGCTTTTCTCCTCCTGGTCCTGTAACTTAGGACATGAAGTGGAGGGGTTTTTTGTGCTTTGGTGAGTATCACCCTCTTTTCTAAGTTTGGACCAGTTTTTAGTGTGGTGAAATATCTCTAAGAGTTTCTTTAATATGAGGTCTTCTGTCTGTGTCACTCCCTCTGGTACATCTTCATTCTTTTAGTCACAACCGCTTCCTTCTTCTATGTGGATATGTTTGCCTTCACTGAAGCCCTCTGGCTTGAAAGACAGTAGTGACAACACTCTCACAATAGCTCCTTTTTTCCATAACTCCACTTACATTCTGTTTGAATTTCGCCTCCAGTACTAGCATTTTTCATTTCCTTTTCATCTTTGTTAGCCAATTCTCTCTTTCAATGATTTATTTTCATGAAATGTCACTTGGGTGTCTCACTGGGAAGGAAGCAAGAGGCAACGCAGGTACACACTTCGCTGTGTGTGAGCTAACAGATGTTAGCGACCAGTCACGGGTGGACTTTGAAAGGAGTGATATGATCCCTTGGTGGTCTTCATTCACCTGTTACTTATATAGCGATCGGTGGACCATTGAGCTAGCAGTAATGTTTGTGTTGTATGTGTTGGCTCAGTTAATACACAGTGGTAACTGAAATTTGAAGCAATTGGTTGGAGGACTGGTGTGATATAACTTATTTGTGGAACTGAAACACAGTTCAGTTATGTGTTGGAACTGTGAGAAGCCACAATTGTCTGTATAAGAAACTCTGATTTCTCAAGGAAACTGGTGGTGTAATTTACCACAAAACTCTTTAGTTACCTCCATTTGGAAACAAAGTTAAGCATTCTCCTAACAGGGCTTAACTTTGAAACTTGTATGTGCTTCATAGAAATGTGTTATAATGGCACCTCACTCCAATATTCTTGCCTGAAAATTCCATATACAGAGAAGCCTGGCAGGCTGTAGCCCAAGGGGTCACAAAGAGTCAGACATGACTGAGTGACTGAGCAACCAACTTCAGATGTACTAAGATATTAAGTAGGACAGTTCAGTTCAGTTCAGTCGCTCAGTCGTGTCTGACTCTTTGCGACCCCATGAACTGCAGCACTCCAGGCCTCCCTGTCTATCACCAACTCCCGGAGTCCACACAAACCCATGTCCATCGAGTCGGTGATACCATCCAGCCATCTCATCGTCTGTCGTCCCCTTCTCCTCCTGCCCTCAATCTTTCCCAGCATCAGGGTCTTTTCCAATGAGTCAACTCTCCGCATGAGGTGGCCAAAGTACTGGAGTTTCAGCTTTAGCATGAATCCTTCCAGTGAACACCCAGGACTGATCTCCTTTAGGATGGACTGGTTGGATCTCCTTGCAGTCCAAAGGACTCTCAAGAGTCTTCTCCAACACCACAGTTCAAAAGCATCAGTACTTCAGCGCTCAGCTTTCTTAGTAGTCCAACTCTCACATCCATACATGACTACTGAAAAAACCATAGCCTTGACTAGACAGACCTTTGTTGACAAAGTAATGTCTCTGATTTCTAATATGCTATCTAGGTTGGTCATAAAAAATATTAAATAGGGAAACTTTGGGGTGAAAGTACATTAAGCTGTTTTGTTCACTTTTAAAAATTACTCTAAGTAAACGAACTTGCAGCTACATGCAAAAACCTTCTAAAAGAAACAGGTTATCTTTTTTAAAAGTTAATCTTACAAAGGGTACCTAGGCTCTGTTTTGAATACAAATAGTTAAATGGATAAAATAATTTTTTTGCTATTTCTTTGCAATTATTAATTGACAACTTCAGTGTTATTTACTTATAAGAATAATCCAAGTGCTATTGTACTTTATGTTGTAAGGAAAAATGCAATTTTCCTGCTGAATAATTAGAAGATAGCTATAAATGTATTAGCATTATGTATAACTGATATAAATATATAATTTATTTGTAATGTATAATATATATTTGTAATATGTTTATGAATATATTAGTAGATATTCCATCTTAAGAGATTCCTTAATAGATGCAAATATTGAATAAGTATATATGAGTAACTGAGGATGATAATAATAATGAGAATAAAATAATCTCCACTAGTGAAATATGATTATAACAGTAATTTTATTGGTAATATTTCAGTTGCAAAAGAAAATACAGAAATAGTAATATGCTCTTTTCCTCTCTCAAGTGAATATTTTGTTTTCAGGGCCTTCCTGGAGAAAAAGGAGAAAAAGGAAATTCAATGTTCATTTTAGGTGCCACTAAAGGTATGCAGGTAAGTGTTATGATCAGCGTGGATTTCAAATGAATTTTTTTCCATACAGGTAAACCCATGCAGAAAACACATGGCCTGATATTTCCTTTGGAATGCTACAACATGGATGAACCCTGTGGTCATTATGCTGAGTGGAATAAGCCAGTCACAAAAGGACACAAAATGGGTGATTTCCACTTAGAGGAGGTTTTTAGAGTAGTCGAATTCATAAAGTCAGGAAGTAGAATGATGTTTGTCAGGGGCTGGAGGGAGGAGGACTAGGCGTCTCATATTTAATCAGTACAAAGTTTCCACTGAGGAAATGAAAAGTTTTGACAATGGAAGTTTTTGGTGATGGTTGCATAATGTGGTGAATGTATTTAATGCCACAGAACGTGCACTTAAAAATGGTTGAAATATTAAATTTTACCATATTTATGTTTTACAATGTATTTTGCATTTTGAAAAAAAAAAGCCCATATTCAAGAGAATAAATACCCCTTGATTTTTTTTTAGGGTAGGTAAAGTCTCAGGACAGAGTCACGAAACGGTAGATGAGCACAAAGGCAGGTGTGAGGGAATTGCAACACAAATTCCCTTTACACCTGCTCTGGGCTGATAACAGCATCAGTTAAGGCAGCCAAGGTCTGCCAGTCAGAAGAGAGACGGTTCAACGCTGATGAAATGGAACCTTTCAAGTGAGGCTTTAGAAATGAAAGAAGAAATCCCCTTTTAAAAAATTGGTATTTTATTTTTATTGGAGTATAGTTGCTTTACAATGTTGTGTTAGCTTCCACTGTACAACAAAGGGAATCAGCCACATGTGTACACATTCCCTCCCTCCTGGACCTCCCCCCACCCCACCTCCCATCCCGCCCCTCTGGGTCATCACAGAGCTCCAAGCTGAGCTCTCTGCTCACAGCAGCTTCCCACTAGCTGTCTCTTTTACACCTGGTGGTGGATATATCTCAGCCCTAATCTCCCCATTCGTTCCACCCTCCCCTCCCACCGTGTCCACATGTCCATTCTCCACGCTGTGTCTCTATTCCCACCCTGCACATTGGTTCCACATCCTCACGACTTCAGCGATCTTTCCCTGGTTCTGGTTGGTTTCGACTGAGTGGAAGTGCATTTCGGGGCTTAAGAATAAAATCAGGAAAGCGCCTCCACAGAGCCCTACCCACAGCTGTCTGTCCTACACTGACGAATTGAACAAACTGCACGGACTGTCCAGATAATTCCTGCCTGTGTGTGTTTCTTCTTTTATGTCCTGTGTGTTTTAGGGGAGCGGTGTTGCTCTTCTAATGCAATGTACCACTACTGTTGCAGGGCGACAGAGGGGACCCAGGACCTCCCGGCTCACCAGTAAGTCTTCGGGGCAGGCCCTGAGCTTGTTTGCTCCCCAAATAACCTATGGTCCCCACTTGTAGGTTAGTAGGTCCCCACAACAACCCCATTAGCAAGACAGGTTACCTAAATTTGCAGGGCCCACTCTTGTTCAAAAATTATTACAGATTTCAAGATGACGACAGTAGAGCTTTAAATCAAACATGAGGCCCTACGTGACTGCGCTGATCACAGGCCCACAGAGCCATCCTTGCATCTCAGCTGGCTCCCGCTTACCTGCCTCTTCCGTCTTGCCGTGATCATTTGGTATTGCTCAAGTAGCCACAGTCACTTAATATGTAGGAAAACATACCTCTTTGAAACTACCTAAATCATATATGTCCAGTGAAAGCGATGTTGCCTGCTGAATCAGTAATTGTATATGGTGTTTAATATTTTGCACCATCTTCTTGTTCCTGGAATATGTAATTCAGTGATTAAACTTGTTCCAATTCATCAGTGTTCACAAGATTAAAACTGAAAGCAGTTTTGCCTCCTGATGGTTCACCGTAATTTCATTTGGTGACTTCTGGCTGTTGATGGGATTATTTCCCAGGTTGGTTCTCTTCCTACTTTAGAAGCTCATTGCTATGTTTTCAATGAGATACCTCAGCGTTGATGTTAAAATAAGTAGCAGTTCATCCTCTAGGAGAGAGGAATGCCACAGCATGCTCACAAATCATTGGATGTGGGCAGGGTGAGCTTGAGAACAGAGTGCCTCTGTTCACACTTCTGAAACTGCCCAGCTATTACCTTTCCTTGTGAATTTTGTTGAAGGCTGCATTGCCTTGATCTTGAATTGGGTACATTCCTATTCACGTTGATCTTTTAGGCATGTTGAAAGAATAGAGTATAACTACATTAATGTTTTAATTTAATGTTCAGTTCAGTTGCTCAGTCATGTCCGACTCTTTGTGACCCCACGGGCTGCAGCACGCCAGGCCTCCCTGTCCATCACCAACTCCTGGAGTTTACTCAAACTCATGCCTATTGAGTCAGTGATATCATTCAACCATCTCATCCTCTGTCGTCCCCTTCTCCTCCCGCCTTCAATCCTTCCCAGCATCAGGGTTTTTTCCAATGAGTCAGTTCTTTGCATCAGGTGGCCAAAGGATTGGAGTTTCAGCTTCAGCATCAGTCCTTCCAATGAATATTCAGGACTGATTTCCTTTAGGATGGACTGGTTGGATCTCCTTGCAGTCCAAAGGACTCTCAAGAGTCTTCTCCAACACCACAGTTCAAAAGCATCAATTCTTCGGTGCTAAGCTTTCCTTACAGTCCAACTCTCACATCCATACATGACTACTGGAAAAAACATAGCTTTGACTAGATGGACCTTTTTCGGCAAATTAATGTCTCTGCTTTTTAATATGCTATCTAGGTTGGTCATAATTTTTCTTCCAAGGAGTAAAGGAGTCTTTTAATTTCATGGCTACAGTCACCATCTGCAGTGATTTTGGGGCCCCCCAAAACAAAGTCTCGCACTGTTTCCCCATATTTGCCATGAAGTGATGGGACCAGATGCCATGATCTTCATTTTCTGAATATTGAGTTTTAAGTCAACTTTTTCACTCTCCTCTTTCACTTTCATCAAGAGGCTCTTTAGTTCTTCTTTGCTTTCTGCCATAAGGGTGGTGTCATCTGCATGTCTGAGGTTATTGATATTTCTCCCGGCAATTAAAAGCATCTTGATGTCTATTGAAAGTTATATGTGGGACAAGTTTTCTCTGATCTCTGGGTCTTAATTTAATCTCAAATGTAGGGGTTAGGCACCCCCACCTGAGCACTGCTGCCTGCCTGCTCTGTGCCCTTTCCCCAACTGTCAGGGCTGCTGTCTAGGACGACCCAAGAGGGCAGATGTGTCTGGAACTGACTTCTTCAAGGTCTTTATCTACCTGCGATTACATGTAGCTCTTGCAAGAACAATGCTTATGGTTTTTGGTAACAAAGGCTCTGATTTTTCTCCTGTCTAGGGATCAAGGGGAGTGAGAGGCCCAGCAGGCCCAGTGGGGTATCCGGGAGAACCTGGGTTAGCAGTAAGTACCGCATTGCTGATGCTGTTTCTCAAGAAGCCCTGACCTGATGTTTAAATAAAGCAGAAGAAAGCAGAATTGCAGTCTTGGGTCAGGCAGAGGTGGGTCCTTTGTGAGACCTGATGAATCAGCACACACCCACCATTATGAGAGCCAGTCCATTCTGAAGCACAGATCCCCGCTTGGGGTGGCATTGAGGCGGGGACAAGCAGCCCCGCTGTGGTAGGAAGTCCATTGTGCATGTTTCAAAATTAAGGGTTTCCTAAAGAAGAGCTTGGGGACACCCAACAAGGACACATTCTGATTTCTGTGACTGATGAGTGATTTGTGTGTTTTTGCTGTTGATTTAGGGACCTCCAGGCCCCGCTGGGAGTCCAGGCTTGAAGGTAGGCAGCCATGAGTAAGGTACACAAGTGAAGTCCATGTCCAACAAGATAAGTGACTGCTGATGTTTGTCAGAATCATGTCTTCCCTCTTTAAAATTCCCGAAGTATTTAATTAATCATTGTTTAGTCGCTCAGTCGTGTCTGACTCTTTTGCGACCCCATGGACTGCAGCCCCTCCAGGCTCCTCTGGCCATGGGATTTCCCAGGCAAGAATACTGGAGTTGGAGTGGGTTGTGATTTCCTTCTCTAGGGGATCTTCCCAAGTCAGGGATCGAACCCAGGTCTCCTGCATCGCAGGTGGATTCTTTACCACTGAGCCACCGGGGAAGCCCTATTTAAGACACTTCAACAAATTACCTAGCCAGAAGTCTTACTTGTTTGTAGTTATTCTTTAATATTCAAAAGCGATGAGTTTCTGTTTTGTTTTCTTTTCCAGGGTGATCCTGGCTTGGGAGTAAAGGGACAGATGGGAGACCCGGTAAGAATCCCGTTCTGCACAGAGGAGCAGGCGTTAAAATGCATGAACTGCCCGTGTCTAGGAGGCAGTTCTGATTATCACTTAACTTGTGTTCATCGTCTCAGCACTGTCCAGTTTTGTGACCAACGATTTGTCTTTGCTGACTTACTAGGTTATCCTTACCCTTGGCTGTAGAATGACAGTTGTGACAAAATCTAATAGTAAATTCAAATTAATTTATATGGCACACTTCCTCCTAGGCCAAAGAGATGGAATGATTCTGGGAATACATCCAGAGTAACAATTATGTTTAATTACAGATTTGTTTGACTTAATTTTACAAATTTCATCGGAATCCGAAACTTCACACAGAAGTAAAAACATAAATAGCTGCAATCCAAGGCATTTAGCCACACGTTCTTCCACTCCCTCCACCCTTCACGCTTATAGTCCTTTCTGCTGAAGAAGGACACTAAATAAGGACAAGCTTTAGCAAAGTGCTTTATGGTGGCTGTTCATCTAGAAGCAATCTGCAGTGTTTAAGAGTTGGTGAGGGGCTCTTTTTTAAAACTATTTGTTTATCTGTCTGTGTTGGGTCTTAGTTGCAGCACGTGGGGTTGTGGTTTTGTCATGTGGGATCTTTCACTGCAGCTCATGGGCTCAGTAGTTGCAGACTGCAGGCTTAGTTGCTTCCAGCATGTGGGATGCTAGTTCCCCAACCAGGGATCAAACCTATGTCCCCTGGGTTGTAAAGTAGATTCTTAACCACTGGACCATCAGGGTAGTCCCTGGTGATGGGCTCTTTCAACAACTCTGGGTAAAAAGATACTGAGCATCCACCCTGTGCCAGGCTAGGTTTGGTCCTGGGGGTGGGGCTTTAGTGAGACAGACCTGATCTCCCCTCTCCTGGGGTCCCAGCAGCATGGGGTTGGGTAAGTTACTGTACATCCATTTAACAGAAGGACTTGCCAAAAATATATTGGAAGACATCATGATGTGGGGAAGTGCAATGCTAGGCAGAAAGTACAGGTGACAAAAGGCTAAGCTCAACTTTGTAAAACCAAAACCACAACAAAAATTATTAAAATCTACATGTAGAGTAGCATTTCTCAACCTCCGCAATGCTAATGTATTATCGTGGGGCTCTCCTGTGCAATCTAGGATGTTTGGCAGCATCCCTGGCCTCTACCTGCTAGATGTTGCTCAGATTCCTTCCGCTTCATTGTGACAACCAAAATGTCAAATGATCTTGCCAAATATTCCTGGAGGGAGGCACATCCAAACTCTCCCCTCCCTCCTCATGCCCCCCGACTCCTAATCTTGAGAACCACTAGCTTAGAGAAATGACTGGGGAAAAAAATAGATGATAACAATGTTTTCCAAACTTGGAATCTGTTTGTCAGAACCTCTAAACCTGTGCACCCCATTTTGAGAAATCTCACACAGGGAGGAAGCATTGCCAAGTTAGAGAACTCAGCACCAACACAGTTACACATGTTTGCAAACTCAGGCCGTTACTCCTATAGTAACATGGAAATATTTGACTATGAGGTGGCTGTTCAAATTATCCGAAATACACTTTTAAGAATTTCTTCTGGATTGTTAGGTAAATAAAGGCATCATTTTAAAATGTTGGTGCAGAGCTCTCACAATGCCCAAAACCATGTTGCCCACTCCATTTTCAGAGCAGACTGTCCTAAATGGTTGTTACTCAAATTTTCCTAGGGGGTATGATTATGGATCATTTACATTTTGTTCTTCATAATTTATCTTTTTGTACTTTTGACTGAAGTGAATATATGGTACTGTCACAATATTTAAAAAAAAAAAAACCAGTAGCATGACCAACATTTGGAAGAGGCTTCTTGCTGGCCAGCCTATATGGGTTTTGTATAGTTTTATTCCAGTTACAGGAATAAGTATGGTTATCTTACCAATCCATATTATGTATTTATTAAACAAGCAAATACACAGTGTTTATGCATTTGTTCAATTACTTATTCATGCAACAGATGCCACTAGAATGGCTGCTACACCCTCACTGTGTTAGGTACTAGTGTACATCAAGAAAAACAAACCAAACCCACATCCCTAACCTCCTGGTTCTTCTGTAGTTTCCCAGGTGTGGGTGGGAATTGAATTATTGGTTGTATTTTTTCATTTACTTTGCAGAAAGTAATAAACATTTTATGTGTATTATGTATTCAATAAAAGAATACTTTGAGGCAGGCAGTATTATAATCCCCATTTCACAGAGAAGGAGAGAAAGATTTTTGAGAAGTTAAGGAAACTAAGGATAAGGAGATTTTAAGAAACTTGCCCAAAGGAACCCAGTCTAGTAAGGGCCTGGTTTCTACACACAGGTGACGACCTGACCTATCACCTATTTTTAACACAAGAGGGAAGATAATTCCAGGTGCAAAATAATAGAAATATTCAGAAAAGCATGAAATAACTATCTTCTAATTAAGGGTGTGTTTTCGTTGTATTGTGGCAAAACCAATCCAAGGAACATTTCTTTCTTGTAGAGAACAACATCTCTAATGACCTAAATGAAAACTCTTGACTCATAATTTCCTACAAAGAGATGTAAAATATTAATGAACTAGATATAACCTAAATCAAGCCAAAGTGGAATAACTTAGTAAGTGATAATATGTTATTATGAAAGATTATTGCATAGGTGTTGAAAATCAGGTTTTTTTTAAAGAATTTCTAGTATAATAGGAAAATGTGCAAAAAATATTGTGGTAAAATATATTGTGACTTAAAATTTTAATAAAATATAAAAATATAAACTGTATTATATATTTAAATGACATTATATAGTTTTACTATGATTATAATATATTTTAATATGTTCAAGGCACCATTTAGTCACATATACATATATGTGCACATGCATATTGTGCACATATATGTATATGTATACATGTGTATATACACAAATATATACAAGCACATGCACACCAAAAGAACTATACCAAAGTTTTAATAAATATTGTCTCTGGATAGTAGGATTATGGATCACTTTTATTTTTTAAATTCATTTTTAACAATAAGTATGTATTATTTATGAAAAACAATAAACATTTAAAATTAAGTGACATATTTGCCAAGTTTTTTTTTATTTTAAATCCGTGATACATGTTACACAGGGTTATAAGCATTATATCACAGTTGTGAAAAACTTCTTTGCTTCAAATTTCATTTCAAAATAAAGTTAAAAATAGCATTCTTATTATCTTGATTTTTTTTTTAAAGGGTGAGGTTGGCCAGCAAGGTTCTCCGGGACCCACTCTGTTGGTGCAGCCACCAGATTCTGGTCTCTATAAAGGAGAAAAGGTAATTCTCAACTCATATGATACTTTGTTAAAGTAGTCATAGCCAACATTTTCTGAACACGTTCCCATGCCAGCAAAAAGCTGAGTACCTACGTGCCACACTGCCTCCATCCCAAGGCACCCTTCACAGATTGGTACTATTATTAGCTCCACTATACAGAGCTGAAAAAAGGAGGCTTGGAAAGGTTTACCAGTGTTCTCAACTATACCCAGCTGTTGAGTGGCAGACCTAGCTTGGGCTGCAAATGGTGACATGTCCTCCAGGATCTAGTCCCCCATTCGTGTCTTTGATATGGTGGCTGAAAAGACCACTGGAAATCCAGTTGTCCTTTAGATGTTACATATGGATCTGCTGCTTGGGTCATTGAAAAGGTGACAGCTGCATAGAGCTGGGCACATAATAGACTCTTGGCAAATGTTAATTCCTCTGTCAGCCTCCAGCATTGATGTTACTGATGCCATGTGCAAATTCTCCTATCAGTTTTCAGTTACTGGATTCAATTTCACTACATTGTTCAAAATGAGCCTCTCCTCTCAACAGCTACATTCCCAGCTTCCATCTCCTGCCCTGGTCCCAAGGTGGCTCCCGCCCCACCGCCCCTCCTCCATGCCCCAAGAGGCTACACTCTCACACAGAATCGGCCTGAAGAGTGTCAGGTTTAAAGGTGCCCTTGGATCTTAGTCGTTAATTAGCAACAGTTGAAGGTAATCCTTTATTAAAAAGTTAGGAGAACGGTTGTTGAAAGAGGTAATTTCTGAAATGGGTGTAATTCAGTATGTTAAATAAGAGTAAGGCAGATTATATTCTTTGTCAATTTTAGGGTATTAAAGGAATGCCTGGAATGACTGGAACTCCCGGACCACCAGGACCCAAGGTAGTTTATTCAAATAATGTTAAAAAATTTGTATGATGTACTACCTTCATTTTTAAAAATTTTACTTGGTTATTATCCTTGCTTTAAATGCTGATCTGTTACTAGAATTTTTCACTATTTTATCATAATCGTGTAGGAAGACTATTCCAAAGTATTCATTTCCTTTAAGTTGATGGCAGTAATTTTTATTTCTTATTTTGTTTTTGCATTCCACATTGCTGAAATATAGTTGCTTAAACCCCTCTAAATGTTGTTTTGTCTTTAAGGGAGAACCTGGTATTGGGAGAAAAGGAGAGAAAGGGATTCCTGGGTTTCCAGGACCTCGGGTAAGGATCCTTCATGCTGTCTTTAACTTCAGTGAGTTTGGAGGCATTTCTCTCTCCCATTTTTATAAGATTCAATCAATAATTCTGAGAGCTCAGAAGCAGAGATTTTCTCAAAGAGGAGTGCTGTATTTTTCTCAGCAAGAATTGTGTGATAGTTAAAGCCCCCAGAACAGCCCTTCTGTGCACATCATTTGGATAAAACAGGCAAGCAAAAGATGGGAGAATTGGCAGGAAGTAATGGGATCATGGTCAAAGGCATGATTTTTCCAGTAGTCATATGCAGATGTGAGTGATGGGCCATAAAGAAGACTGAACACTGAAGAACTGATGCTTTTGAACTGTGGTGTTGGAGAAGACTCTTGAGAGTCCCTTAGACTACAGGGAGATCAAACCAGTCAATCCTAAAGAAAATCAACTCTGAATATTTATTGGAAGGACTGATACTGAAGCTGAAGCTCCAATACTATGACCACCTGATGTGAAGAGTCAACTCATTGGAAAAGACCCTGATGCTGGGAAAATTGAGGATGAGATGGTTGGGTGGCATCCTTGACTCAATGGATATGAGTTTGAGCAAACTCCGGGAGGCAGTGAAGGACAAGGAAGCCTGGCATGCTGCAGTCCATGGGGCTGCCAAGAGTTGTACACAACTTAGCAGCTACACAATAACAAAAATGGGATCATGACATTTTCTCACTGGCTCAGTGTCAGTGTGGTTGCAGCTTGCAATTGTTCAGTTAAGTCTATTTGACAAAAGAAAGTACTGATCTATAGACAGTAGCTAGAAAAAAAAAGTACAGCATCAGGCCTCAACATCTCCATACCTGTCGCTAATGGGATCCCCATTCACAGAATCACGATGAAGACCAGACCCCAGTAGCCTTGGGCACTGAGTTTATTTGACTCCAGATTTAGTACTTAATGAGGCAATATTGACTTCCGTAGTAATTTTTATTGCTGATAATGCATAGAGCAACTATTAATCTCCAGACAAATTATATTGCAATGATTCAAAGATATGTAGCTCAGTGAAAGCATTACATTAAATAAATTAAAGTGGAAGAGCAATAAAAGCAACAAAACTATATTCTTAATTTATAGCACTGGAGAGGACATGATTTTTTTTAATAATATTGAAGAGTAATTAAAATAGCAAATGTTATAAAGAAATGGAATCTCTTTTATGTTTATTTCCTTTATTCAGTTGTCTTTGTAGGCATGATTAAAAATCCCAAAAGCAATCTCATAAGGTAAAAAATGATTCATTGAATTTGTTTATGTATTTTTATTTAATTCTGCTTGTGTTGATTTTTGTGAATTTATTAGGGGGACCCTGGTTCCTATGGATCTCCAGGTTTTCCAGGATTAAAGGTAAATGTATACTGTTACAGAGATGATAAATACATTTTTCATTAGTAGATGCAGTTCAGTATCTTTCAAAAGTTGTACCAGGGCATGTAGACTCATACACAGTAATGGCAGAGGAAACACATTTATTTTATTTTATTTTATTTTATTTATTTTATAAATTATATAATTTTGCTGTGGGTGCAAATACTAGAGCACAAAACTCTCTGATGCAACCTAAAACAGTGTTAAGATTTTGTACAGAATCTCAGGGAGCATGTGTCATTCAGATAAAATGAGAATGAGATAATTTGTCAACGAGACAAAATATCACAATCACAGTTTTTTTTTAAAGGCATGCTTTTTGTTACTTTTAGGGGAAACCAGGACTATTTGGAGATCCTGGGTCATTTGGATTTCTTGGCCCAAAGGTAAAAAAGTGAGCCTATTTGAGTACAATCTAATAACAACTTATATCCCTTATCTATCTAATTTATTTTTTAAAATATTTCAAAATATCATTTTAAAAATGAGTCAGTTTTGCATATATTATTTTAATGCATGTTTTAATGATTATATTTTACATTTGTGAATTGATCTTTTTGAAGCAGATGAAAAGTACTGAAAGTTTCAAAAATTCCACAGGGATCATATAAGTATCATGATTGAAAACAGAGGCAACTGTGGAGAACTCTTTGCTTTGACCACCACTACAATTTTTCTTTCCTTTGTAACCTCTCACCTCACCTTCAGCACTTGTGCGGGACAAGCCATGGTGGCATTGAGATGACACAATTAAGGAGGGACAATATTTGCTGCAAAAAAAATGAAGATTCAGATGTTATAGGCAAAGAAATCATTTGTCCTAGAATGCCTAATTAGACATTAATGCTTATTATAGATTGAAGAAATTCCATGGCTTCAGAGGTATCTAGTTTATGGGCATGGAATCATTTTTGGAATTTGGATTTATTTTTCTTTAGGGAGAACTTTGTTAGTTGGTTGTTTACTTCTGCTTATAGGTAGGAGTTTACTTATTTTTGTTCCTCTTAGAACATCATCAGTTATTTATTTCTCCAGTCAGCCTACAGGCTTTATTTCTTATACAAATGTACTCTTGGCCCTTCTAATATTTACTTAGTGCCAGGAAACAGGAGAAGAATATTAATATTTCTAAGAAAAGTGAATGAATGAATGATTTCAGGGAGATCCTGGAGACCGTGGGCACCCAGGACCACCAGGGGTTTTGGTAACTCCATCTCTTCCACTCAAAGGTTTGTGTTCCATTTGACTTCTCTATCAATTATGCTGAAATGGGATTTAAGTTGTCCTGAAAGAAGAGTTTGGTCCACTCTTTCTGTACTTTATACAGTAGGTGGGCTAAATATATGAACTTTACCATGAATGCGTAACTGTTGTTGTTGTTCAATCGCTAAGTCATGTCCAGCTCTTTGCAATCCTGTGGACTGCAGCACGCCAGGCCTCCCTGACCCTCAGTATCTCCTGCAGTTTGCCCAAGTCCATGTCTATTGAGTCAGTGATGCTATGGAGCATCTCATCCTCTGTCATCCCCTTCTCCTCCTGCCTTCAGTCTTTCCCAGCATCAGTCTTTTCAAATGAGTCAGCTCTTCGCATCAGGTGGCCAAAGTATTGGCTTCATAATGTGTAAATTATACAAGTGCTAATAGAGATGTACATCTCGATCATCTCTATCAGCATAAGACATCAAATTTTATGTTAGTATGTAAACTGCCTGCTGGGATTTTTATTATGTTACCTTTCAGAAAGTAGGTATTTTAGTTGCTAAACACATTTAAAACCATTTGACTAAGGCCTGCCACAATGCTCCAGGAAGATGGCAGCCTCAATCAATCACAAATTTAGCACTACTTCAACTTCACATGTCTGTGGGGGAGGATCTAAAATACTCCATTTTAAATGTGGTGAGAAACTGCAAAACCATCTCCCAGTTGTATTTGAGCAAGCCTCCCAAAAAGCAATTGTGCATGAATTTTCTAATGTATACATGTGTTTGCTATACACATGATGTCATTATTTTTGGCAGGCCCTCCAGGGGATCCAGGGCGCCCCGGCCGCTATGGAGAAACAGGGGCTGTTGGACCACGTGGTCCTCCTGGTGCCCCAGGAAGACCAGGGGAAGCCTGTGCAGGTATGCATCCGCTGGCTTTTGCAGCTCAGGTTTAGTACATCCGCCTCCACACCAGGGGTTCTCCACTCTAGCTGATACTAAAATCATCTTGTTGTTTAGTCGTGAAGCTGTATCTGACTCTTTGTGACCCCATGGACTGTAGCCTGCCAGGCTCCTCTGTCCATGGGATTTCCCAGGCAAGAATACTGGAGTCGGTTGCCATTTCCTTCTCCAGGGGATCCTCCCGACCCAGGGATTGAACCTGCGGCTCCTACCGTGTCTCCTGCATTGCACATGAACTCTTTTACTTCTGAGCCACTGGCAAAGCCCAGCCCATCTTAGGATTGTTTCAAAAATACCGATGGCTGAGCCTACCCAGACCAGGAATGTCGGACTCTCTGGGGGGATGGATGCATCCAGGCATCTACTGTTATAAAATCATCCCCCTACTTCTAATGTACAACTAGGATTAAGAAGCACAGAATTCAAACCAATTGACTAACTGGAGAAAATCCAGGCTCCTATACTGCTGCTCAGAAATATTTAGTCCCTGTCGTAGGGGTGTGATAAGAAGCATCTATGTATAATGGGCTTCCCATGAGTTTGCATGCATGCTAAGTAGCTTCAGTGGTGTCCAACTCACTGCGACCATTTGGACAGTAACCCACAAGCTCCTCTGCCCTTGGGATTCTCCAGGCAAGAATACTGGAGTGGGTTGCCGTTTCCTTCTCCAGGGGATCATCCTGCCCCACAGATTGAACACACATCTCTTATGTCTCCTGCATTGGCACGAGAGTTTTTTACCAGCAGGGCCACGGGGGAAGCCCTCCCACAAGATTACCACATGGAGATAAGATTTTGAAACCACTGCTAGGATTAGAGTGTGCCTTCGGGTTTTTACCACCTTCTTGGAAGGCTCTCCCTGTGGATATCTAGTTGCTAAAATTTAGTTCATCCACCTAGGCCCCAACTTAAATATTCTGTATGAAATGTGGAAATACAAATTGTGAATTAAAAAGTAGGATTTTGATTCACACTTAGTTAAAAAAATAAACAAAAGCCACAGTTCTCTCCTTCCTTCCCTCTAAACCAAAAAACAACAGTCTTATCCCCCACAGAAAAACCCTATGGCTCATGATCATATTTGATGAAAAGCCTGAGAAATAATCCTATTGACATAAGGCCTTTCAACTCCTTCAAGTGCTATCTTAGTTAATAATCTCAGTGATATTAGGAATAGAAGTTTACAGGATATTTTCATTCTGTGAACCCGGGAGAATTGATTAAACATGTGAGAAGAAAAGTCTGGAATAAATGTAATTTTATTCAATCTGTCTCAAGTTATGTTTCCTGAGGAGTAAAAAGTTTTCTGAGATATTCAACCATGAACTACAGAGTTCTTGTTTAATCTTCCATGAAGCTGGCTTTCACTTGAGAGAGTCTGATGACCATAAAGTCAGTAAATAAAGCTTTGTTTAGTTCATTTACTCTTTCGACATTGTAGCCATGGTTTAATTGACCCAGGACTGTATAAATCATATAGACTACTCTCAGTCAGAAGGCACTAGGCTCTCATCTTACATTTCTCCTTTCAGGCTTGTTTATAATAAAATAGTGCTTCCAGCAGATTGAAATCAAAACCCAGTGGGAGTAAGTAACACATGTCTCTAGGGAATTTCAAACCAAGTATAACAAGAAGCCTCTTTATCCTAAAAATCTTCTGAAAAAGAATTGACCCATATTTGGACTTCAACCCATAGTAAGAAGTAATTTTATATGGTATAGTATTTATATTACATCATGCACATATATATATCCATACATACTATGGTTGAAACACAAATCTCACAAAATAATATCTGTGGGTTATATGAGACACTCCCTTTTCTATTCCATTTTTTGCTTTTGGAAAAAAAAAGTTTTAATGCTGGCCACAACTTCATTGATATCGTGTCCTATCGGTGGGTGATTGAGGCTGTGATGTGAAACCCATTCTCACTGCTGGAAACTGGTTGAGCTTTTTCCTTGGCCCTGGGGCGAGACAGCAAGCAGGCAGCATTCAGTTTCATTCCAAGTCAGGTCTTAGGAATGTTATGAAGACAAGATGGCAACCAGGTCCATAGGAGTACATGTTCATTTTGTTTTAAGGACACCCATGTATGTAGCCTTTATTACACCTATTCAAAGTATTTACCGTGAAGTTTTGGAGTCAAACACCTATGATTGAATCCCAGCCTTCACAATCGGTGTAGTATGGTGAAATAGTTATGTGTTTATACAGTGAACTAACAACGTTTCATGTTCTAGTGCTTACAAGCTGTGTGATCTTGGGCACTTATTAAATCTCTCTGTTCTTCAGTTTTCCCATCTGCAAAATTGAGTTCTTGTTACAGTTGAAAGAAGTAATGTGTATAGTTTTTAGAATACAACTTGGCATAAAGACTCACTATGTTAGCTGTTATTAGCATTTCTTATACTGGGCCTTAATTTACTGTGCCTTATCTAAAAGGTACAACCTTTACAAAGTTGTTTGAGGAGTAAAGCTAATGTCTGAACGTATATGTAAAGCCTCAGCACATATGCACACAGGAATGAAAGCCATCGATTTACTTCGGGTGCTACATTACTGATGACAAACAGGGGTCCAATTATCTGTTGCTAAACAAGTAACCCCAAACCTAGTGGTTTAAAACAACAACATTCAGTATATACCCTTCACTCTTTCCATGATTCAGGAATTCAGGAGACATTAAACCAAGTGGTTCCAGAGCAAAGATTTTCATCTAGTTATAGCTGTAGACTAGCTGGAATAGAAACATGAGGACTGGCCAGGCATCTCTCTCACTCGTCTGTCATATAGTCTCAAACCTTGCTGTGTGGCTCTGTGCTTAACTTAGACTTCCTTAGAGCATGCTGGCTTCCAAGTGATAATATAGCTTCCATGGTGGTTCAGGACTCCAGTCCCAAGCATTTCAGCTCACAAGGCAGAAGCTGAATCGTCTTTAATAATCTGGCCTGGGAAGCATACAGCGTCACTCCTGCCATAGTTGATTAGTGCAAACAGTCACCAAAGGCTGCCACATTGCAGGGGAGGGGGACCTGCACTTCTTGCTAGGAGAGTGTCAGGGTTCTGCAAGAGCGTGAGAAGCGAGAGCTATCAGGACGCCATCTTTGATAATAACCATCTTCCATCCGAGGGATTTTGGTACCATGTGTGCTTAGGAGGAAGCAGCTGGGAGAAGTGGCCGCTGTCACATGAGGGCTTCTGGCTACCTTTATACCAAAACCATCAGGATGGGGTAGGTGGAGCAGGGTATCAAGGGGAGGCAGGACTCAGCTGCTCCTGCGTTACTTTGATTTCCCCTGAACACACTGAATATTACTTTGACTTCCCCTGAATTTCCAGTCCTTTGCTGAGAACTTGCTATAGCCAGATACTACACTAAGGTCCTTATGTGGGTTATTTTGTTTCATCCTCATTAGAAGCCTCTGAGGAAGATGTAGAGAATTAAATAAGTTATATAACCTACTTTGGTACCTGTGGATGGAGAGACAGAGGCCAGGTTCAAATCTAGCATCTCTATGCTTTCCACCAACCCATGTGGTTATAGTATTTTACCTCTACATAGATAATTATATGAGTCCAAGTTTTTGGCTGTGTTAAGAAAGTATGCTCCCCATTTAATTTGAGATTAAAAGATTAGAAGACTATGTCCATGTAAGCATATTATAAGCATTCCCAAATGTCACATTTTAGTATCTAAAAGGCAACACCAATTTTCTCATTAAATTCTCCTAGTCAATGACAATTATAAAAACAAAGTGCTTAAAATTATATGCTAGATACCTATCTGAGGGCTACCCTAAGAGTTCAGATGGAAGAGCATCCACTTGCAGTGCAGGAGACCTGGGTTCGATCCCTGGGTCAGGAAGATCCCCTGGAGAAGGAAATGGCAACCCACTCCAGTGTTCTTGCCTGGAGAATCCCATGGACAGAGGAGGTCGGCGGACTACAGTCCATGGGGTCGCAAAGTGTCAGACACGACTGAGCGACTAACACACATACACACAGACACCTATCTGCAGGATTTAATGCATTACCTCATTTATTTTCCCCTTATTTAAAAATTTTATTGAAGTATAGTTGCTGTACAATATTATAAGTTATAGGTGTACAGTATCAGTCAGTCAGTTCAGTCACTCATTCGTGACTGTAGCCCTCCCTGTCTATCACCAACTCCCGAAGTTTACTCAAACTCATGTCCATTGAGTAGATGATGCCATCCAGTCATCTCATCCTCTGTCATCCCCTTCTCTTCTCGCCTTCAATCTTCCCCAGCATCAGGGTCTTTTCCAGTGAGTCAGTTCTTTGCACCAGGTGGCCAAAGTATTGGAGTTTCAGCTTCAGCATGAATCCTTCCAATGAATATTCAGGACTGATTTCCTTTAGGATGTACTGGTTGGATCTCCTTGCAGTCCAAGGGACTCTCAAGAGTCTTCTCCAACACCACAGTCCAAAAGCATCAACTCTTCAGTGCTCAGCTATCTTTATAGTACAACTCTCACATCCGTACATGACTACTGGAAAAACCATAGCTTTGACTAGACGGACCTTTGTTGGCAAAGTAATGTCTCTGCTTTTTAATATGCTGTCTAGGTTGGTCATAACTTTTCTTCCAAGGAGCAAGTATAGTGCTTCACAGTTTTAAAGATTATGCTCCAGTTTTAGTTATTATAAAATATTGGCTATATCCCCCATTTTGTACAATATATCCTTGTAGCTTATTTTATACATAAATATTTGTTGCTCCCTACCCCAATATTGCCCCTCCCTCCTTTCCTCTTCCCACCACTAACTACTAATTTGTTTTCTATGCCTTTGAATCTGCTTCCCTTTTGTTATATTCACTAGTTTGCTGTATTCTTTAGATCCCATGTATAGGTGATATCATATAGTATTTGTCTTTCTGTGAGCTCATATTTTAATTCCCTGAATGTACTGATATGTTTATTCAGGTTAGGTTCTATCAAATCATCAAGGTGGAAAGATTTTTAAAGTAAATTTAATTAAATAATATATACTTCTTTTCCAATAATTCCAAAGAATGGACAAAAAAGTAAGAAAACTTGATTCCCCAAATCTTTCTTATTACCACATGTGTTCTTGTTTCACAGGAGTAGAGGCATTTTGATGGCTGGTATACTCGGTTATTTTTAAACTACAATTTTTTTTTCCTTAAAAAAATCCCACAGCCTAAGAAAGATGTACTGATTTTTTTTTTTGATGTACTGATTTTTATTTCTTCCACAGAAAAACATTTTGAGAGTATTAATGTGAGATTATCTGAGAGTATATGTGGTTTTCATTGTTGATTTCTCTTGGAGGCATGACAGGACCTCCTGGGCCACGAGGGTTTCCTGGTTACCCAGGATTTCCAGGGGCAGCTGGTGTTCCTGGAAGAGCTGATTCTGCTCCAGGAAAACCAGGCAACCAGGGACCAACTGGGCTGCCTGGAGTGCCAGGACTGCCGGGACCTCCAGGATCAGATGGTAAAGTGCTCTTCATTCACATTTCATAACATTTATTTTGCATTTGATATTTGCAGTATCATCCATAAAATGTGACTTTCCAAATTTTTAAAAAGTTGTCTAATATTTCATAAGCCAAGTTAGTGTTATTAATAATACAAAAACATAAACTGATATTGACCTACCACATCAATTAAAGTATGTGAAAATGTTCGGTTGAGAATTTAAGTGTGATGACAGAATTTTGTAAATTAACACAGTTTTTACTTTTTGAATATAGTTTTTATTTTTATGAGTCATATGCAGACCAGATTTAAGAGTCAAACAGCTCTATAAAGCCTTTTGTGAAAAATAACCATCCCAGGCAACCCATTCTCCTATTCTGTCCACCCTAGGGGCAATTATTTCCATACAGTTAGCTGAATCTTCTGTTATTTGTCTTTTATGACCATTTAGCAAACATGTGTCTCTATTTCTTAATTTTTCAGTTTGAGCCTTATCATTTGACTTTCCTGTCCGCAGATAAATGTCCCTCTTTCCTTGCCACACATGCGCGTTTTCTATTTCTACAACATATCAATACAGTTATCATCATTATTTTGGTTAAATATTCAGTGTTAATATTGAAGGATTATATAAATGTTATTCACTGGTTTAGTCATATGATAATATATATTGCTCTTGTGCTTTCCCAGCATGGCATTTAGTTAATAATTGTCTTACATTCTTTTTGTGTGTTTGCTTGGTTTTCAATGTACTCATTGCTAATTTGACCTCAAATCATCTAGAATTGTATAAATCTCTTAATTATACATTCTAACTCATTACCAGTTTTATCTCTGAATAAGTCTCTTCTGGAGCTTTATGACTGTTCAAGTTAGGTCAGGTTACAATTTCAAAAGCTGATGCTAATATCCTGCCTTGAGATCTTCCTTCATCGTTATCCTAGGAATTGTGTCTCTACCTCTCTGTCTGTCTCTGCCTCTCTTTCTTTGGGTTCCTTTTCCCCCACAACTCACATATTTCTTCGGTCGCTTTTGGTTTAGTTCAATCACTCAGTCATATTTGACTCTTTGTGATCCCATGGACTGCAGCACACCAGGCTTCCCTGTCTATCACCAGCTCCCAGAGCTTGCTCAAACTCATGTCCATTGAGTTGGTGATGCCATCCAACCATCTCATCCTTTGTTCTCCTGCCTTCAATTTTTCCCAACATCAGGGTCTTCTCCAATGAGTCAGTTCTTCATATCAGGTGGCCAAAGGATTGGAGCTTCAGGTTCAGCATCAATCCTTCCAATGAATATTCAGGACTGTTTTCCTTTATGATTGTCTGGTTTGATTCCTTACAGTCCAAGGGACTCTCAAGAGTCTTCTCCAACACCACAGTTCAAAAGCATCAATTCTTCAGTGCTCAGCTTTCTTTATAGTCCAGCTCTCACATCCATACATGACTACTGGAAAAACCATAGCTTTGACTAGATGGATTTTTGTGGGCAAAGTAATGTCTCTGCTTTTTAATATGCTGTCTAGGTTAGTCATAGTTTTTCTTCCAAGGAGCAAGCGTCTTTTAATTTCATGGCTGCAGTCACCATCTGTAGTTGCAGCCCAAGAAAATAAAGTATGTCACGGTTTCCATTGTTTCTGCACCTATTTGCCATGAAGTGATGGGACCAGATGCCATGATCTTCATTTTCTGAATGTTGAATTTTAAACCAGTATTTTCACTCTCCTCTTTCACCTTCATCAAGAGGCTCTTGTTTTTTTTCACTTTCAAGCACAAGGGTGATATCATCTACATATCTGAGGTTATTGATATTTCTCCCAGCAATCTTGATTCCAGCTTGTGCTTCATCCAGCCTGATATTTCTCATGATGTACTCTGCCTATAAGTTAAAAAAGCAGGGTGACAGTATACAGCCTTGACATACTCCTTTTCCAATTTGGAGCCATGTCCAGTTCTAACTGTTGTTTCTTGACCTGCATACAGATTTCTCAGGAGGCAGGTAAGGTAGTCTGGTATTCCCATCTCTTTCAGAATTTTCACAGTTTGCTGTTATCCACACAGTCAAAGGCTTTGGTGTAGTCAATAAAGCAGAAGTAGATGTTTCTCTGGAACTCTCTTGCTTTTTTGAAGATACAACAGATATTGGCAATTTGATCTCTGTTTCTTCTGCCTTTTTAAAAACCAGCTTGAACATCTGGAAGTTCTCAGTTCATGTATTATTGAAGCCTCACTTGGAGAATTTTGAGCAGTACTTTGCTAGCATGTGATATGAGTGCAATCGTGTGGTAGTTTGAGCATTCTTTGGCATTGCCTGTCATTGGGATTGGAATGAAAACTGACCTTTTCCAGTCCTGTGGCTACTGCTGAGTTTTCCAAATTTGCTGGCATATTGAGTGCAGCACTTTCACAGCATTGTCTTTTAGGATTTGAAATAGCTCAACTGGAATTCCATCACCTCCACTAACTTTGTTCATAGTGATGCTTCCTAAGGCCCACTTGACTTTGCACTCTCTAGGGTGTCTGGTTCTAGGTGTGTGACAACACCATCTTGGTTATTTGGGTCATTAAGATCTTTTTTGTATAGTTCTTCTGTGTATTTTTGCCACCTCCTCTTAATATTTTCTGCTTCTGTTAGGTTCATACCATTTCTGTCCTTTATGGTGCCCATCTTTGCATAAAACTTTCCCTTGTATCTCTGATTTTCTTGAAGAGATCTCTAGTCTTTCCCATTCTTTTGTTTTCCTCTATTTCTTTTCATTGATCACTGAGGAAGGGAAGATAAACTCCCCTTACTATTCTTTGGAATTCTTCATTCAATTAGATACATCTTTTCTTTTCTCATTTGCCTTTCACATCTCTCCTTTTCTCAGCTATTTGTAAGGCCTGTTCAGACAACTGTTTTGCCTTTTTGCATTTCTTTTTCTTGGGGATGGTTTTGATCACAGCCTCCTGTACAACGTTACGAACCTCCATCCATAGTTCTTCAGGCACTCTGTTTATCAGATCTAATCCCTTGAATTTATTTGTCACCTCCACAGTATAATTGTAAGGGATTTGATTTAGGTCATACTTGAATGGTCTAGTGGTTTTCCCTTCTTTCTTCAGCCTTGTCTGTTGGTTTACTCTCTCATTATGCTTTGTGAGAAAGTGTATAAATTTGGGATATTTGAAATACCTTTATTCTACTGTGAAATTTGATTGATAGTTTGGTTGAATATAAAATTCTAGATTGCAATCATTTTTACTTCAGGTTTTTGAAGGCATTTTCCTTTCTTTATTTTTTTTTTAGTGTTGTTACTAAGAAGTTCAATAATCTTTAGATATTTGATCCTTTGTTTAAAGTCTCTTTTTTCTCTGAAAGCTTCTAGGAATTTTTCTTTGTATTCAATGTCCTTAAATTTCACAGTGATTTACCTCAGTGTGGGTAAATTTGCAGGCACTCAGAGCAGTTTCAGTTGAACACATATCCCTCATTTCTGGAAAAATGTCTTGAAGTAGTTATTTTAAAATATTCTGTACTTTTCCCCTCTGCTTTCTATTTCTGGACTCAATATATGTGCCTGTTTCAGAATCAATCCTATACATCTCTTTTTCAAATCTTCACCTATTGTCTTCATCTTTTTATTTTTTCCTAACACTTTCTGGTAGACTTCCTCAACTCCATATTCCAACTCTGCTTCTGAATTTTTAAATTTCTGCTTCTATAACCATTTTTTAAAAAAATTCTGAGAATTTTGTTGTTGGTGTTGTTCTCTCTTAATGTGTCTTTTTGCAGCAGCTTGTTCATGTCTCAGGGATGAAATGCCTTCCTTTGTCTGTTTTTTAAACTATATAGTTTATTTTTAAAGACTTTTTCTTACTGTATTGTCTGTTTTCTCTTATTTGAGGGAGTTTGTTTTTTCCTGATGCAATTTTCAAAAAAGAGTTCTTAACTATTTAGCTGTTTCTTTGACCAGTCATCCTGTGTGGGGCCTCACTGTCATTCTGCTTCAGAGGTACCAATTCCTGAACTTTAGGAGAGATTTTTCAGTCAGCTGTGTTCTTTTTCTGCTTCCCCCACAAGCTTCTTGGAGTTCAGCTTTTTAAAATCTGCTAAATCTTTTTACTTTCTTTTTTTTTTTTTTGCTGTTGTTTCCTTTCTCTTGTTTATTTGTCTTAAAGAATTCTGTCTTTTTATAATATTCTTTTACTGTCTGTTTGGAGAGAACAAGGAACTTACTGTTTGTACTTTGGCTGTCATCTTTGATCAGATATCTCTGAATTTTTGCTGTTACAAACTCTGCCTTTTGCTTTCTTTATTAGGTAATTATTGATAATTGAATGGGAAAAAATGATCTGTGCCATACACTGATTCTTACTTTATTTGTTTTGTTTTGGTATATTTGTTTGTGTTTTTATTCCCTACCTTACCCTACAACCCACTAAATTAGGGCTGAGATTAGGCATGGTTTTAATCAATGGTTATGGTACCAGAAGCTTGCTGTGACAACTGTATGGTCTATTTGTGTACACATTGTTATATCAGAGAGAAAGAATCTTAAGAAAGGAGTGGAAGAAAGAATGGTGGTAAGGGGATGATTGAAGTGTGAGAGATACTTCTACTTGTTCAGTAGTAGATGTTCACAAAAATTGTGTAATTCTCTCTGCACTCCCCTATCCCACTGTGAAGTTGTATATTGTACTCTGGGGCAACCTGGACCACAAGGAATAAAAGGCAAAGTGGGTCCTCCAGGAAGACGAGGCTTCAAAGGAGAAAAAGGCAAGTATTCCTCCTAGTAGAATTTCTAGAAAAAACGGCATGTGGAGGTCTGGGAGGCATTATATGACATGTACAGTGTGGCATTTCATTTAGGTTTTTTACTCCCTTTAGTTACCCCTGTGAGTACCTAACTCACTGTGTGCTTGTGACGTGATTGCTGCTGCTAAGTCGCTTCAGTCGTGTCCGACTCTGTGTGACCCCATAGACAGCAGCCCACCAGGCTCCCCCGTCCCTGGGATTCTCCAGGCAAGAGTACTGGAGTGGGTTGCCAGTGCCTTCTCCGTGACGTGGTTAGACCGTGCCAAAAAGTCAAATCCATGTTTTAGAGTATAAAGGAGACACTTATCTGCCATGAGATTTGTCTCAAAGTGGTGACTCTTTTTCCATGAGATCCTCTCAATTCCTTGAAAAAAGCAGAGGTAGGACAGTTTTGATCTTCAATTTCAGTTTCTCTCTGTGGGTCCCATCTTTCCTAGATTCACCAAATGCCTCTAGCTCTCTGTTTCTACACTCTAACTTGTTTGGTGCATTTTTTGACCAACAGTCAGGCAGGTATGAGAGCTGAGCACTTTGATCATCCTAAAGGCATTTTTTAGACTAAAAATCCTGATGAGTAGAAAATGCATTTAGTGAATTATAAACTGTGATATGCAGTGCATTCAATAATCCTCTTTACATATTTTATTTGGATTCTTTAAATGTTCAAAGTGTATACTCTAACCAATTTTAGTTGTTTTTTTTCAGCAGGAACCAAATGAAGAGATTTTTTTGAAAAGTAGGAGCCAAATAAGAGCTATCTAAACTTTTAAAAATAAGAAATTTTCTTATTTTCAAAGTTTCTGCAATAGAATTTAGCATTAGCTTTTCCTCTTGATTTTACCAGGATAAATTTTTTAAGACACAGAACACCCCATTGTCTAGAAACAATATGTCTACCCACATAGCCCATAGCTACCTCCACATCATGCTCTGTACCCCTCCCCCATCACATGTTGTCAGTTGTCTGCGATAAGAATTGTGTGCATCAGACCCTTTTTGTTCTTATTCACACTATTGGTTTTGCATAGTAAGGACTTTATTGGGATTTCATTCAGGAAATATAACAAAGCTGTCTTTTATCCTCTGTCTAGGGAGCTCAGGGCTCTGTGCCTGCCAGCCTGGTCCCATGGGCCCACCAGGCCCTCCAGGGCCTCCTGGGAGGCAAGGAAGTAAGGGAGACTTGGGGCTCCCTGGGTGGCTTGGAGAAAAAGGTTCCCCAGGCCCTCCTGGTGCCAAAGGATCTCCAGGGCCACCGGTGAGTAACTTCCCAGTATTAATCTTTTAACAGAGTTATAATTCAGTTGTACCTCTCTCTAATTTATAGTGTGATATATATGTTTTTAATACATATATTGTAATATATATATTTTAATATATATAATGTGATATATATGTTTTTATGTATTTTAAATTTATTTTTATTGAAGTATAGTTGAATTACTGTATATGTTTTGAATCTATAAGTATATTAATGGCAAAAAATTGTCTCTGTCCTTTTATTCATCCCTTCATCATTCATTTGTTCAGCCAATTGTTTATTGAGCACCTACTATGTTCCAGGTGCTATTCCAGATACAGCAGGGACCAGAACATAATCTCTGCCCTCCTGGGGCCCCTTCTCTATTGGGAGAATACACACAGTATGACAGATAGACAAGTGAATGTACAGTATGGCAGATGGCAATAAAGTCCATTGCCGTCTAGTGTGGTTTGAGTGGAGAGTGAGGGGCCGAGTAGCAGATGAAGTCAAAGAAATGGCTGGAGGTTAGGAGGGGTTGGAGAGCATAGGGTTTTGTAGAAGGGCTGGGTTAGAACTTGTACTCTGAATGCCATGGAACAGCTGGTGGAGAATCTATTTTTTTTTGGTGGAGAATCTTAAGGAGGGATGAATCTGACATGGGTTTGAGCAGTATCACACTGGTAGCTTTGTTAAGGACGGACTAGAGAGGATGAGGGAGGAAATAGGAAGATTTAGTTGAGCGATTGCTCCAGTAATCCTGGTGAAATGTGAAGGTGGACAGGTTTCCATATTAATGTTGGGTGTGGCAGGAGGAGATACATTTTGACCACAGAGCCTGCAGATTGGCTGTGAGACTAGACACGGGATATGAAAAGCAGAGAAGTAAAGGATGGAGCCAAGATGGGAGGACAGCGTGAAGATTAAGTATGGGGCACGAAAGGATGCAGAGCCACTGGGCGCATTTTAAGTTTGAGGCACCAATTAGACAAGCAAGTGGGAGTGTTGAGTAGAAGCTGAGATGATTCAAGTGAAGGATCCAGGTGAGCGATTGGCAGCTATAAATATTGGCTCCGTCAGAGTTTACATGATGTTTTGTGCCAGAGAGGGGGGTGAGATCTTGCCGTGACTCTTTTACTGACCATTCCAAGGAACCATTGCAAGTGCCGTGGACTGAGGCTGTCCCTCGGAATAAGATCAATGCCCTCCAGGGCACTCCTCTGGAGGCTGGAGACAGCCTCTGTTACAGAGGCTTAATCTTGGGGTGGCCTGCGGCCCGACCATCAGCCCCAGTGCACTCTTTTCCATTTCCCTCAGGAAATCTTGGGAAAACAAGATACCAGTTTCAGAGCCTTAAGTGAAGGTTTTTGTTTCACTCTTCATACACCCCCCGCTTGTCACACTAGCAAAGTCAACTCAAGGAGAAGCTACATCCTTCATACACATATGTTGAGTGAATGTGGTTGTAATTACTAAGTGTTTTGCACTTTATAGTCTGATTTCTTTAATTCAACAATTTTTCATCGTCATTTTTCTGTGTTGTTACTTAATCTTACTGAAGGTTTTATTGGCTCTAAAGTTGTTCTGCCTTCACACTGAGTTGCTTCCCAGAGCTAGCGTCTTGGCCTGTGAGTTACAGGTTCATCCAGGGTTATCCTGGCAAAAGTTTATGTAATTCAGTTGGTCCAGGGCTTACCTTTATTAAAAAGGTTAAAAAAAAGGTAAAAAAAATTAAGTTTTTAAATTTTTAATTTATATTGAAGTATAGTTCATTTACAATGTTATATTAAACTGGCTGTATTTTGATGTCTTTGTTCTGTGTATGCTTCTGTCCATATGACTTCTCTGTATTAAATTCATCAAATTGGGATCACATTTAGGGATCAGGTTCACACCATGGGACACAGGAAAGGAAAGGAGGGGGCGAGGGATGGACAAAAGGACCCACAGATAGGGCACTCTCGCTCCTCCATACATCTCTCTTCTGCTGATCCCTGGCCCCAGCAGCCACAGGTTGGTGGCAAAGTACAACACCGAAAAGTAGGTTTACGTTCTCTGCCATTTTTTTTCTGTAATTGGACCAAAGCTTTATATTCATTGCCTTAGCCTGAGAGCACTTCCTAGGATGGGAGTTTCCCACCAGGATGCTCGAGTGCAAGGCATGGGACTTAGGAGCACGTGGACCAAGCTTCACACCCCAAACCTGACACTGGTGATCTCTGTGGCCTTCCTGGAAAATCTGTATCCCATCACCTGTCCTCCAGGGTTAGTAGGAATTCAGTTCAGCCATGTGTTGAGAGCTGTCACACACCAAAGAACCGGATGATCAGGGTCACTGGCCCCGAGGAGTTGCAGGGCAAACCAAAGGCCACAGACTGACAAGGGCTAAACCTCTGGCAGTTTTGGTTTTGTCCTCACAGTGTTTCTTTTTGCATTCTTCATATGACATCTGTGGCTGCCTTTAAGAAACTGGAAGTTCATTAACACAGGTCAATGTGTTCCCGCTGCTGCCACAAGCTAAGAGGGGAGGTTGTGAGAGGAGGTTGTGAGAGGAGGTCATGCCTGTGAGAGGAGGTTGGGGTGCCCTAGTCTCCACTATGCCCTTTTGCCTGCTTCTCAGAAGGGCATGGCCCCCTGATGGGCATCTACAACTGAAGTCACTGTTTTGGCTGTGTATAAAATAACTGGTACATGCCTGGCAGAGAGGTCTTCTTTGTTGCTGCTGAGATTTTGTTGTTGTGTTAACACATGTGTTTAGTGCTCTCAGGTCTTAGGCTAAGTCTCCATGCCAAGCCAGCTGGGAACCTCTGCCCTGGAAATTTTTTAGGTTCCACATTTGTTTCACTGGAATCCAAGGCTGTGAAGACAAGATGGTTTTGTTAACTATAGTGTCTTCTGTGTCCAGAGTAATGCCTGGCAACTTGTAGGTTCTCAGTAAATCTCTTTATCAAAATCCAAACACAGTGCTGGTAATGTTTTCTTCCCCCCTTACTAGCTCAACTAAGTCTCTGATCTGACTCTAATACTTAAAATTCTACACCGGCAGAGCATCAGAACTGTTTGTCCCAAGTCTCCGATGTGTTGGCAAATAAACTTCTCAGACTCCAGGGTGAATTTGATCTTCAGGGTGAGAGTGTAGGCCTTCTCTGGTGGCTCAGACAGGCTCAGAATCTGCCTGCAATGCAGGAGACCTGGATTCGATTCCTGGATTCGATTCCTGGGTCGGGAAGATTTCCCGGAGAAGGAAATGGCAACCCACTCCAAAATTCTTGCCTGGAGAATCCCATGGACAGAGGAGCCTGATGGTCTACAGTCCATGGGGTTGCAAAGAGTCCATGGGCTCGCAAAAGTAAACTGTTCAGACTCCCAGGGTGAGTTTGATCTTTAGGGTACCCCGGTCTTATTTATTTAAGCATGCCACTGTCAATCTCTTTCTGGAGAGAAACTGGTTCATGTGCTCTGGGAATAGCTTTCTGTCTTGATAGTTCACGTACTAGAAGGGCATTTTCATTAACCAACTCTTGGATTGGATGCTGTCTGCCAGACACTTTGGCCAGTCTCATTGTTAACTTAAGACTTCGCATAGACAGTAAAAGTAAGAATTAAGATAACGAACGCTTCCTATATTCCCACCTTATGATTTCTAAAGCTCTTTTCTTATCTCATTTGGCTGTTTCTAGAAAGAAATTTTTCCAGCTCTCCCTTCTGGACATCATTACATGCAGGATGGTGTCCTAGAATGAGATTTTGGGGCGTATTGAGTAGTGTGTGCAAAGCGATATTTTCTTTACACTAAGTGGCTCCCAACCGTTTGGTCCACTTTGATTTTGATACCTGTTGTGTACATTTTAGGCTGTTTCTTCTCTCACTGTTTGATGCTGCCATTGTGCTTATTTCCACTGGTACCTCTACTCCCCTTCATAGTTCACTGCTCCCAAACGAATAGAAACTAGGCAAAGATAATGAAGTCTGCTAGAACATGGTGTTAGGTTGTATGAAGATAAGACAAAGTAGCATCTGTATAAGCAAAGCAAATATTCCATTCAGTCATTTTTACTTCCTTCCAGATTCTTACCTATGTTTCTTGATTATTGAAGTCATTAGATAAGTGACCTTAAGCTATGTACAGTGTGCTTCTATAACTGTATTTACTGTAATGCTTGGTCATTCTAATATACCAAAAGTAGGATAAAAGATTTTTGAGGTAGCTTAATATTTGATAATATGTAACACTTACAAAACCATGACCCAATAGTCCAGTCTCAGAGCAGTGTTGAGATCAAAAGATGATAAACCCATTGGCCAAAATTAGTTGTTTACTTGTCATAAAGTGGAAATACATTGATGACAGAAAGCATTCTTATTTTGCCTTCTCTTGTTCATCAGTGTTCATCAGTATCACAGTTGTTTTCATCACTTTCATCCCTAACGTCTGCATTCAACTCTAGTGGCAGCACTTTTTTTTTAATTTTTAAATTTTTTGGCCACACCTCCAGCATGTGGGATCTTAGTTCTCTGACCAGGAATCGAACTGTCTGCATTGGAAACACAGTCTTAACCACTGGACCACCAGGGGTGTCCCTAGTGGCTCAGATGGTAAAGAATTTGCCTGCAATGCTGAAGTCCTGGGTTTGATCCTTGGGTTGGTTGGACACCACTGAGTGACTGACACTTTCACTTTCACCAGGGAGGTCCCTCTAGTGGCAGCTTTTGTAATTACCTCGCCTACTTTTCCTCCCAATTCTACACTACAACACCCAAGATAGTCAAGTTTTTTTATTGTAAATTATTTTGTGATGCTTTTATTTTATGACTCCCAAAAAGTTGTACAATCATACAGAGAGGTCCCACGAATCCTTCACCCAGCTTCCCCCAATGATATCTTGTTGTTGTTTAGTTGCTCAGCAGTGTCTGACTCTTTTGTGACCCCATGGACTGCAGCATACCAAGCTCCTGTATATGATATTTCACAGGCGAGACCACTAGAGTGGGTTGCCATTTCCTCCTCCAGGGAATCTTCTTGACCCAAGGATCGAACCTCTGTCTCTTGCATTGGCAGGCGAATTCTTCACCACTGACCCGCCAGAGAAGCCGCCCGTGATATCTTATCTAAACAGAGTACATTGCCAAAACCAAGAAACTGACAATGATTTCTATTGACCCCAGCACAGACTTTATTCAAATTCCACCAGTTTTACATGCAGTTCAAGAACCTCGATTTTATAAGGCAGGGAGGAAAGAGAATGATACCAATGGTGCCAAACTAGAATCTAGAACAGGTGATTTAGAAGGAAAGAGGAGATAGGTTAGGTGTATACAAATAATTTTTGACTCATCACAATTAAACTGACTTGTTGCTCTTTTCACCAAGGGAAAACCTGGTGCCTCAGGACTGCCTGGAAGCAAAGGAGAAAAAGGTGACATGGTTGTATCAAGAGTGAAAGGTGAGCATAATCAATCACTCTGCTCCCTGCTGCCGCTTTATGAATGATGTATGAACCATTCTTTTGCATTAATTTTCCCTGTGACCTAAGGTCAATTCTGTAATTCGATTTGAGATTGTTGAGATTGCTTAAACATATTCCCTGCTCTTCAGAGTGTGAATGTTGAGCCTAAATCCTCTGTATCTTATCTGAAAACACAAACACTCCTTTAGTCACATACTCAAATCCTCTTTGTTGTGAACTGGGTTTGATTAAAACAAGACCTCCTTTGACTTGTCCAGGGTTTATTCACTGCATTGTAGTATCTTGTATTAATCAAGAATGTTTGGGGGGACTTCCCTGGTGGTCCAGTGGTTAGGACTTCACCTCCCAAAGCAGTGGAGGCCAGTTTGATCCCTGGTTGGGGAACTAAGATCCCACATACTGCAGGGCAACTGAGCCTGAACGCTGCAACAAACATGACCCAACAAAGTCAAATAAATATATTTTTTAAAAAGAATGTTTTGGTTGTAAGTGACAGAAACCCAGCTTGAAGTAGTGTTTTTAGAGAAGTAATTTGTTGACTTACTTAAGAAAAATTTGAAAGGTTAGATGTATGATTTGCACTGGGATGCCTTCATCAGGAGGCTGTCTCAGCATCTTGTATCTTTCACTGTGCCGTCTGCATTTTCTCCCCATCTGGTTTTCTCTGGGCTATGGGTACGTGCCCGCAGGTCCTCCAAGTTCACAACCAGAGGTGAAAGAGAGCTCTGCTTCTTTTTGCTCCAGTTAGGAAAAAAGTCCAGGAAGGATTGGATTAGCCTGGGGCACATGCTCAACCATGGACCATTTCCCCATTCTCTATAGTCAAGGCATGGGTACCAAGTTTGGCATCACACAAGCTGAGGAAGATGCTATAGAGATTGACACCTCCACACACAATCTCTTTGTCAGAATGAGAAAAGAAATGCTTCTCTAATAAGAGAATCAGCGGGTTTGGCCACTGTCAGTCTCCCCTCTGATTTTGTGTGATTGTCTGTGCGTGACTTTAGTCAGCTGAGACACTCAGAGGAATCTCTACCTGCCCATGCAGAGTCAAGGTCTTTGCCTTTATTTTTTTTTCAGTCCTTTGTTTCCTTTCACCTTTGCTCACTGCTGAGAAGGACTTAAATTTTTTGGCCTTTGTTCCCAGGACACAAAGGAGAAAGAGGGCCTGATGGGCCCCCTGGACTTCCAGGGCAGCAGGGACAACACGGTCGAGATGGATATGCTGGAGAAAAGGGGGATACAGGGCCGCCTGTATGTATAATTCTCCTGCTGTAGAGTTTCACTCATATGGTCACAAAGCACCCCAGTTTAAAAAGCTAAACTCAGTATAGTGTCAGCGTGCTGTAAATCCGAGTCACCTTTGATTCACTGCCACAAAAAGATGGTTGTTATTAAGATATGGCATATAATACACCATGGAATATTACTCAGCCATTAAAAAGAATTCATTTGAATCAGTTCTAATGAGATGGATGAAACTGGAGCCCATTATACAGAGCGAAGTAAGACAGAAAGATAAAGACCATTACGGTATACTAACACATATATATGGAATTTAGAAAGATGGTAACGATAACCCTATATGCAAAACAGAAAAAGAGACACAGATGTATAGAACAGACTTTCGGACTCTGTGGGAGAAGGCAAGGGTGGGATGTTTCAAGAGAACAGCATCGAAACATGTATATTATCTAGGGTGAAACAGATCACCAGCCCAGGTTGGATGCATGAGACAAGTGCTCAGACCTGGTGCACTGGGAAGACCCAGAGGGATCGGGCGGAGAGGGAGGTGGGAGGGGGGATCGGGATGGGGAACACATGCAACTCCATGGCTGATTCATGTCAATGTATGACAAAACCCACTACAATATTGTAAAGTAATTAGCCTCCAACTAATAAAAAAAAAAAAAGATATGGCATATAGCAGATGGTCTAAAATCCTGACTGGTGGTTCATCAAGGCAAGACGTTCTGTCTCTAGTCTTTGTATTATTTTCACGGTGTTTATTTCCTTCTGGAGCCCTGTGAAGCCCCCACTGGTTTCAGGACTGTTCAGTTGACTCTGTAGGGTGGAGGATACACACAGGTCCTGAGAATTACCTTCAGTCCTGTTCCCTGAAGGAGGAGCACGTGAGGCAAAGTAGCAAACAACAAAGGAGGAACTAGTGCAGATCTACTGGATAGACATATTGGCTGATGCAGGATCCAGCAAATAAATGACATTTCTGCATTTTTCAAACATGTTTTGGATGGAGAGCATATGTAGCTAATGAAATTCATAAGAAAAGACTATAAGACATAATGTAGGGGATATGGGTTCGATCCCTTGTCAGGGAACTAAGATCCCACATGCCTTGGGGCCAAAAAACCAAAACAGGAAACAGAAGCAATGTTGTAACCAATTCAATAAAGACATTAAAAATGGCCCACATCAAAAAAATCTTTAAAAATAAAAGATGTAACACACATAACTTTCTGTATTTGAGGCATAACACACACACCTGAAGAACGTATACTGTATATGTCTGTAAAAAATCTAGGTTAAACATTTTAAATCACACTTGCTATTAAGTAACTTCTGGAATCACTGGCTTTCTGCATGCGTTTCTGTAGCCTACGATGACAATGGTAGCTTTGTGTTCATGGCCTTTCAAAGATTGATGATTGACTTGTGATGCAAATATTCCCAGGGTGATCACGAAGATGCAGCCCCAGGTGATAAAGGGCCTCCTGGACCGCCGGGCCCCCCTGGCAGAGCAGGACCTAGGGGGCCCCCAGGCCTGGGATTTCCTGGCTCTCCAGGAGAGAGAGGGCAACCAGGAGCTCCAGGCTACCCAGGCAACAGGGGTCCTGATGGTCGGAAGGGTCAGAAAGGTAACTTTGAATGTTCTTGTGGCAGAATGTCAGGTGCAATTATGGAAACTAAAGTGAGCCTCTCTTCTGAGCAGAGATATCACAGCTGTGGCAGAACCTCTAAAATAAAATTCCTACAAGTTGCTGTTCAAACCTTGAATGTTGTCAAACAAATAAAAGGATTACAGCACGATCAATATTTAAAACAAGTCTTTAAAATGCTCAGCTGTCTTTGCTGTTTTACTGGTTTGGCAAATTGCCTTTCATTCATTTCTCCATATCACTGTGGACAATCTGACTCTTAAAATTACATATGTGTATGTTTAAAAAATCTCTCTTTTTAAAAGTGTTTCAATGTATGACAAAACCCACTGCAATGATGTAAAGTAATTAGCCTCCAACTAATAAAAATAAATTAAAAAAAAAATTAAAAAAAAAAAAGAAAAAAAATAAATAAATAAAAGTGTTTCAAGATAATTTGTTGTATTTTAGTTAAAAAACACCAACATTTCATTTTAAAATACAGCATTGCCCATGAAAACCCATTTGTAAGCATTCTAGGGAGAAAAAAAATGGTCTTTTAAATATATTTGACAGTTATTTGAATTCCAAACAATAAAGTGATTTGTAGTTTTAGAGCTGAAAACTTTTAAAAACTTGGAAAAAGATTTATTTAAGATTTTGTAATATGTACATGTAACTTGGTTTACATAGTTAATTGTGGGATTTTATAATATATCTTTGGTTTTTGTTTTGACGACATAGAAAGACAAATAACTCAAAATTTGATATGGATTAAGATTATGGTTTGTGACCATCAAAATCATCTAGCATGATTTTTATTCATGTGGTTCATTTTTTATTTGACAGCATTTAGTGTAATACATTAGGAGATGTAATTTCTATTAAAAGGGGAACATTGCGTTTTAAAGGAGACGAGAACTCAGAGGCACTACTTTGAAGTTTTTTTCACTAAATAAAATGAGGGATGACAAAAACCACATTGCAGAGTCATTAGGAAAACAAGAGAGAGAGAATATATTTGAAACATGGCAGGCCCTCAATAAATGGCATTTTTTTTCATTAATCTCTCTCCCAGTCTCTTTTTCCTGGGGCACAATTCCCCTACATCCAGAGCCAAATCTTGGAATCTTAGTGTTGGATGCTTACTACTGTTTCATGATTTATCAGAGCTTCTGACTCCACTGTATTAGGCATCCATGGACCTATAAATTTATTATTTTCTATAGATTATTAATTAAAATATTTCTTAGAATCAACATTTTCCTTATTCCCCTTCTGTTTATTACTGTTCTGACAGTTGAAGTTCAGATTTCAGGTTAGATCCTCTGGAAATTCAAAATAAAAGTAATTCAAGTGACATTATGAAGAGTTGACTCATTGGAAAAGACCCTGATGCTGGGAGGGATTGGGGGCAGGAGGAGAAGGGGATGACAGAGGATGAGATGGTTGGATGGCATCACCGAATTGATAGACATGAGTTTGAGTAAACTCCAGGAGTTGGTGATGGACAGGGAGGCCTGGCGTGCTGCGATTCATGGGGTCGCAAAGAGTCAGACATGACTGAGCAACTGAACTGAACTAATGATGGCCAAGAGTCTTTTTCTTTTGAATTTCACATTTTCTATATGAAAAAGCATTTTGATTAAGCTGTTATTGAGACTTGCATAGATCTATCAATTATATGAATGTCACTTTTTTTTTCTTTTTCATTCCAGGTGACACAATTCCTTGTAACGTAACATACCCTGGGAGGCCAGGCCCTCCAGGTTTTGATGGTCCTCCAGGTACGATCAAGGAGAAATTCCTGTCATACACATTCTCAAAGTAAAAGAACCTCAAGACAGATAAACCAATAGCAAATCCTCAGGGAGTTCTTCAGGCTATTTCTACCCTGATTGTAAAGTTTTGAGAGACTCTGGGGAAACAGGATTTATAGGCATTACCCCTAAGTCCCCAGTCTACCGAACACACTCTGAATAATATTTCTTTGCAGCAAAATTTACCTTGATTTGATCACGTATCAGCAAAACTGACTGCTCTTTTAACACAAAAACTGAACATTTTAAAACTTTATCTTTTCTTTACCTCTTTCCCCAATAGTGAAAAAGTTGCTTACTAATTTTAAGTTTTACTCTATTCTGCTGTCCAAAAGACCCAGATTTCTGACTGGAGACATTCTGAAAAATGCCCACACATCTACACCCCTGACTACACTTTTATACAATCATGTCACTTGATTCAATCACTTATTTATAGCTGAATTTAACCCAAAATTTATATAAGGGATTTTTTTTTTCCTAGTTCTTTTTTACTGAGTGGGCCAAAAAGTTCATAACACCTTATAGAACAAACTTTTTGGCCAACCCAATATTCATTCAGAGTTCACTTAAATTGACCCATTAAGTACTAGCATAGCCACTAGAGGTCACCTTTTTGTTCTGCGTCACTACAGAAATTATTTAAAGGTTGAATGATGAATGACCTTCTGTTGCCCTCTTTAACCGCTAGCTTTCATCCCAATATGTTGTGTAACAACCTCCAAATTGCAGTGGGCTTAATAAATCATATTTATTTTCTCTTGTATGGGTCTGTAGTTGGTTGACCTTAGATGGTCTCTGTTGACTTGGTCCCTGGCTCCAGGTCAGGTTAGATCTGCAACACGTACCTCTGTGGTGCCAGGGTATGCCCTGCTCCTGTGGCTGCAGAAACGTAAGAGGGTGGCATCCAGCTTCACCGGCACACCTCACACCTCTCATTGCTTCATGGTGTTAGTGAGGATCCTTTTGGCCAAAGCAAGTCACATGACCAAGCCCCAGATCAAAGTGTGGGTCATACAGGTCACCCACCACAAGACGGTAGCTTGTGTAATTTTGTGTCTATGGAGTGAAGAATTGTTGGTTGATTCACTGAATGCTCACTTTCACATAGAATGGTACTGTCATGGATAGATGTGTTTGGCACTCAGTTGTATCCGACTCTTTGTGATCCCATGAACCATAGCCTGCCAGGCTCCTCTGTCCATGGGATTTTCCAGGCAAGAATACTGGAGTGGGTAGCTGTTCTTTCTCCAGGGGATCATCCTGACCTGGGGATCAAACCTGGGTCTCCCACATTGCAGGCAGATTCTTTACCTTCTGAGCCACCAGGGAAGCCCCTATGGATGGATAAAAAAATGCGTATGATTACTTTCAGCAACTTCAGCCTCAAGGGAAGTGAACACTCAGTTTCAGTTAACAGTTGTTAACTCCTTTGAAATCCATAATTTATAAGTTATTTTAGCTGAGATAGCTCCTAGCAAGAAATCACAGAAAGTTTAAAAAAACTCAATTCCTTTTGCAGGTACTTTTTGCCTGTACTTCATATAAGGGCAAATGTAGTAAATGCAGGGAAATAGATTTGGTCTTTATTCTGGTGTTTTCTCATCAAGCTACATACTGGCCACCACCTCTGTCGTCTTAGAAGGAAGGTTGTACTTGTGTATTTGTGTTTGAGACTCAGCGCGGGAAGGTACCAAAATGTTCATCTGAATGGTGGTATAAATTCTTTACTGTATGGCTTCTGAGAAAGTAACTTAATACACATCTCTGTGAAATACTCCTTTGGAGCACATGACATAAAATGATTATATAAATATGGCTAGGGCTTCCCTGGTGGCTCAGCGGTAATCAATCTGCCTGCAATGCAGGAGACACAGGAGATGTGGGTTCTATTCCTGGGTCGGGAAGATCCCCTGGAGGAGGGCATGGTAACCCACTCCAGTGTTCTTGCTGGGAAAACCCCATGGAGAGAGGAGCCTGGGGGCTACTGTCCACAGGGTCACAGAGTCACACTCAACTGAGCAACTGATCAGGCACATGCAGGCAACACTTTTACTTCCATAAAGTAAAAATATCCTAAAAAAGATTTAACATAGTTTTGGTTTTTTTTTAAGTCATCTTATTGTGTTCTCATTTGCTTTGTGTTTTATTGAGTCTTTGTTGTTATTGTTTAGGTCCAAAGGGACTTCCAGGTCATCGGGGTGCTTCTGGGCTGAGGTGTTTGGATGGGCAAAAGGGTCAACGTGGCAAACCAGGACTCTCAGAAAGACCTGGACCATCTGGTAAATAACAGCTTTTCATTTAGAAATGTCTGGATACCTCTAAACTGGGTGATCACAGTCAGGAAATGGCCCAGGGATCCCTACGTGAGTGGAGGATGGGTGTTTTTTTTTTTGATACATTAAGCACTTAGCTATGTTTTGATAACTTCTGGGTTATACTTTTGTGACTTTTCAGGGCTCCTTAAGCCTGGAGCATGAGTTATAGGCTATTATTGGTCTATGTTGTTAGAAACTGCTCAGTCTAGACAGTTTGCCAGTAAATGAAAGCAATATGGAAACACCATTGGCTTATAGGAAACACAGTTACAATTTTTCAACAACAACAAAAAAACCCAATATTGCCTATTAAGTTACCCTTTAATTTTAGTAAGTACCCCTGTATTTTAAAATAATGTGTTTTTAATTAAAGTAGCATGCTTACACATGTGTTGGTTTTATATTTGTAACATGTAAAAATTTAAACACTTTTCTGTTGGATAGGTTTCCGTGGTGATACAGGAGAACCAGGTTTGGGAGGTGAAAAGGGGTCCTCCCCTCTTGGGCCCCCAGGCGCTCCAGGTTCACCTGGAGTGAATGGTCAGAAAGGACCCCCAGGAGATCCTGCTATCGGCTACCCAGGACTCCCGGGAAAGAGTGGTCTTCCAGGAGCACCAGGGTCCAAAGGACTCAGAGGCGATGTCGGGCATCCAGGGACCACAGGTATGAGGGCAGCACTGTCCCCTCGGTCCATAAAGCTAAGTCCCTGAACAGGTCCCTGAGGAATGTCTAGATTGTCTCGCCTTAAAAATCTAGAATGTTAAATGTTCAGTGGAGCATCTTCCCTAATCTATGGGCAGTGGTTACGTTTCTAGGAACCTGCATCCCCAGAGTTGCCTCTGCATTTTATTGGTTGTTTTCCTGTGGCTCAGTCAGTTCAGTCTGATCCAGTGGCTACCAGATGTCCTCCTGCTTTGGACTCAGGACAGTGTGTGAGTGCTGAGGAGTAGGAGCCCCGTGACCCTCGCACTGCCCTTGCCCGACTGAGAGAGGGCAGGACAGGATGCCAGCAGATGCTGTATTAGGTGGACAGGTGACAGGCTGGAGGGAACTTTCATTCCAGAGATGGCCCCTGGCACTGATTCCCATTCTTTTCTGAAATCACTTTGGATTCTTCAGGATCCCTAGCAGAGGCTTTCAGATTTTAATGTACTTAAAAATAACCCAGGGTAGGGGTCATTAACATCATTGTCTTCTGGGCCCCAATCTCAGAAATTGTGATTCATTGCATCAGAATTGCATGGAACCCAGCAGTCTGAACTTTAGCCCCTGAAGCTTGGTGACCAAAAGTGGACCACAGATCAGACTTTCACACACACCCTTCTAGTTCTTTTCTTACAGTGGATCGGCCTGTATTTAATAGGTACCCAGGATAGTACTATACAACAGTGCAGGGAAGACAGGGGGCCGGTGAGTAATCCACATTTTTTGTCCTCGGGGAGCTTATTCAATAGTTTGTATATAAACCAGAAACATTCCTAAACAGAAACCCATTTAATTGGAACAGAACAAGATAATACATTATGTGAGTCAATGAAAATAATTTTGACCCAGTAATCCCACTGTCTCACTTATGGGATGTATTTAAGGCAAGTGTTCAACAGAATGTGAAAGTTAATATGAAAATACTGTTGTAGTATTATCCACAATAGGGGAACAATTGAAAACAGTAAAGTAATATATATACATGCTCACAAAGGAATACTACTCAGCTATAACAATTAATGTTTCCCAGGTGGCTCGGTAGTAAAGAATCTGCTTGCCAAGCAGGAGATGCAGGAGACATGGGTTTGATTCCTGAGCTGGGAAAATCCCTTGGAGAAGGAAATGGCAACCCACTCCAGTGTTCTTGCCTGGAGAATCCCAGAGACAGAGGGACCTTGCAGGCTACAGTCTGTGCAGTTGCAAAAGAGTCGGACACGACTTAGCAACTGAACAGCATTAACAATTAAAATTATGTCTGTAAAGATTACAATAAAATGGAAAATATTTGCATATTAACTTGCAATGTAAAATAATCCAACAACTGAAAGTGCTCTGTGATTACTATTTAAAAAATGCAAACACATGAACCAAAATACAATGAAAACATGAAACAATAAAATAGAGTTTTAGGTTAGAGTACAGAATTATGGAAGACTTTTTCCTCCTCCTGAAAATTATGGTGTTATCTTCTCAATATATAAAAATTTGAGAGTTCCAGTGATGAAATCACTTACAAAATGCCAATTCAGACAATGTACACAGGGTGTATAAGCAGTGTGGAGATTTGGTGTAAGGGCCGCTGCAATGTTAGAGGTTAATGAAAATCAGGAAGAGCTACATTTAAAAAAAATTTGCATAAGCAACTTCTGTATTGTCTGCATAACCTTACCAAGTAATTCTCATAGACAGGCATGGTTTTTGGGTGTACTTGGAGCTCACTATAATCTATGACAAGAAAATGCATTCAGAGGCGTAACTCATTGGAGCCCTGAGTCAGGATCAAAATGTTTACCTCCAATACTGATCCACACGAACACCATCGTAGGCCATCTGTATGGTTTATGTCCTGAGTATCACAATGAACTGTCATTTCAGGGCCAGCTGGCATGCCCGGATTTCCAGGTCTCCAAGGTCCCAAAGGCCGAGAGGGAAATGCTGGGTTTCCAGGGATCCCAGGCCCACCTGGTCACTCCTGTGAAAGAGGTGCTCCAGGGATCCCAGGGCAACCAGGGCTCCCCGGGGCTCCAGGCAGTCCAGGTAAGCATTGGCAGGTGTCAAGAACTGTGACAGGTATGGGATGTACCTACTTACAAAGGAATAACCTCACTTGTTGTTCTTTTGTGGGTGCTGACAGGAGCAAGACTCTTGGGTCAAGGACATTATTATTCACAGCACAGCAAGTAGCATGAGCTTCCTATTGGTGACATTCCGCCATGTCACCCAAGTCTCTCAGGTGTGATCTAAGATGGGCTAGTGGATGTTGCATACATGATGGGTTGCAGTTTCTGAGCCTGGGTTACTATGGCTGTATAGTAACACATTATTGATTGGAGATATATTAATACATTTTTAGAGAGTGATTACAATTAACATCACCATGTGAAGTTGTTAGAGCTTAAAATGATCAAGAGTTCATTATACAACTTATTGTCGTTTTCATTCACATTATCCTGTGTTAGGTTTTTGTTCTAACCTAGTGTATATTATAAACCGAAGTTTATTACCATAAAATTTTAAAAATTAATACATTGCAAAAAGTTTAACTGAAGAAGAATTTTTTGGTGAATTTTATACAGATATTTTATCTGATTGTCCATGTTACATATATAGTAGTTTCTCAGAAGATGATAGTAATTCAGAATATAGTTCTGATTCAGACAATAAAAACCTTAGTGATTGATTCTGACATGCAAGTGAAACTAAAACTCATGATACCAATACATGGTACATGGTATTATAGATGTGTCAGATGTAACTGGGGCTTCTCCAATGGTTCTGCAGGTTGAGTCCACCTGCAAGGAAGGAGACACAGGAGACATGCGGGTTTGATTCCTGGGTCTCCCCTGGGGGAGGGCATGGCAACCCACTCCAGCATTCTTGCCTGGGAAATCCCATGGACTGAGGAGCCTGGTGGGCTACAGTCCATGGGGTCAAAGAGTTGGACACGACTGAGCGACTAAGCACACATGGAATGAACTAGCCAGCAAAGTGTTAGTGAAATAACAGAATTAATCTTTGGCCAGCCAAGATAAAAATCACTGGCCACAAGCATTCGTTTCTGCAAAAATCCTCTGGTCAGTAATGAGGTAACCTGCATGACAGCCTGCTCTTCTCACCAGAAAGAAAGTGAAAGTGTTAAAGTGTTCGTGGCTCAGTTGTGTTTGACCCTTTGCGACCCCATGGACTGTAGCCCGCCAGGCTCCTGTGTCCATGGGGTTTTCCTGACAAGAATACTGGAGTGGGTTGCCATGGCTTCCTTTGGGGATCTACCTGACCCAGGAATCAAACCCACATCTCCTGTGTCTCCTGCATTGCGGGCAGATTGATTGCCACTGAGCCACCAGGGAAGCCCCAGTTTTCTTCATAGTTCAGTTCAGTTCAGTCACTCAGTCGTGTCCGACTCTTTGCGACCCCATGAACCGCAGCACGCCAGGCCTCCCTGTCCATCACCAACTCCCGGAGTCCACCCAAACCCATGTCCATTGAGTCGGTGATGCCATCCAACCATCTCATCCTCTGTCGTCCCCTTCTCCTGCCCTCAATCTTTCCCAGCATCAGGGTCTTTTCCAATGAGTCAGCTCTTCCCATCAGTTTCTTCACAGGGGAGGTACTAAATCATGTCAAGGCTGTTCACTGCCAATACAACCTTGAGAATATTCCAGATAAGGGTGAGTCTGGACTCTGTGTTCTTGGCACACCCAGCAAGATATCATAGGAGCTCAAAGACCCATGAAAAACTCTCTCTCAACACAGGGGTGCCAGGGGGCTATTTCCAATGGGATCTTTATTTCATCATTAAGATTGTCATCTATTATTTAGATCCTAATGGCATCTATCCAAAACCAGGAATATGCCTTCTTGAAGGAGCCGAATGAGATGGTAGCAAACTGTGCCACTAGAGCTTTATTTTTACCACTGTAATACTAGATGACATTGCTGTTTCCTATAGTTCTCTCATTACAGTAAACAGCTTGACCAAAATTCACTTGGCGGTAGCTTCAAAAAGCACCTGGAATGTTTTCTTCTGTTAGTTCCACCCTCGCCTCACCTTAGAGTAAATACAAATTCTTTACCCTTATCCATTTTCCATTTTAAAAGACTCTTTATAATGCATCCCAACAGGGAAATATTTACTTAAATAATCTGCCTTTCTTTTTATAGCAGCCAGAAAAATATAACCTTAAACTGATGGAAAGTCGCTACTGTTATTTTAGCTGATAAGTATTGTTTACTTGGCCATAGATACACAATTGAAGTTACTCTGGATTTTTTTTTTTTTCCTGCTCATGTGTGAAGCCAGTTCTCAGTCTTCATGCCTTGTTGTCACTGCTGTTTGTCACATCACAGGTGCCCCAGGATGGAAAGGACAGCGAGGGGACATGGGGCCTCTGGGACCTGCTGGAATGAAGGGCCTCCCTGGAGTCCCGGGATGGCCAGGCGCAGATGGAACCCCAGGTCTTCCAGGGCTCCCAGGCCCCACTGGAGATGATGGGCTACCTGGTCTTCCAGGTCCAAAGGGTGTGTATCGCTTTTCCAATATTTCCCTTAGTTTATAAACTTAAAATCCACTGCCAGGTGAAAACTACTCTTGTACATGTGACTTTACTGTAGGATTTAACTGGTCTATTGAAAGTGAAAGTGCAAGTCACTCAGTCGTGTTGGACTCTTTGTGACCCTGTGGACTATACAGTCCATGGAATGAATTCTCCAGGCCATAATACTGGAGTGGGTAGCCTTTCCCTTCTCCAGGGTATCTTCCCAACCCAGGGATCAAACCCAGGTCTCCCACATTGTAGGCAGATGCTTTACCAGCTGAACCACCAGGGAAGCCCAAGAACACTGGAGTGGGTAGCCAATCCCTTCTCCAGCAGATCTTCTGGACCCAGGAAACAGCTTGACTGGTCTATTAGCCTGGCTTTATCATTTCCCATGGGGCTCCTTCCTTCTTCGTGTCCTCTGTATTGTGATTTTCAGGGGCAGAATGTTTTGGTTTAAGTTAATGGGAAAAAGGGGTGTGGTGGAGTTAGGTATACAGAACCCATAAACACTTCTGCCCAAAGGACCAGGGGTCCTTATAGAGAGTGGGATTAGGGCAGGTGTGCATCCACCCTGGATGGCCCCCCACACTCCACCCCACCTCCCCCAGGCTCAGTTCCCTTGAAGTTTATGGAGTTGGGACTCAGAAGTATAAGGGCCTACAGTTGAGATCTGTGGGGCGGAAAACTGAAGCTTGAGTGGGACAGCGTGGCTGTTACAGGTGTGAGGTTGATAGCGGTTGAGCACAAGCTCAGAGCTGGGGCAAGTTCGCATCTCTATGTGGATGGCCAGAAACACAGATAGGAACTTCCCTGGGGGTCCAGTGGTTCCCACTTCACTTTACAATGCAGGGGTGGAGATCTGATCCCTGGTGAGGGAGCTAGGATCTCACATGCCTTGTGGCCAAAAAAACACAAGACCTAAAACAGAAGCAACGTTGTAACAAATTCAATGTAAGACTTTAGAAATGGTCCCCACCCAGCTTCCTTGGTGGCTCAGTGGTGAATCCACCTGCCAATGTAGGAGACACAGGTTTGATCTCTGATCGGAGAAGATCCCACACGCCGGGGAGCAGCTAAACCTGTGCCTTTCAACTAACTGAGCATGCGCTCTTGAGTCTGGGAGCCACGACTACTGAACTCACGTGCCGCAACTACAGAAGCTGTAGCACCCGAGAGTCTGCGCTTCGCAATGAGAAGCCGGAGCGCCACAACGAAGCGCTCCTGTTCTTCGCAACTGGAGACAAGCCCATGCGGCAGTGAAGACCCATCACAGCCTAAATAAATAAATAGCAAAAAATGCTCCTCATCAAATATCTTAAAAAAAAGAAAGAAACACAGTTCCAGGAACCATGCTAGCCTATAAAACTTCCCCTAAATTTTCATGTTCTTATTCATCAGGACCCCAGGGGCTGCCTGGCTTCCTGGGATTTCCGGGAGAGAGAGGAAAACCTGGTCAGGATGGACACCCTGGCAGAAAGGGAGAACATGGAGAGAAGGGTTGGCCTGGCTTCCCGGGAGACCGAGGACTGAAAGGTGGCAAAGGTAAATGCAGCTAACAGCCTCTTGATGCAACACAGCTTGTTTTTAGTCTTTGGCCAGAAACTGTAAGTACAATCCCTGAAAAATAAAATGGATCCTTCTGCCACTTAGATTCTGCTCCTTCTGAATCTGTGGTGTTTGTTTTAGGATTTTAAACAAAATTGGTTTTCCTTACCTCTCAGTCTTATCACATATGACTGTGGTAAATGAATTGTTCTATTAACAGAGAAAATTAACAAGGGCTTTGATGGGTAGCTTTTGGGTTTTAGAAAACCTTTTCACCTTTTGGGAATGGGGTGAAAGCAGGGCTCCTGGCCCCCAAATCCTGCTTCAAGTTTTTTAATAAAAACAAGCAAACAAACAAACTAGTTTTTTGTTTAAAGCCAGATATAAATATTTTAGCCTTTGCAGACCCTATGGTCTCTGTCGAAATTATGCAACTCGCCATTTAGAGCACAAAAGCAGCCTGAGACAAGTAAACAAAAAAACATAGCCGTGTTCCCGTAAAATTTATTTATGGACACTGAAATTGGAACTTCGTTTAATTTCACATGTCATTTTATTCTTCTTATTTTGAGTCCCCTCCCCCAGTGATTAACATTGTGAAATCATTCAGAGCTCACAGATTATATAAAAACTGACAGCAGGCAGGATTTGGCCCTTGGGCCATAGCCTGCTGACCATTCAACTATTTGAGTATGCTTTCATCTGGGCTGTGAATTGCATCTCTCCCAAGCTTTATTTAAAAAAAGAGTTTTCACTATTATTAAAAAAAAGTTTCAAGACCACTGGTGTCAGTGTTCTGTGCCCATTCTTGTTAAATATTTACTTTGATCTCTTAGCCAAAGAGGCTGTGGAGAGTGAAGGTACAAATTCATTTCCACTGTTAAGAGTGAAGGCTTGACAATTTCTAAAAACAAAAGTTTTTGTCTTTGAAACCATTTGGGCAAATAGCCTCATATTTTATTCAAATTTCTTTTAGTTGATTGATTGTACTGTTAGTTTTTGTTTTACTAGCCTGCAAATTATTTATGTAGAATCAAGGAATGAAAGAGTCATTCTCTGCTAGCTTAGATAAGTGATGTTTGCTGTGCTATTATGCTACTATATAATTATCTCACTAAAAATATTTAAAATTGGGTTAATGCCAGTGATGTGCTGGTAGGCTGGCTCTCAAATAAAATTTTTTAAAAATGCCCAGATCTGTAGTGTTTGCAAATACTCCCACCATGACTGATTTAAAACAACCAGTGGTTTAGCAACTAGTTTACAAAATTTTTGACTTGTTAGTAAGTGACTCTCACCAAGCTGGGATGAGCCTACTCCAGCCCACATCTACCACTGGCCAGTGCTTGCCCAAATGAGGAGAAATATTGTCCACCCTTCCTACCTTTTAGAATTCTCTATGTGGAGAACCAAATTAATTGTCCGTTCTTTTAATGTAAGAGAAAATTGGAGGGTAGTTAGGAAGGGGAAAATGAGGAACTGGAAAATATGAGATGGACAATTTAAAATTTACAGGATAAAGAGATGTATTTTAGACCTGGAACTTTTCAAGCCTTTTTTCACTGAGACCAGTTTGCTTGAATTTAGCAAACATTCCCTGAGCACTCAGTGTACAGTAAAGTAAGTCCTCTGCACACGAACCTTCAAGTTGTGAACCTTCAAAGATGCAAACATGTGTTCCATCAATGTCAGGCATGAGTGAAACTGCGCCTCACCCTCCATCTCCTATTGCTGACGATCCTTCAGCTCTGCCATCTCCCACCCCCTGTTCCTCTTCTAGTCAGTAACTCTTGTTTGTTCACTCGATGCCAGCCCCTGTATGCAGCTATTGTAAGGTACTACTTTAGTTTTCAAGATCCTCTATTATAAGATTAAAAGTTTTTCTGTGTGTGTGTTTGCTTTTATATATTATTTGTGTAAAAAATATTATAAACCTATTACAGTATAGTACTATATAAGCCAGCTATGTTAGTAGGGAACCTAGGCTAACTTTGTTGTACTTACAAACAAATTGGACTTACAGATACACTCTAGGAACATAACCCATTCACAGGTAGGGACTTACTATATATCAGACACCGTTGCCGGACAAGGTGGGAAAGGAGTGTAAAAGGCATGGACCTTCCTTTATGAAGTCAATCAACAATGTTGATACCATGCAGTCTGTGAACATAAATACAGTTTCAGTTGAATGAGAATCTGCAAACTGGATGTGAAGAGCCACAAAGGAATAATCACATGTCTGATGCTTCTTATACAGTCATAATTTGTTTTGCTCTTATGTAATTAATATCTAAAGGAGCAAGAGGACCCCCGGGATATGAAGGAGAAATGGATATTATTTCCAAGAAGGGGGAAACTGGAGAACCTGGACCTTCTGGGGATGGTGGATTCCCCGGAGAAAATGGTAAATGCTTATGTTTTTTAACCATACCAAGTAAGTTAACTTCTTTACAGGTCATTCAAACAAGCATGTATATTAGACAACTTTTGCAAGGAAACTGTAATACAGAGTTTAGGAGAGTTCATTCTTTAGATAAAAATAAAAATACATGCTTAGGAATCTCCCTCATGGTACTTTTTTTTCCATGTTAGAACTTAGCTGTAGTTCATGTGTTTAGGGGCTTCCCTGGTGTCTCAGTGATAAAGAATCCACCTGCCAGCGCAGGAGACACGGGTTCAATCCCTGATCCGGGAAGATCCCAGGTACTCTGGAACAATTAAGCCCTTGTACCTGCAGAATAAGAAAGAAATAGATTTGGATATTCCAAATGAGAATCAGTCCAGACAGATACTTGAAACACTGGCTCCAGGCTTGCAGTGTTCCTGGGTTTGAGCTTCCCTGGTGGCCCAGACAGTAAAGAATCTGCCTGCAGTGCAGGAGACCCAGGTTCAATCCCTGGGTCAGGAAGATCCCCTGGAGAAGGGAATGGCAACCCACTCCAGTATTCTTGCCTGGAGAATCCCATGGACAGAGGAGCCTGGTGGGCTACACTCCATGGGGTTGCAAAGAGGCGGACACAACTGAGTGACTAACACTTTCATTAAAACGAATAGCACAGTGACTATCCAGAATTTCAAGTACAAAAGGTGCTACTCGGCCTTCAGTGGGCATCCCTGGGGGCCCTTGTTAAAGTGCAGTTAGCAGGTCTGGATTTCCAACATGCTCCTTGATGCCGGTGCTGCTGGCCCTCAGATACACTGCGGAGCAAGGGTTTTCATGGCAAGTTTGTGTGCCCCTTCCCTGGTTTAGGCCTGATCTGCATGAGACCTGGGTTCTTTCTTTAACTAGTTAGAGGATGAATGTTTTAACTTCTATGGGTAAGTCCTTCTGCATCTGTAAAATAAGCGTGTTATAATAAAGCAAGTGATGCTGGAATAAATAAAGCATCCTTCTCTGGGATAGCCCTGGGTTTCCCTATGGAGGAGTCCTTTTAACGGTGAGATCACAGAAGCCAGAAACCCTTGTGATGTGGTTTAGGGCAGGATTAGTATTCTTAACTCTAGGACATGGCTTCATCTCCTATATGCTTAGTCAATCAGTTGTGTCTGACTCTGCAACCCCATGGACTACACCCTGCCAGGCTCCTCTGTCCATGGGGATTCTCCAGGCAAGAATACTGGATGGGTTGCCATGCCCTCCTCCAGGGGATCTTCCCAACACAGGATCAAGCCCCGGTCTCCCACATTGCAGCCAGATTCTTTACCATATAAGCCACCAGGGAAGCCCTCATCTCCTATAAGTAGGACCAACGACCTGTTTTCTTTTTTTTTTTTTAAACGACCTGTTTTCTAACTATCGCCCAGCCCCAAATTTCCACCAAGAGTTCTGTAACTCTTCCAACTCCATCAGGTGATAAAGGTCATCCTGGGATGCAAGGAAGGAGAGGAGAGCCAGGAAGCTATGGACCACCTGGATTTTACCCTGGGGAGCCCGGGAGAAATGGGCAACCAGGGCTGCCTGGACCCCCAGGCCCTCCAGGCTCACCTGGGCTGAGAGGGGTCGTTGGCTTTCCAGGATTTTCGGGTGACCAGGTAAGCAGCTGCTGTCTTGGAAGGAAAGAAATAGTAAAACCTTTCGCTCTGGGGATGCCCATTAGGCATCTTACTTTGCCAGTGTATGTCAGGGTCCTTTCAACAGCTTTTAGAATATAAGAAGTTGGTTGAGAGAAGAATGGAGACTCTGGAAGGCCATGATGTAACTAATTTCTGGCCAGTGCTCACGCCTGGTTCCAGTGACAAGTCACTTAGTCCGCATACTACTCCTTCTTTGTTTAAACAGCTTCATAGAGACTTGCCTCAGGACTGCTGGTACACCAGATTAAAGAGTCATGTGAAAAATGACCCAAATTCTGGTTTCAAAGCCTTCCTATCCAATGGCAGACATCATAGATTTTGTTGTAAATATTTTTTATCTTTACGATCATGAGCAAAATACCCCAGGAAGTAAAACTGCAGGAGCCTACCTTACAACTTCTGGATAATGTATAACATACTTTGCTACTCATTTTTGGAGTAAAATAGATTTTTAAAGCTTTGGGTATGAACTACTTTTTTTTTTAACTACTTTATAATAATATTTTATTTGGTATCAGTTCGTTCATTCAAAGCTTCAAGTTCAAATGATGTGATGCAATTACTGTTTTACAATCAAATATAGAGAATTGGGTACCTCCTGTTGGTATTGCTAATTCTGGAAGCATTTTGTCAACTTTTTACAAACTGGATGCATGCAGTGATATGCTTGCGATGCATTTCCAATTTTCTTTACCACAGCAAATCATAAAAGCCTAATTTGTTATAGAAAATGATAACTGGGTCATGTCAAGAGTGTGTCATTTGTGTCTGAAATTCAGTTAAAGTCTTACTTCTGTTTCATTAAACTATCAGGGTGAGCCAGGTTCTCCAGGGTGCCCGGGACCTTCAGGAATTGATGGTACAAGAGGACCTAAAGGTATGGCTTGGAAATACAGTAGCCATCCACCAAGCTCATAGTCCTGGGTGTTTGTAACATTGTGAGCAAGTACCTTTGGCATGAAAAGCAAAGTGTATCAAACTGCAACATTTAAAGAGTTCTTCACAGACTCTACTAGATAGTCAGATAAGACCTCCATCATCTGTATTTGTCACTCAGATCCAATGGTACTGTGTAGAAAACACGTTCGCGTGCTTGGCAGGCGTCCTTGCAGCTGTTCTAGTGACTGCAGCTCCGTGAGTGACAGCTCACATTGGTGGCCCATGTCGCGTGCCCCCGAGGAACCAGCATCGCTTCTAAGAAGTACATGGGTGCAGCTTTTAGGGGCTTGGTCACAGGAGTCACGGTAGATAGAGAAAGCCACAGCCTTGGCCTCTCACCAAGTGCTGATGGTTCACTAAGAACTCCTGGGCCAAGTGTAATTTACAATTGGGATTTTTTACCATAAGCCAAAGGTCAGCAGATATATTTTTTGACAGAGGGCCGGATCATAAATATCTTTAGCTGCGTGAGCTCTGCTGCAACAACAGTACATGAAAACACAGCAAGTGTGAAAGCTGCATGAAAACAAAGGGGTAAAGCTGTGTTCCAATAAAACTTTATTTACAGAAGTCTGCAGGCTGCATTTGGCCTCACAGGCCTTAGTTTAATTTATGCCAGAGACAGTGTTGCCTTGTAACACAACTTACATTCTACCTTTACCAGGTTTCCAGGAAAATAGGAATAGAAAGTTAACCCCAGGTTAAAAATGTCCTTAGAAATAGTGGTTTCATTAACTCTTTATGCAGATAAACAAACAAACAGAAATCTGGCTATCTTAAATTGCAATGTTTACACACAAGCTTTAATATTTTTACTATTTTTGTGTACTATTGGGTTAATATTTTTCTTTAAATCTACTTTAAAATGATTCACCTTTTTAACCTTAGCCTTACCCTCACTATCTGTGAATTTACAGGCTTGATGTACAGTTATGTTTTATTTTAATATAGGTTAAAATAAATAACCCTAAAATATGGAACAGTAATTATTGAGCTGCCTAAAAATCTTCTCCCTTACTACCAGTGAAACATGCTTTTTACTTTGAGAGACACTCCATAAATAATGGGATAATTGCTATATGAAAAAAATGAACTGTGCACCCTTACTTATTCAGAAAGAGTAATTTAGATCTCCTCTTCAGAAACACTTACAAATAGGAACGTTTTCATATTTGATTTTGACATTGTATAGCTTCAGTGCTCAGAACACACTTCTCGTCTTTTCTTCTATTCATCGATGCATTTATTATAGACGTTTCGCCTCTCTCAAAGAACAAACCTATTTCTTCTCATTTCCTTCCTCCTTGCATTTGGCCATCTTTTCCAGAAAATGAAGTACAATGAAGATACTGAAGTAAAAGCTGTCTCGTGGAGCCCACAAATAAGAGCTATAGTTCTGTGGGACCACAGTCTGATGGAACCTACCCCTCGGGCAATCCATAGTTTTTTCTCTTGAGACTTGTCTCCATGGTCTGATTTTCACTTATCTGCCTACAACCAGATTTATCACTGTGTATTCAATATCCTTTCTGGATCTCTCTGGATATGTTTGGATTGCACTTGAACATGATCTGTACCAGGACATTGTGATAACCAACCTCCATCATGAAAATGCTTTTGATTTCTGCCTCAATAGGCAAGGAACTCAAATTCTTACTTTTTATTACAACTTCTCAAAGGCTGGATGACCTGGGATGGACCAGATTTGTACCCTTCAAAGGGCTAACCACAATTATGAGTAGGGTCAGGGGGAAGAGAACCTTCTCTAAGGTGTGGGTGAGACCCCTTTAAAGGGTTGTTGGTGGGCAGGTGCTACAACATGTGCCTAATTAGCTCTCTTCTTCTCTTTAAACCACATCAATTATTTTTCCCTTCCCTACTACACCATTCTGAATCCTCCGTTTATAATTGACTCTCAGTTCAGTTCAGTAGCTCAGTCATATCTGACTCTTTGCGACCCCATGAACCACAGCATGCCAGGCCTCCCTGTCCATCACCAATTCCCAGAGTTTACCCAAACTCATGTCCATTGAATCAGTGATGCTATCCAACCATCTCATCCTCTGTCATCCCCTTCTCCTCCTGCCCTCAATTTTTCCCAGCATCAGGGTCTTTTCCAATGAGTCAGCTCTTCGCATCACGTGGCCAAAGGATTGGAGTTTCAGCTTCAACAGCAGTCCTTCCAATGAACACCCAGGACTGATCTCCTTCAGGATGGACTGGTTGGATCTCCTTGCAGTCCAAGGGACTCTCAAGAGTCTTCTCCAATACCACAGTTCAAAAGCATCAATTCTTTGGTGCTCAGCTTTCTTTATAGTCCAACCCTCACATCCATACATGACCACTGGAAAAACCATAGCCTTGACTAGATGGACCTTTGTTGACAAAGTAATGTCTCTGCTTTTTAATATGCTGTCTAGGTTGGTCATAACTTTCCTTCCAAGGAGTAAGCAGCTTTTAATTGACTCTCGACTATAATGTATTAATAAGTCTTTGTGTCTGAAAGGACACAGCAGTAGTGTGGAACAGCTCTGTGGGACTGTGAGAATCAGTGCCTACAATGGCCTTTGAATGTGCCTTGTGAAGTCATCAATAAGATGACTTTTTGTGATTTTGTTTTTTTTACAAGGACACTGAGTTGAACTTCCTTGCAGAGAGCTTGAAATGTGATTGCAGTAGCTGAAACAGTAACAGTTTCTGCTTTCTCTTTCTGAAAAACAGTATGAGGATATAGTTACTCAATGCCAAGTAATTTCTTAAATAGACATCTAAATTTGAAACTACTTTAGAAAATTAAAAATTTAAGCTTACTAAGATCTTTTGTTTCTTATGACTGTTATGAACTATAAACGTGTGTGTGTGTGTTTAAGTCGCACCTTGGATCTGTGTTCTTACATATGTTCTTAAATCTCACCTTGCATCCTCTATGTTCTTATGTAGGGGTAAAAAAAAAGCATTTTTCAAAAAATCCTTACCTGGAACATTGAAGATAGATGATAAAAACACAAATACATGAAAATTATTACATCACTTGGAGGAAAAACTATAAACTCTCTTAAATAATGTGTGTATTTTATCACTTACAGGGTACAAAGGGGAATCTGCAAGTCAGTTTGGCCTACCTGGTCCAAAGGGTGAGCCAGGTAGCCCCGGATATCCAGGTACAGACACATCGTTTTCTTATTCAAACAAAAAAGAGTGTGTTTTGAAAAATAGAACAATTACTTCATCCTCCTCGCTGGAAATGATTGTATCAGTATTTTCTCCCCTCTTTACTCATTAAGATACATATCAGAAGGACTATGTGTAGGGACTTAACCTCTGATGGTCCAGAGGTTAAGAATCTGCCTTCTAACGGTTCAATCCCCGATCAGGGAACTAAGATCACAGATGCCGTGGGGCAAGTATATCCATGTGCTACAACTAGAGAAGCCTGTACACTACAATAAAGGCCTGACACAGCCAAAGAAATAAATCTTTTTTTAAAAAAGAAAGAAACAGAAAACTTATGTATAAACACTGGCCTAGGAGAGCACTGGAGACTCACCATCTTCTTTCCATCATGGGTCCCATGACTTGGGATGTTAACAACACACTTCCCAGGGTCAAAAGTGAAAATTTGGACCCTTTTACAATCTCTGTAATTAAAAATGGTAATTAGCAAGAACCACTCAACTGACAGGTTTTCATTCCAACCCTTTCTTTTCTACTCACAAAAGCATAGGTGAATGACCCGAGGGCCGCTATTGCTGAGATATAATATTATAGAATACCGCATTTCCTGTGTATCTAATTTACTAAAAACCAAACCAAAAAAAAAAAATGTAAAGCTTCATCATCCACAACAAGTCTTTGGAAACAGTACTCTATTTATCAGCAACAGATGATGTGTAATCCCTCAGAACAGATGACAGTGTTCCAGTGAGTTCTTGCCCTCCATAGAGCCTGTGGCTGCCTACAGTAGATGACCCACAGCTGACAAAATACACATAGCCTTTTACTAATTCTGCATGTTGGAATACACCTGAAGTCAATAATCAGACAAATGTACAAAGGTGTGTGCACAAGGATATCCACTGCCAGGAAGGAATATTTGTTTCTCCACCCATAATTGGTTCAATCAGTGATGCCCAGGGCTGTTAAGCTGATAGTGGGCAGGTTAGAGACCAGATTTACATTTAGATGAGCACTGTGTAAATTAAGGGCTTCCAAGGTGGCTTTGTGGTAAAGAATTTGCCTGCCAATGCAGGAGACACAGGAGACAGCGGTTCAATCCCTGGGCTGGAAAGATCCCCTGGAAGAGGAAATAGCAGCCCACTCCAGTATTCTTGCCTGGAGAATCCTGTGGACAGAGGAGCCTGGTGGGCTACAGTCTGTGTGGTCACAAAGAGTCGGACATGACTGAGCATGCACTTGTAAATTAAATGTCTCATATTAATAGTTTCATGCTTTATCTTCAAATTCTCTTTGGTGATGGTGATGTTTCATTCTATATGACAGACTATCTGAGCAGATCTATTATGGGAATTTTTATTTCTTTCTTTTTATTTCACTTCTTTATGTATTTATTTATTTTAAAGAATAAATAAAAAATTTGTTTTTTAACTTTAGACATTTTATAGGGTTTCAGTTGTCTTTACACTCTATGTGTGTGTGTTAGTCGCTTAATTGTGTCTGACCCTTTCTGACCCCAGGTACTACAGAGCCCATTAGGCTCCTCTGTCATGGAATTTTTCTAGGCAAGAGTACTGGACTGGGTAGCCATTCCCTTCTCCAGGGGATCTTCTCAACCCAGGGATCAAACACACATCTCCTGCATTCCTGGTAGATTCTTTACCATCTGAACCACAAGGGAAGCCATTTACACTCTGTTTACCTCCACAATTCAATAAATTATAGGCACAGGGAAGCCATATTTACAATAAGAATGAATTAAATTTTGTTTTTATATCATAAATTGCTAAAATGGAAATCTAACAGAAGAACAAGCCATTACCCTGGCAAAACCTTCCTTTCCCATTCCCTTCCCTTTGGGTCTTTTACCTCTGGTGTGTCAAATAGATTTAGGTAATATAATTTTAACTGAGATGTATAGCTTACGTGTGTACCTTTGGAGGGGAAAATAGCTTTGAGGTTAGCATTGTAGGGGTTCATAAAAAGTACCAGAATGAGGTCTCAGAAAGGAAAATCACTGGTTCAAAGTCAACCTCCATTACCACTGAATATGTGGTCTTGGGTCAGTTGCTTATCATCTCTGAGCTGTTTGCTCATCTGTAAACTGTCCTTAAGCAGATCACAGGTTGTTCTGAAGATCAAATGAGATTCCAAAAAGTGCTACACAAATATAATGTGTAATTCATCATTGTCATCATCAGCAAAACATGAAGAAATCTTTCCACACTTACTGCTATTTTTATGTAAAACCTTTAAGAGAATAAGATTTCATGAGCTGAAAGTAGTCCAAAATGGAGACCTTTTATATTACCTAATATTTTAAGTTAAAAATCATAAAGCTGAGTTATTTTATATATAGGCTCACTTTTTCAGGAAAATTTGCCTTGGTATTGTATTTCCCTGGTCTCCTGTGGTTATCACCATTTAAATCATTCCCTTTCCCAAATGCCATGGCTTTTGCTTAAATTTTTAAAGTTACATCATACTTTATGTACCAGCACAGAGTTTACCTAAACATGCAATTTTCATTGACTGGAAAAAAGCTGGATTGAATTTGAACAAGCCTAACAAGAAGGCATGGACCTGCAGCCTGTCTCAGGGGACTTTATATGATTGTATTGGGTTCAGTTCTACTTCCCCTTCCTTTGTTTCAGAGAGCAAATACAGTAGAGATTAACCCAGAAGTTCTGTTCTTAATACAACTGTGATTGGAGAAGCAAGCCTTTAATAGTACAGTTTTTTCATTTGCAAAAGGGCTTCCCTGGTGGTTCAGTGGTAAAGAATCTGCTCGCCAGTGCAGGAGACCTGGGTTCAATCCCTGGGTAGGGAATATTCCCCTGGAGAACGAAATGGTAACCCACTCCAGTATTCTTGCCTGGGAAATCCCATGGACAGAGGAACTTGGCAGGCTACAGTTCATGGGGTTGCAAAAGAGTTGGACATGACTTAGCGACTAAACAACTTTCATTTGCAAATAGGAAAATGCTGCCCTCAGATGGTAAAGAATCTCCCCACAATGCAGAAGACCTGGGTTTGATACCTGGGTCAGGAAGATCCCCTGGAGAAGGAAATAGCAACCTACTCCAGTATTCTTGCCTGGAGAATTCCATGAGAGAAGCCTGGCAGGCTACAGTTCCAGAGAGTTGGACACGACTGAGCGACTAACACAACTAACACCTTTACTGCAGGGATATTTTCAGGATAAATAAAACAACACACAGTGAAGCTCATGATCTGAAATTTGATCAGGAACAAGTATGGACTAACACAGGCTTGTTTCTTGTGTTTTAGAATAGTGACTCTGACCTCTGTGGGTTTGTAAATACAGTACCATGTAATTTATTTGCAGATTCAACTGATGAATTTTGGCACAGGCTATTGGTTTATCCTATAAATATAAATTGTATTAAAGTCATAGATAATGAATAAACACATGGCAAAGTCAACATCTCTAGTAATCAAATATGACTTAAAGTCTGAAGTATCATTTCATTCTTACTAGATTAGCAAGAAAACAAATCCAAAAACTAAAAAGTCTTCAGTGAGCACATGTTATGCTCTTGGAGTTGTGGGGCTGTGGGTGGGTTATGTGTGGGTGATGTGAGCTGATGAAGATTTTATCCAAAACCACTAGGCAACCTCTTTCAAGAACCAAATGCTGAATGCTCTGTTCTTGAACACTAAAAGCAGCTGAGCCTTCTCTTCAGCATGTCACTGCCCTGAGAAGGGGACCAAGGTCGATTTTTTCTTTAACCTAGTAGATGTACCCACCAGATGTAATATGTGGTTCTGGAAGGGGACCCAGTGAGGACAAACCAGCTGTGAAGGACATTAAGAGGACAATTGAGACAACTCAAGCATGGAATGAGTATTGAACATGATTAATTTTCTTGGCTGTGATGATGTTATTTTGGCCACATAGGAAAATGTTCTTGTGTTTTCAGACATACCTCCTGAGATATTTAGGGATGAAATTCCATGATGTCTGTGATTTACTTTAAAATACTTCAGCCCTTAAAAATGCATTAAAAACAACCAAAATATCAGACTCTGTTACCTAAAAATTCTACTCCTAGGAATTTTTCCTAAGGAAACAATTTAATAGGAGAAAAAAAAAAGATTGAAAATATATAAGGATCATTATGCATAACAGTAAGAGTTAGAAATAATTCAGATGGCCAATAGTAGAGAAAATTAGTTAATTAATTTCATTAGGGTTAACTCAATAAGCTATCAGCCAGTTGTTTCAAAACAATAATTAGGAAAATGATATGAAGCTTGGAAGATTACTTATGATACAATACTAATTAAAAATCAGAATATAAAATTAGAGGCCTTATTTGCACAATGTTATACATATGAAATACTATGTTAAATTGGTGGGATTGTAGGTGTTTTGTTTTCAATTCTTCCTATATCTTTTCAATAAAAAAATTGTATGTATATAAAAATAAGAGTAGAAAAGCAAGAACTGAAGTTGGAGGTTTTATAGATTCACCACTTTGGAGAGCAACTGCAACTACTCAGATGTCCGATCCTTGTTTGTTTAGGGCGTTTGGGAGCATCTGGAGAGCAGGGCTTGCCTGGTGCTCAAGGTCCTGGAGGACCACCCGGAAGGCCAGGACCTCCTGGCTTCTCTGGAACAACAGGATGTCCAGGTAACTTGAAAGGCACCCGGAGACTTCCCGGGCACTCATCTAGCTCTTGTCTCTTAGACTGGTCCAGAGCTGGCTCTGCCATTTCCCAGACCTGTGACTGTGGACAAGTCACTTAAATGTACCTATCCCTGACCCCTAAGTTGGAGACAGACTGATCTCACGGGGTTGGTCTAGGAACAAATGAAGACAGACCTGTCTTCCTCCAAGGAGGATGCCAGGCACAAAGTGATGGGCTGACAGAGAAAAGCTCCTCTCCAGCCTTCCCTAAGCCCTCTTCCATTCAGGATGCTGGTTTTCTCTTCTTTAGCCTTCAGACAAACTTCACCCATTCAATACAACATTTCAATGGCTCCTCCTCCTGCCAGTTCAGAATCAAGTGAAAATTTCAAATCAAAATTGGCAACTTTAATCTGAAATGTATTTTCTCCTCTTGAGATTAAAACTAGGAGGTTAAGGAAGAAAAAGTAATTAAACAATATCCCAGGTACCCATATATTAAGAATGTAGATGGTCTCCCCAGTTAATGAAACTTGTGTATCACCTGGATGCCTGCAAAACCACCCTGTCATCCTCAGGTAATCCAGGGGGGCCTGGGCTGCAGGGACCTCCAGGAGAAGTGGGGGATCCTGGACCAAGAGGCATCCTGGGGGACCCAGGGGCACCAGGTCTTCCAGGAATAAAAGGTAAGTCAAAAGGAACCCTGACCCCTCAGAAAGTTCTAACCAGTGATGCTCCCACAAGTTCACAGTGCCTCTCTCACACCCCAGGGGCATGCTGTGGGGTCCCCCTTTTTTCCAGGATGCCCGTGGACACCTCCTTTTCTTTCTAACTCAGGCAGCACTGGCCTGGTCTCCTGACTGGCTCTACCAAAATGATGCTCATTTTTTAGGACATTTCTCCCATTGTTTTCCATAATTTTCTGAGCCTTTGCATTTATCCTCTCCCCTGAGAGTCAAGTTCTTGTGTCCTAGATTTCTCTGTTAGACACTAGACACATAATGCTGAAGAAAACAGACAGTTCCTGCCTTCATGGGGTTCACAGTTGAGAAGGGGAGACAGATATTAAATGTGTATTTGCCAATTGTGCAAAGTAGAAGGAAGAGAAAAGAACAAGATGTTATGGCGAAGGAGGAACCCATGTTCATTATCTTTGTTTGATGAAGAAATACTTTTCTCCTGGTTAAGTTTTTATCTCTTTAAAAGTGTAGTAGATTGGTTATAATATAGGTCTTGTGGAATAGAGTAGAATAGAATATATATATGTGTGTGTGTGTGTGTGTGTGTGTGTGTATAAACAAATCTCATACCCCTCCATTCATCCATGGTACTAATTCCTTTTCAGTCCATTTCTTTCACTGTAGAAAAAATATTTTTTTCCGTGGTACTTTTTGTATACCTCTAGCATAATGCTTACGTTGTACCACATTTGTTTTTGTTTAGAGGTCTTTCTCACCAAGCAGAATATAATGTTAATTTTTTTTTTAATTTAAGTAAGTTTTTAAATGTTTTGCCCATAATATACAGCAAGGTGATTCAATCATATTTACATGTATATCTCTTTTTTCAGATTCTTTTCCCATATAGGTTATTACAAAATATTGATATTAGCTTCCTGTGCTATACATAGGTCCTTGTTGAGTATATTATATATAATATTGTGTGTGTGTTAATCCCAAACTCCTAATTTATTCCTTCCCCCATTTCTCCTTTGGTAACTGTTAAGTTTGTTTTCTATATTCTATTTCTGTTTTAAAAAAATATCATTTATTTATTTTTAATTGGAGGACAATTGCTTTCCAGTGTTGTGTTGGTTTCCTCCATACATCAACATGAATCAGCCATAGGTGTACATATGTCCCCTCCTCTATTTCTGTTTTGTATATAAGTTCATTTGTATCATTTTTTTTTGATCACTACATATAAGCATTATCATATAATATTTGTCTTTCACTGTCTGGCTTACTTCACTTAATATGATATGCTCTAGGTTGACCCGTGTTTCTGCCAATGGCATTATTTCATTCTTTTTTAATGGCTGAGTAATATTTTACTGTGTATATGTATAGCACATTTTTATACATATAGCACATCTTTATCCATTTATCTGTTGAGACATTTGGCTGCTTCCGTGTCTTGGCTATTATAAATAGTGCGTCAGTGAACACTGGGATGCATATATCTTTTCAAATTATGGTTTTCTCCAGATATATGCTCAGGAATGAGATTGCAGAATCATATGGTAGCTTGATTTTTAATTTTAAAAACTATTTTTTATATCCTTGGTACAAGTAGATTCCTAGTAAGTCTGTTGGTTGGTTTATTGTGTTTATTTATAAAAATAAATAAAATGTAAATATATTTATAAATTAAAATTACAATTTATAAATTTATTTTTGTGAATAAATACAATTAATTGTTTAATTGATGGAGAAGTAGAAGAATGAACAATTGAATGAGTAGCTATGAAGTTGAGATTCTGTCTTTACCTCAGTCAACAGTTGAAGGGTCAAGCCTTACTTGGTAGATTTCTGTAACCAAGACCCCTCTATCTCCTTCCTCCCTTTTCCTCCCACTTCTGTTTGTTGGCTCATGTGTGTGTATGTGTGTGTGCTAAGTCGCTTCAGTCGTGTCTGATTCTTGGTGACCTCATGGACTGTAGCCCACCAGGTTCCTCTCTGTCCATGGGACTCTCCAGGCAAGAACACTAGAGTGGGTTTCCTTACCCTCCTCCAGGGGATCTTCCTGACCCAGGGATGGAACATGGGTCTCCTGCTTTGGCTAGCAACACCCAAGAAGTCCTTAGTTGTCTCATAAGTACAGTCAATTTTGGTAAAATAAAGAGTACTTCCTCTTAGAAGAATTGGAAATCCCTTCTTTGGGGCTCACTCAGTCTATTGTTTTGAAAATCCAAGTAACATTTTTCTACACTCTCACCTCTTCATTTGTCAGATAGATAGAGGGGAGTTGTTTATTTTGAAGAGCTGGTATACACTTATGTACTTCTATGCAGCCAAATAACTAGACCAGGGCAAGCTCCCATCACCAGTACAGAGATAAGATATTTTTGCACTGTTCTTCCTCTTCACTGGCCTTTTTAGTAATGTGAAGTGCAGTGATTGGTGGTAAATTTAGGATTCCAAGCAAAATAATTTTGTTATTTTACGAGTTTCTCTGGTTACTGTGGCTGTTTCCTGTCTCTGGCAAACCCTACAACTCTGTTGGGTGTATTCTCCGATGCTTTTTTGAGTGTTTAAGAGACTAAGTTGGTAAAGAACCAGAAGAAAATGTTTTCCATTGCTTTACTTCCATGGAATCTCCACTTCTTCCTACCCTCCTAGTATAGTAAAATGGCAAGGATTTTCAAATGTCCTGAAAAATGAAAATGTTAGTTGCTAGGTAGTGTCTGACTCTTTGCAACTCCATGGACTGTAGCTCACCAGGCTCCTCTGTCCACGGATTTCTCCAGGCCAGAATACTGGAGTGGGTTGCCATTCCCTTCTTCGGGGGATCTTCCCGACCTAGGGATCAAACCCAGGTAGACTGCATTGCAGGCAGATTATTTACCATCTAGCCACCAGGGAAGCCCGGGTGCCATTTTATATGCTCAGCTTGACTCAAATGACAAGGCTCGTGTTGTGATTGTTGATTCTTCCTTTCCTTGAATTTGTTTGCACTTACCACATAGCTTCAGTATGAGAGGTTATTAAAAAACTAATAGCTAGTTAGTTTGCTCGAATAACAAAATTATCTCCAATGACATCATAATTCGGTGCTATGAAACAAGTTTGCTAAGAGGAGGAGTGAGATAATGAGGAAATTGAGCCAAACGTTTATACCAGTGAAGAGATGGATGCTGCAGTGATGTTTCTTGGCCATGCGGGGACACTGTTTCCCTGCAAACAGCCCAGTGAACAACCAGTCTTTTTTTTTTTTTTAAACCCACAAAACAGTGAAATACATTCTTAGGAATGAAAACGTCTACAATATAAATCCATTGCTGTCATTTATCATGCTGATAGAAAAATGAACCACACTCTGGCAGAAATGCTTTGAACTGAGAAACTAAATATTTGAAGTATGTTCTAAATAAGTCAAGGGGACTGATTATCTTGTTTGAACAAACCAGCTGCTGAACTCCAAGTTGTTTGCTCTACTAGAACAGGCCATATGGATTCTGAGTCCTGCTTATGTTCCATCAGATTTAAACTTTCACTTCAACATAGGTAAAAATAACTTGGTGCTAAGACTTCCAGTACCTATATATGCTCAATTCCTAGTTAGGCATTCATCATTGCTGTTGTTTAGTTCGTAAGTTGTGTCCAAGTCTTTGCCATCCCATGGACTGTAGCCCACCAGGCTCCTCTGTCCATGGGATTTCCCAGGCAAGAATATTGGAATGCGTTGCCATTTCCTTCTCCAGGGGATCTTCCTGACCTAGGGATCCAACCTGCATCTGCGACATTGCAGGCAGATTCTTAACCATTGAGCTACCTGGGAAGCCCCATAGAAGACTGTAATAATAGAAGCCTAAAATAATAAGCTTTGGCATGAGAGCATGTAATGAATGTGAGCTGGGTTATTTTGGTTGATGGCAAGTAAACTGTTTCGTAAGAACAAAGCACCTAGAGAAGTCTTTTATCAGCACAGACAGGCCCGGCACCTCACAGTTGTGAAAATAAGAAACATCCTCCCTTTTTACAACTAGAGCCCCCTCCTTGACCCTGCCCCACAGCATTTACCACCCTTGAGGTAATTGCCTGATGGTTCTGTCAAGTCAGGGATGGTTGCTCTCTCAGCCCGTGTCTCCCCAGTGCCTGTCACCAAGTACATTTGGGGGCTGAAGCTCCAAGTGTAGGGGACCCTATCTTAGGCTCTTGTGCATTCTCTTAGTAGGCACTTATGTATTTTCTGAATAAAGGAGAATTCCATCTTATTTCAGAATCTGTTTTGCTGTTTTCCACTTTGCTCAACTATTACCTAGAGGCTCAAAGAAAGGTCTCTTTCCCAGCAGCTTTCAAGTTAGGGTGACCAGCTGTCCCGCTTTGCCTTGGCCAGAACAGATGTTCAGAACACAGGACTCACAGTGCTAGAACTAGGTTAGGCACCAGCAGACACAGACAAGTTGGTCACCCTATTAAAGGTATAAACTGTGAAAGGTTCCTGGGGATAGGGAAGCAGTTTCAGTTTGACAACAAAAGAAAACCTCAGAGTGGGCATCTGGTCATGAGTCTGCTGGCTCACAGAGATGGAAGCTTTAATTGTGCTTACAGTTGGGAGATGAGATCAAATTCTCCAACTAGAGAACGCCCTCGCCTGTGTGTGCAGCGATATGCAGCCTTAAATGGTGGTTGCTAAGCTGGAGGATGACCAGAGAGGTAAATTAAAAAAAAAGCCTCATTACCGAGGACTGTGTTTTGTGAGCCTAATTGCCTCTCATCTGCCCTGTATGTATTTTATGCGTGAACAACTTTCTGATTTAGAGATGGGATGGATAAAAAGCTTTCAGTAAAAAAAAAAAAAAGGAAAAATTGCCCTTAAAACCCTACCCAGATGTAGCTGCATTCAATTTAGAAAGATAACATTGGGTCAGATAAGGGTCGGCCAGTTCAACAATGGCGAGAGGCTGAAATTGTGACAGAGCAGAATTTGGACGTGTTGATGTGACAATGGAGAGTTGGCAGGAGCTGAGACATTCCACCCCCAGCCAAGTCCCCAAGCCATCAATCTCAGTGGCTTAAGCTGGAGATCAAAACACATTGAAATAGCAGAGTAGTCTCAAAAAATGTATTATCGTTTCAGATGGATGGCAATAAATATCCAGATTTGGCAGATGAAGAAAGTCTGTGTGTTCTTTTGGTGCAAACTTGAAACATTTGCTCCTAAGTAGGAAAGAGAATTGGAAAACAAGCTCAGTTAGACCTGATAAAAGTGCTTAGGACATAAGAGCTTTAGGAAAAATGGGGGTGCATTCCCCCCTTTTTTGGTTTCGAGAGAATATGGCTCATTTGCACCAATTTAATGTTTAGATTTTAAAATAGTAATATCTCTGCTTCCAGTATTGATAAAAAATAAAGTGGAACCAACAAACTGTTCCATCTTCCAATAAGAACTCTAGAGAGGACGTACCTTAATGAAGAAATAATAGAGTGCTTGAATTATTTATATACAAATGGATAACACCAACTTCCCCAATCTGACTCATCCTATAAATCTATCAATGAAAGATGTGACATGCAAACAGAGATTGGAGTTCACTCATTTTTATAGCTTTATCTCACCCCGTTCAATCCCTCACCCTCCTTGATTACAATCCTAAAAGATGATGCTGTCAAAGTGCTGCACTTAATATGTCAGCAAATTTAGAAAACTCTGCAGTGTCTACAACACTGGAAAAGGTCAGTTTTCATTACAATTCCAAAGAAATTTGGAATGCCAAATTGTGTGCAGTGCCAAACAGTGTTCCCACTACTGCACAATTGCACTCATTTTGCATGCTAGCAAGGTAATGCTCAAAATCCTTCAAGTTAGGCTTCAGTCATATGTGATCCGAGAAATTTCAGATGTACAGGCTCGACTTAGAAAGGGCAGAGGAACCAGAGATTCCTGGGACAACATTTGCTAAATCATAGAGAAAACAAGGAAATTCCAGAAAAAATATCTGCTTCTGTTTCATTGACTACACTAAAGCCTTTGACTGTGTGGATGACAACAAACTGTGGAAAGTTCTTAAAGAGATGGGAATACCAGACCTCACCTGTCTCCTGAGAAAACTATATGTGGGTCAAGACATGGAACAATGGACTGGTTCCAAATTGGGAAAGGAGTATGTCAAGGCTGTATATTGATTATTAAACTTATATGCAGAGTACATCATGTGAAATGCTGGGCTGGAATCAAGATCGCTGGGAGAAATATCAACAACCTCAGATATGCAGATGATACTACTTTTATGACAGAAAGCAAAGAGGAACTAAAGAGCCTATTGATGAAGGGGAAAGAGGAGAGTGAAAAGCTGGCTTAAAACTCAACATTCAAAAAACTAAGATCATGGCATCCAGTCCCATCACTTCATGGCGAATAGACAGGTAAAAAGTGGAAACAGTGATAGATTTTATCTTTTTGGGCTCCAGAATCATTGTGGATGGTGACTGCAGCTATGAAATTAAAAGACGCTTGCTCCTTGGAAGAAAAACTCTGACAAACCTAGACAGCATATTAGAAAGCAGAGACATCACTTTGCTAACAAAGGTCCATATAGTCAAAGCTATGGTTTTTTCAGTAGTCATGTATGGCTGTGAGAGTTGGACTATGAAAAAGGCTGAGCACCAAAGAACTGATCCTTTTGAATTGTGGTGCTGGAGAAGACTCTTGAGAGTCCCTTGGACTGCAAGGAGGTCAAACCAGTCAATCCTAAAGGAAATCAACCCTGAATATTCATTAGAAGGGCTGATGCTGAAGATGAAGCTCCTATATTTTGGCCATCTGATGTGAAGAGTTGACTGACTGGAAAAGACCCCGATGTTGGGAAAGATTGAGGGCAGGAGGAGAATGGGGGCAGCAGAGGATGAGATGGTTGGATTGTATCATCAACCTGATGGACATCAGTTAGAGCAAACTCTGGGAGATAGTAAAGGACGGAGAAACCTGGCATGCTGCAGTCCATGGGGTCGCAAAGAGTTGGACATGACTTAGCAATAAACAACAACTCCCCCTGTTCAGTCCCTCACCCGCCTTGTCCTAGACTTGGTCACTTCCTCATTCATCCAGTCACTCACTCAACAAACATTTATTGAGCACCTACTGTGTGTCAGGATATATGCTAAGTGCAGAAATAGAGGGAGTAATAAGACCTGATCTTGCACTCAATTAAATTTACCCAAAGTACACCAATCACCACAGACAGGATGGCTATATAGAGTGGGGTACATTGGGCAGAAGGGCCTAGAGGGAGCTCTGTACATGTCAGGGGTGTTGGTGAGGGCACTTCTCTGTGTTAGTCATAAGTGAAAGTGTGATTATCACAACTTCAAGGGCTATGGCCCTAAACTGAAAGAATGCCTGACTGTGCTCTGAGGGGCTTTTAGCCTTAGGTGAGAAAGAACAGCTTCTGGGTGGGAAATCCATTAATGCAGTGGGAAGGTTACCAGGCTTGGCCAGGGGCTGAGGAGATTCTTCTCCCATATCCATCCACATGTCCATCGGACGTGTGTGGAGCACTTGGCAGAAGATTCAGCAGCCAGGGATGTTCTGTACAGATTAGTAACCTGTCTGTTCCCTCCCTCTCTCCCTGCTTCCCTTCCTCCCTACAAATCTATATATTTATATGTCATGTAGCACATATTACATTGGATTGACCAAGCAGTTTGTTTGGGGTTTTCCATAACATCTTACACAGACAAATCCGAATGAACTTGTTGGCCAACCCAATATAATACATATTGGGTTGACAAAAGAGTTCATTTCGATCTTCCCATAGTATCTCTCAGTAACAGTTTATGGTTTATTTTGGGCTTGCTAAGTGGTGCTAGTGGTAAAGAATCTGCCTGCCAATGCAGCAGACACAAGAGACCCAGGTTCAATCCCTGGGTTGAAAAGATCCCCTGGAATAGAAATGGCAACCCGCTCCAGTATTTTTGCCTAGAAAATTCCATGGGCAGAGGAGCCTGTCGGGCTCCAGTTCATGGGGTTGCAAAGAGTCAGACACGACTGAGCGACTGAGTGCACACGTCAGATGAGCAGATGGCGCCTAAGTGACATCTGACAGAAGGTTCTAGAAGGAGCTGCAGGCATCAGTGAGATCTATCCAGTTGCAGAGAATGGAGTTCTCAGAGATCATCATGAAATAAATTTGGTTTCTGTAAAGAGGCGTCAGAGAGGTTCTTTTTGACAGAATTGGTGGCAGAGAAATAGCTGCAGGCACATTGAGCTGCAGGCCTGTTCTCTCTGAAGGGCACGGTGCTCAAAAACATCAGCAGGACACGCATTCGTCAGTGTGCCCCAGACCCACCTGTCCTTACTGTCTTACTACATTTATCCAGGTAGATTGTGAAGAAATTAAAATCTGCAGATTGTGGGGGAAAGGGAAGATTCTGGGCATGGGAGGAGGGAAGCAGGGGTTTACTCCCACCCAATCTCTTCCTTATCTAGAATGACTTTATTGTTGTAAAGTTGGAGGTCATTTCCTATGCCAAGATTCAGTAATTCTAGACTGTATCTGTCTAGAAAGAGAGAAAGAGATTCATGATATGGTCAGAAACCAACAGCACTGTGTTAAAACCAAAGAAAGGGAAACTTCCTTCCCTGGCAGTCCAGTGGTTAAGACTTCACCATCCAGTGCAGCGGGTGCAGGTTCAGTCCCCAGTCGGAGAGCTAAGACCCCACATCCCTTGCAGCCAAAAACTAAAACACAAGAAATATTGCAACAAATTCAATAAAGACTTTAAAATGGTCCACATTAAAAAAAAAAAACCACATTATGAAAAAATAAAGTTATGTTCTAGGATATATGCCGAGTTAAGGATGGAGTGGGAGGTCGGGGTTAGCAGATGCAAGATGTTATATATCGACTGGATAAACAGTGAGGTCCTACTGTATAGCACAGAGAACTATACTAAATATTCTGTGATAAAGAATAATGGGAAAAAATATTTCCCTGGTGACTCTAATGGTAAAGAATCTGCCTGCAGTGCAAAAGACCTAGGTTTGATCCCTGGGTCAGGAAGATCCCCTGGAGAAGGGAAAGGCTACCCACTCCAGTATTCTGGCCTGCAGAATTCCATGGGCAGAGGAGCCTGGCAGGCTATAGTCCATGGTGTCGCAAAGAGTCGGACTCGCCTGAGCCACTGACACTTTCACTTTCACTGTGATAAACCATGATGGGAAAGGATATTTAAATATATAATATTTAAAGGCATATGTTAAGCAGTCTATGTTAACAGAAAACATCCATCACATGAATGTGTCTAGTGATGATCCCTGGTGAGGATTCTGCCTTCCTATGATGTTTAGATGGTGAGGTCTCATGGTTCCCACCTAGAGAATTTGTGGGTCCCTGTCAGTTAACCTTCCCCTGGACTGTGCGTGTGAGGTACAGTTAGAGAATGTGAATAGAGGGTCTTCCCCTGTGGGTCACAGACGTGTGATGTGTTTCAGGTCCCTCGGGGTCACCCGGCCTGAACGGCTTGCATGGTTTGAGGGGTCCGAAAGGCAGCAAAGGCACTTCAGGTAAGAGAGAACCTTTGCAAGAGGCTGAACAGCCATTAACGAACCATGAGAGTCCCCTGGTGTTTCCTCCCTTCACAAGATACGGATGCAAAACTGAGACACTGGTTTAGCTTAGATTCACCGTGTTGGAACTGTTTCTAGTTTTGATGATGACTTATCAAACGGGCACTTGAGAAAACCCAATTTAAGCAGGAATGGTGGGTTAACATTGCCTATTGTTGATACTGCTTGTGACTATCTATTAAAAATATTCTGCATAATCACTTAGGTGGAGCTAGATTTCAAAATGTTATGAATAACAAATAAATAGTCAGGATACTAGAGTATTGTTTTACGTGTTGTCATGCCAAGTACAACCACGTGGGTCTAATTAGTACTTCAGCATCCTTCAGTAGCCTGCTGTGAAAACAAATTACCTGAACAAATTGCTGTTATTTTTGATGCCACAAATAGGCTAATCATCAACATCTTAGCTTGTTCTGTTATTTGAATAGAATTCACGTTGGTTGCATTAGTTTCTCAGAAAAAGAGCTTGCAATCAGACGAGGTAGCTGGAAGCAGACTTGCTCATTTGTGAGACGGTGAGAAAAGGACTGAATTGTGCTACCAGATTTGAATCTGTAGTTGGGGAGGGAGAAAACGTTTATACGGTTTGGAAGATCAAGATGTCATTCAGGTCACTTAGGATTGTTATTGGCTCTTCCAAATCGTCTGGTAAAATGTGTGCCCTTTCCAAGAAACCAGTGGAGTTCTGCCTTTTCAACAGGGAACCACACAATTGTTCTGTTTATTTGCCAGTTTCCATCTTAAACCTCAAGCCAGTTTATTCACAGTCACTTACTCTTCCATCTCATTCGTTTCACTCTTAACGATTGTAGAGGTTGAAGGGTTGGAATTGTCACTAAGTGGTTGTGTTTTTAAATCTGGGAAACCATCATAAAAATAAGTTAGAGCTACGCTGGACAGGTGTGATGGGTCGTAAGAGAGGGGACAGTGACCCCCGGAAGACTGTGCAGCCGTTTGGATCACTCTTGTGGATAATGTTGGTCTCGGCAGAATGCGCTCCTTTCCTGTCCTATGCCCATTGGGAAGCAGTTCCTTTCCAGCCCCCACGCCAGGGACACACCAGGAGAAAATGCAGCGCTAATGTTGTTTTCCTCATTAAGGTTCGCATGAAATGGGCCCCCAGGGTCCAGTGGGAATGCCCGGCCCTAAAGGGGAGACAGGAGACCCCGGGAACCCAGGAATTTCTCCTCTGGGACTTTCTGGAGAAAGAGGTCCGCCAGGTCCCCCAGGACCCCCAGGTAAGAGAGCAGCATGCTTTGCCCTTCACTTGATAACTGAAACCAAACCTCCCAAATGTCATGAGACTAACAGCTGAACACATTCCTCCTCAGGGAGAGCTGGACTGCCTGGTCCCCCAGGTGCCCCAGGAAAAGCTCTTAAGGGTGACATTCCAGACCCAGGTCTGCCTGGAGATCAGGGACCTCCTGGCCCCGATGGTCTAAGAGGTATGGGACAGTCACGGCAAAGGGTGATGGTGCTGCTTTCCTTAGACGCTTGCCAGCTCTGTAGGGATGGAGGAGCAGAGAGAATGGTCAAGTAGAAGCACGTTAGCAGCCCCGTCGATTTGGCAGATGGAAAATGGGGAGCGTGGGCTGTGGGGAGCTCTGAGGACCGTACCCAGGACCAGTGCTTAGACCCCTCACTCTTCTGTTTCAACTCCATCAGACCACCTCTGATGCAGAGCAAGTCTTGCCTATCGCTGGCTTGATGCTGAGCTTGAGGGTGCAGAAGGGACCATCAGGAGGTGGTCTCATCCTCCTTGTTGGTCTCAGTATCAGCACATAAAGCACTGCTCTCAGCCCAGGGATGACAGGATCCCTGCCTCTCTGTCTCTCTCTCTCGCTCTCTCACACACACAGTCTCTTCATGTGCTGCTCACAGTACATTTGTTTCCTGTTATCACTTCACTGGGATGAACTCTAGCTAGTCAATATTTAACAAAGTAAGATTGAACCAGAGCTGACTGGGGAGTTGGAATAAGAGTGTGGCTCAGTGCAGCCTTCTGCCAAATGCAGGCAGTCATATTCCTACTAGCTCATAGAACTCTTCCAGAGAGACAAAAACCTTTAAATCTTTAGGTTTTGGTGAGGGTGGGATAAAAATATATATAATTCTGCTTTACACTATGAAAAACTTAAATGCCCAAAAATATGCTAAGAAGGTTAGAAGTTAAGTAGGAATACAACTTGAGCTCAAATACCATGTGTAGACAATGATTTTCAAATAGGATTTTAAATTTAATTGAGTGGATATTCATTTGTCATCAGCCAGACTTTCTCTCTCTCTCTCTTTGTTTTTTTTTGGTTTATTTATTCTCAGCTGCACTGGGTCTTTGCTGCTGCATGAGCTTTCTCTAGTAATGTTGAGCAGGGGCTACTCTTGTTGCAGAGCACAGTTCTAGGGTGCTTGGGCTTCAGTAGTTGTGACACATGGGCTTAGTTGTGGTGTACAGACATTTGGGATCTTCCCTCACTGGGATCAAAGTCATGTCCCCTGCACTGACAGGTAGATTCTTAACCATTGGACCACCAAGGAGCCTAGTCAGACTTTCTTAAAAATCTATTATCTCTCTGTCCACCCACCCATCCATCTATCCATTCATCCATTTACCCATTCACCCAACTATTCATCTATCCATCCATCCATGTATCCATCTATCTATCCACCCATTCGTCCATCTACCCATTCATCTACCCATCAATCCATCCATCTACCCACCCATCCATTTACCCATCCGTCTATTCATCTATCTATCCATCCATCCATGTATCCATCTATCCATCCACCCATTCGTCCATCTACCCATCCATCCATCCATCCATCCATTCACCCATCCATCTGTTCATCTATCTATACATCCATCCATCTATCACATGAAAGCAATGGGATGGCAATGCAAAGAAAAGTCACAAACTGATGCTTCCAAAAGGAATGGCTCTGAAGGGAAGGAAGATTTTGTATAGCTCATTTTGTCCTAATAGTTACTAACAGACTATTTACATTTCTTAACTTGGGCTTCATGAGACATACTGCTTCACCTCTGATACTATTGAACTTCTTATTCTAATTCCTTGTATCCCTTGCTTGTAAATGATTAAATTCCTTTCCTTAAGAAGCTCTTAGGCAGCCAGCATGCACATTTGTCTTTGACTGAAAGAATCTTTTTGCCTACTCGTGTGGTCAGGAATACCCGGGCCTCCAGGGCCACCTGGGAGTGTTGACCTTCTGAAAGGGGAGCCAGGAGACTGTGGTCTGCCGGGGCCTCCAGGTCTCCCGGGCCCACCAGGCCCTCCCGGACACAAAGGCTTCCCAGGATGTGATGGAAAACATGGCCAGAAAGGTATGAATGCAAATAATTCTTTTAAGTGTACTAGATGACTTCCCCTGTCTGGCTTGCAGGTCTGGGGTGTGCACCACTGTGAGGCCATTCTCATTTTCTATGGCAATAATGACTACATTTCCAGCATGTCCTGACTTGCCCAGAATCCTAAAATCTGGGTGACAGTTGGACAAGTAAGAAGAAGAAACACAAGTTTCTTCTTTTCTTTCTTCAGTCCCTAATAACGTACTTGATAATCTTCCAGACAAGAACTACAAAACAGAAATTTAATGCAAGCTACATATGTAATGAAAAGATGTAATAGCCACATTTTAGAAAGGGAAAAGAAACAAATAAATAGATTTTCCTACTTTAACATAATATATTCAAATATTATTACATTTTAACATAAAATCAATATAAATTATCAAAGGGATAATTAGGGCTGGTTGTATAAACCTAGTTTCTTTCCCAAATAAGATGCTCCTCTTTGATGCTGAAATCTGGTGTGTATTTTAAACTTACAGCAGAACACAGTTTGGCCTTGCCAATTTCAACTGTTTAATAGCCACATTAGTGGCTTCTGTATTGGACAGTTCAGTTTTAGACTGCTGACTTTGCCTTTTTATATTCACAAAAGTGTCTTCATTACTGTATTCTCCCACTATTTAAGACTAAAATATTTATTTTAATTAAGTTTTACCTAACTGCTAATATTTGGGGAATGCAAAGTCAAGTGGGCCTTAGAACAAAGCTAGTGGAGGTGATGGAATTCCAGTTGAGCTATTTCAAATCCTAAAAGATGATGCTGTGCAAGTGTCATGCTCAAGATGCCAGCAAATTTGGAAAACTCAGCAGTGGTCACAGGACTGGAAAAGGTCAGTTTTCATTTCAATCCCAAAGAAAGGTAATGCCAAAGAATGTTCAAACTACTGCACAATTGCACGCATCGCCACACTAGCAAAGTAATGCTCAAGATTCTCCAAGCCAGGCTTCAACAATATGTGAACCATGAACTTCCAGACATTCAAGCTGGATTTAGAAAAGGCAGAGGAACCAGAGATCAAATTGCCAACATCCACTGGATCATCAAGAAAGCAAGAGAGTTCCAGAAAAACATCTACTGTTTTATCAACTACGCCAAAGCCTTTGATGTGTGGATCACAACAAACTGGAAAATTCTTAAATTCTTACCTGCCTCCTGAGAAACCTGTATATAGATCAAGAAGCAACAGTTAGAACTAGACATGGAACAACAGACTGGTTCCAAATAGGGAAAGGAGTATGTCAAGGCTGTGTCTTGTCACCCTGCTTATTTAACTTATATGCAGAGTATATCATACAAAATGCTGGGCTGGATGAAACACAAGCTGGAATCAAGATTGCCAGGAGAAATATCAATAACCTCAGATATGCAGATGACACCACCCTTATGGCAGAAAGTGAAGAAGAACTAAAGAGCCTCTTGTTGAAAATGAAAGAGGAGACTGAAAAAGTTGGCTTAAAGCTCAACATTCAGAAAATGAAGATCATGTCATCTGGTCCCATCAATTCATGGCAAATAGATGGGGAAACAGTGGAAACAGTGAGAAACTTTATTTTGGGGGGGCTCCAAAATCACTGTAGATGGTTACTTCAGCCATGAAATTAAAAGATGCTTGCTCCTTGAAAGAAAAGCTATGACCAAGCTAGATAGCATATTAAAAAGCAGAGACATTACTTTGCCAACAAAGGTCCATCTAATCAAAGCTATGGTTTTTCCAGTGGTCATAAATAGATGTGAGAGTTGGACTGTAAAGAAAGCTGAGTGCCAAAGAATTGATGCTTTTGAACTGTGGTGTTGGAGAAGACTCTTGAGAGTCTCTTGGACTGCAAGGAGATCAAACCATTCAATCCTGAAGGAAATCAGTCCTGAATATTCATTGGAGGGACTGATGTTGAAACTGAAATTCCAATACTTGGGCCACCTGATGCGGAGAGCTGACTCATTTGAAAAGACCCTGATGCTGGGAAAGATTGAGGGCGGAGGAGAAGGGGACGACAGAGGATGAGATGGTTGGATGGCATCACCGACACAATGGACATGGGTCTGGGTGGACTCTGGGAGTTGTGATGGACAGGGAGGCCTGGAGTGCTGCGGTTCATGGGGTCGCAAAGAGTCAGACATGACTGAGTGACTGAGCTGAACTGAACTGATGCTGGGCAAGATTGAAGGCAGGAGGAGAAGGGGATGACAAAGGATGAGATGGTTGGATGGCATCCCCAATTTGAGGACATGAGTTTGAGCAAACTTCGGGAGTTGGTGATGGACAGGGAGGCCTGGCGTTCTACAATCCATGGGGTCGCAAAGAGTTGGACACCACTGAGCAACTGAACTGAATTATTTGGGGACCTTAGTTTTTGGCTGTAACAATTTTAGAGAATTATAAGGTTCATAGGACATTTTGTTGAGAAGAGACCAATAAAGATTATCCATTTTAGCTCCCTTATGTCATAAATAAGGAAACTTGATACCTGAGATGCAAATGTTGAACTTTGCAGGATACCAGTAACTAGCACTCTGTCTGATTTCTGAAACAAATGTGAAATAAGTTAAACGATTAGAGCAGAGGGAAGGTCAGAATCACCGTGAGGCAGCTATGACTAGAACACAAATGGCATCCCTGAAATTGTGCAGTGCATAACCTGTACAACAGTACTCAGCCATCCTATTCACCTTTATTAGCAGTAAAATCAATTTTAGAAATTGTGGCTTATATCTGCAGGTATTTTGGTTTCTGATTATTAAACTAACGGATTGGACAGATACACCTAGCATTCAGATGACCAAGAGAGAGGAAGGGGGCTGGTATAGAGCCTTGTTCCTCTCCCTAATAAGTCACTCCCCCTCCCCAGTGGCTTCCCTAGAGAATTAGCTTTCTCCTGGAAATATACTTCAGGATTAGGGAAATAGCAAGACATATAAATAATAGCAACCTACAAAAGGATATACCAAGAGATGGAAATATTGGTAGAACCTCTAATTATGCTTCTTAATTCCCATTCCAGTGAGCCTAGGGCCAAAGAGTGCTTAACTGTTAAAAGGATGAGGGAATTTCTTCAGCTTACCTTTTTTAGACTTACCCAGTGGGAAATATTTGATCTGTTCCATAAATTATTATTAGGAATCCACAGAAATATAGTAGTGAACAAATTCAAAAGGAGTACCCACTAATTAAGTTAAATATATGGTTTCATAAGGGAAGAAAGATACTCACATTAAAGTATCCATCTATATTAACTGAGTTGGACCATAAAGAAGGCTGAAGTGTTAGTCACTCAGTCGTGTCTGACGCTTTGCAACCCCATGGACTATATCCCTCCAGACTCCTTTATCCATGGAATTTTCCAGGCATTTAAGAAATACAGGAGTGGGTTGCCATGTCCTACTCCAAAAGAAGGCTGAGTGCTGAAGAATTGATGCTTTTGAATTTGGGTGCTAGAGAAGACTCTTGAGAGTCCCCTGAACAGCAGGGAGATCAAACCAGTCAATCCTAAAGGAAATCAGCCCTGACTATTTATTGGAAGGGCTGATGCTGAAGCTGAAGCTCCAGTGCTGTGGCCACTTGATGCAAAGAACTGACTCATTGGAAAAGACCCTGATGCTGGGAAGGATTGAAGGCAGGAGGAGAAGGGGACAACAGAGGATGAGATGGTTGGATGGCATCACTGACTCAATGGACATGAGTCTGAGCAAGCTCCGAGAGAGAGTGAAGGACAGGGAAGCCTGGCGTGCTGCAGTCCATGGGGTCACAGAGTCAGACACGACCAAGCAACTGAACAGGAACTATACTAAATGAGAGACATGCTTTGGGTGGCGAGGCACACTTCTCTGAGTGCTTATTGCAAAGCAACTGGACTTGGGTTGGGATTCCAGGGAGAGCCTCCTTGGTGTGATCTGCACCCTACAGAATGTGGAGGACTTCCTAGATGAGGAGGGGAGAAGGAACAGTGTGTATGAGGCACCTGAGTGGCTGTTCTGGCTGAAATTGAGAGAGTGGGGAAGAGAAGAGTAGAATCTCAGGATCAGGGTGGGTGTTCCCAGATAGTGGAGCACCTTTCCTAATTTTCCCTTTCCATGGCAGTCCTTTGACTGTCTCCAGAGGAAGTTCAGGGTTACTGGGTTTTCATCCTCACTTAGTTTTGTCCTGGTCATGGAATGATGTTCCTTTGTCCTGTTGATGGATTATTGTGTTTCCTTTAGACAGAGGCAACTCTTCTCAGCCTTCCAGAAGAATGAGGGAGCTATTCTCCAATCTGAGGCTGACTTTGCCCTGCACTTTGCTGGAGCGAACCTCTGAGTTCAGTCCATCAAGCTGTTGTTGTCTTTATAATGCTTCATTCTAGTGCCCTCCTTTTCATGTTTCTTTTAGGACCAATGGGATTCCCGGGGCCACAGGGGCCACCTGGAAGTCCTGGGCCACCTGGAGACAAAGGTTTTCCTGGAGCTCCAGGCAGACGAGGGCCTTTGGGTCCCCCGGGTAAGTGTCTAATACCTAATCATCTCCGTCTAGCAGCCCACATGGAGTGTTTTTTAAAAAATATTTACTATGAGGGTCATCTTTCAGAAAGTAATTATTCTGAAATTATCAGCAAATTCTAGGAAGTTAAGCTCTTTTTTTATAAAGATTATGTTTATCTCAAGCTGCATGACAGAGTCTCAGGTTTGGAAATCTTACCTATAATTAGAACAAGTGAGTTTGAAAGTTAGGAGTTGGTTTTACATATACTATTTCTAAGGTAAATAAACTCTTGTTCCTGCACACAAGATCCGAAGACAGACTTGATAGTTGTATGTAAACATTGTATATTCTTGTCTCCAAATTTCCTACCATTTATTTTTCTAGATGTTTTATTTTAATGTTTCTTGTCAAGTATATTAGTTTCTATGAAGATGAAAGGCTATTTGGTTTTTCAGCTCTATAGACAACAGGTTTTCATCAAAAAGTCAAAAGAAGCTAAGGAAGAGTTGGAAGGTCACACATGTGTATCTGAGATTGGCAGAAGTCATATCTTTCAGGATCCTAAGTCAATATGACAGCAGGGTGGTATCAGTTCTGAATATTTTGCAATCTCTTAAATTAGCACTCTAGTCCAAAGAGTACGAAAACTGTACTGCTTTTGATGGACCACAGAACAACATGATGAAGAACTACTATGATTCATCTTGTATTTCCTTTCTGTGAACAATCTACAAAACTTGGCAAATTAATATGGAATTTCCAGAAGCCTGTAAAAGGACAGAATTTTTCCATACATTAAATTAGGGCATATTTGCCGTAAGAAACCAACTTGAATTTTATATTGGGCAAGAGGTTTTCATTTCAGGTCTTCCTAGATATGAAAACTTCATTCATCATAGCCATTCTTGTCAGTAACAGGAATGTGGACTTTTTATGTAAATAAGATGCCGTCATTCTGCTTGTTGTCTATGCTGTCCTCAAGTTATTATTTGCGTTTTCAATATATTTCACTTTTGTCCTAACTTACACATTTATAATCTCTTTCTGCCTTCTGAAAATCGTTATGTGGCCTCGCATTTTTGGCTTTGGATCTCTCCAGGTTCCAGAGGTAAGCCTTGCTATAAGATGAATAATTTCCTTTAAATCTTGTTTCCAGTCATTTTCATACTTGCTTTTTTCACTGTATTTGTGAGGGCAACTTTGTTCAATTTTTTAGGGGTGCTGTAATTATATTAGGTTTTAATGCTTCCACTTCCTCATTACAGATATAGTAACCCTGTATTCGGGTGTCCCAGTGCTGAACCTCCTTAGAGGTTGTCAAGGCAGTGTAGAGACTCGGCTTATATAATTCAGTTCAGGCACAGGGAATGAGCTTTCTTTGTGAGATGCTACAGTACATACCAGTGTGCATTTCCTTTCTAAATTCTGCAATATGAATACAGAGAACATCCCTAAAATAAACAATATCAACAACATGAAAAGATGGGTCCTGACCACTGGTCAGGGGCTGTGACAAGCCTTTCCCGTCACACCCAAGGTCCATTTTCCACGAGCAAGTTCCTTTGTGTATTAAAATGAAAATGCCATTCTTTTCAACTAAGTGTGCACTTAATCCTCTACAATGCAAAAGCAACGTATGATTTTGTGTCTGGCATTTTCAAAGAGAATAAAAAGAGTTTCTCAAAAGAAGGAAAGGAAAACCCTGAATGTGGGCATTTGTTCTTTCCAAGAGACTGTTACTAACCCCAAGCAATGTTGCCCTGAATACAGACGCTATATATTATTTTTAGGGCCCTTAGAAGAGAAGCCTCCATCCCTTTCTTTCAGCTTCTGGTTTGTCAAAAAGTAAAGAAAAAGCCAAATCAGAATTTTAAGAAATCTGGCTGCTTTTAATGTTTATATTTTAAAATTATTGCTGTATATTTAATGAGTTTTCACTTAGCCTTTTTAATGCCTGTAGTCACAGTATATACTGTGACTCACTAGATGATAACATCAACATCCTAAATATAAAGTACCAGCCAAATACCCAGCCCTGCCTTTACTTACCTGCTTCTGCTTCACCCCCACTGGTGAATTTCCACTGTAACACACCAGATTATCTAGGAAAAATAAGAAATATATGTCTCTCAATTCACCCTGAGTAAAAAAGCCAAGTTTTGCATTAAACTATTCATACTGTAAAAAGACCTCTAACTTGGTGTTATTTGTGGTTTCACACAATATTTTCTAGGAGGTTAAATTCCAAACTGCTTATAGCATTCAAGCACATTTTCCAAGACACAGTTACTATTCGTGTAGACTCCGTTGCCATTATGGCCAGGTTTTCTAGGATCTTCTCACTTCTTTATCATTGGTTTTAAAATTATTTGGCACATTTGTATGAACTTTAGAAACCGATAACTAATAAAGGATGTGTTTACAATATGCTGCACTTCTTAGGATTCAGCACGTAGACATTCGCGGTGTGGGGTGGCGGTGAAGAGCACAGTTTTGGAGCCAAGATGTCTTGGATTTTAATCTAGACTGTGCCACAGACTGGCTGCATGACATTTATTTGTCGATAAATAAATGTCATTCATTTCCCTGAGCCTGAGTTTTTCTTCCCTGTAACATTCTAATGACCACAGCACATACCCACAGCCTGGCTGGGAACATTCAGTCATAAAGCATTTAGCAGGAGGTCTGAGGCATGTTGAGCTTTGCTGGTGGCTTAGATGGTAAAGGGCCCACCTGCAAGGCAGGAGCCCTGGGTTTGATCCCTGGATCTGGGTCGGGAAGATGCCCTAGGGAAGGGAATGGCTATCCACTCCAGTCTTCTTGCCTGGAGAATCCCATGGACAGAGGAGCCTGGCGGGCTACAGTCCATAGGGTCCCAAAGAGTCGGACACGACTGAGCGACTAACACTTTCACTTCTGATGCATGAGAAAGCATCCACTAGGTGTTAGCGGTCATCATTTTTGCTTAGAGCTATTATTTCTTGTCCTTTGTGGAATGACTGCAGGGAGACTGAATGAAGATTTAGGGGCGAAAAAACCATCTTAGAGATGTGAATGTAACTAAGAATTTAAAAGATGTCAACCTTTAGGGCTACGGTTCTCAAAGTGAGATTCCCACATCAGCACCATTGAGCTCACCCAGGCACTTATTAGAATGTGCAAATTGCTGCCCCCTCCCCTAGACCTACTGACTCAGAGACTCAGGGCTCTGACAAGTCTGAGAGAAAGTCATGATGTATTCAGGTCACAGCTGCAGCTTTCCGGTGGTGCTTCTTAGCCTGGGCAAATATTGGAATCATCTGGAGAGTTTAAAAAATTAGTGATGCTTGGATTTCACTCACACAAATTCCTTTCCAATAATCTAGGGGGGGTGCCGGCAGTAGTGCTTTTTAAAAAAATTGGACTACAGTTGCTTTACAGTGCTGTGCAACAAAGTGAATCAGCTATTTGTACACATATGTCCCCTTCCTCTTGGACCTCTCACCCCGTCACCCATCCTACCCACCTCGGTCGTCACAGGGCACCAAGCTGAGCTCCTTGAGCTATATAGCAAGTTCCCACTAGCTATCTGTTTTACACCTGGCAGTATATATATATATTAATACGTCAGTTCCAATCTCCCATTTCATTCCTTTGCTGCCCCGTGCTCACATTTGCCTCTTTATGTCTGCATTCCTGTTCCTTGCCTGCAAATAGGTTCATCTGTACCGTGTTTCTAGATTCCACAGCAGTAGTTTTGAAAAGCTCTGCAGATGGATTTATTGTACAGTCAAGCCTGAGGTCACTGCTCCGGCCACATCCTGTATCAATTAACCCCCTATTTCTTGGATGGGGCCCAGATATCTGAATGTTTATAACTCTCTTGGATAATTTCAACGTGCACTCAAGGTAGGAAATCACTGCTGCCTCAGTGCCTCTAGCCATCCTGAAATCATGTCTCCTTGAATAGCAGACACCCTGGAAGCCAGCTGGCTGCAGTGTAGATAGCTGAATTAAAGCAATCTTAAGCTCAGCGTGAGGAACCCAGCAGGTCTCTCCCCATGCTACCTGTGGCCGGCACCTAGTGAGAAATGGCTCAAAGGTGGCCAGTCCTGTGAAGTGCACCAAACCGTCACTGTCTCAGCCAGATTTCACTATTTCCTACTTCTTTTGCTTCCTCTGAAATCCCATTCACTCATTCATTCAGTCACTCAACGAAAAGATTTGGAGAAGTTTGCCTGCCCCCCATAGTGAACAAGACAAAGTCCTGTCTTCACAGAGCTGACATTGGATGGCTGAACATTCTTGATAACATTCTAGTGTGGTGTCAGAAGCCCATCCAACCTGCAGAAGGCACTGGTTCATAAGCATCTGAACCCCTTATACAGGTGGTGATTCCAATTTCAGGTGAGCCTGGGCCCCCAGCAGACTTGGATGCCTGCCCCCGAATCCCAGGGCTTCCTGGGATACCAGGCCCTAGAGGACCGGAAGGAGCCATGGGGATTCCTGGCATGAGAGGCCCACCAGGACCAGGTATGAACCTCACTCTGATTACTGGCATTGAAGATTGCTGAAATGAAAATCTGGGTGTTTTCTATGTAGGTTTTTGTATGGAGCTTAAACAACTCTTGGGGATCAAGCATGAAAATCTCCTTCCCCTTTAACAGTTTTTCTACATTTATCCAAAGGTTTAATCATGTAGTCATGGGATCTATGGGCTTCCCAGGTGTACCTAGTGGTAAAGAACCCACCTGCCAATGCAGGAGACATAAGAAACCAGGGTTTGATCCCTGGGTCAGAAAGAGCCCCTGGAGGAGGGCATGGAAACCCACTCCACTATTCTTGCCTGAGAATTCCATGGACAGAGGAGGCTGGCAGGCTGCAGTCCATAGGGTCACAAAGAGTCAGACATGACTGTAGTGACTTAGCACGCATGCACGCAATGGGATCTACAATATTCCTTCTATTTTTAGGGGAATGCCTAGTTTAACTTTTATCCTTGGGCGGCTTTTGGACATGAGGTTTTTAAATTTTTTTCCCCAAGAAATAATTATCTGCCTAAATTATTTATTTATTTGGCTGTCTCGGGTCTTAGTTGTGGCATGCAGGCCTAGATGCTCCATAGCATGTGGGATATTAGTTCCCCAGCCAGGGACTAAACCCATGTCCCCTGCATTGCAAGGTGAATTTGTAACCACAGGACCACCAGGGAAGTCCCTGGACATGAAGCTTTGAAATCTCTTAGCATCACTGAGTAAATGCTCTACGAGTCGTCATTATTAGGTTGATTTGACCTTGAATTAAAAACTATTGAATCAGGGCTCAGTGGAGCAGAAACAGCCTATAAGAAGGGAGGAGGAGGTGTATCTCTTGGAAGAGGAAGAGGAAAGAGGGGGAGGGTCACTCTAAATTCTGGCAAAGATGGCCTTATTCACCTAATGGACTTGGGCATTGCTCAGTCATTGTCAGGGTGGCAGGATTCTTAAGTATTTAAACCAAACCATTTGGTTCGTAACATTGTACGGGAGGTGGTGACCAAAACCATCCCATGAAAGAGAAATGCAAGAAGGCAAAATGGTTGTCTGAGGAAGACTTACAAATAGCTGAGAAAAGAGAAGTAGAAAGGTAAAGGAGAAAGGGAAAGATACGCCCAACTGAATTCACAGTTCCAGAGACAAGCAAGGAGAAATAAGAAAGCCTTCTTAAGTGAACAAAGCAAAGAAATAGAGGAAAACAATAAAATGGGAAAGACTAGAGATCTCTACAAGAAAATTGGAGATTCTAAGGGAACGTTTCATGCAAAGATGGGCACAATAGAAGACAGAAATGGTATGGACCTAACAGAAGGAGAAGAGATTAAGAAGAGATGGCAAGAATACACAGAAAAACTATACAAAAAAGATCTTAATGACCCAGATAACCACAATAGTGTGATCACTCACCTAGAGCCAGACATCCTGGACTGTGAAGTCAAGTGAGCCCTAGGAAGCATTACTATGAACAAAACTGGTGGAGGAGATCGAATTCCAACTAAGCTGTTTCAAATCCTAAAAGTTGATGCTTTTGAAGTGCTGCATTTGATATGGCAGCAAATTTGGAAATTTGGAACCCTAATGGGTTTGGGTCATCTTTCCTTTTCTGAAGGAGATTCTTTCAGCAGGGTGAGCAGGGCATTGAGGACCACCCCGAGTTTGGTTGTGAACGATCAACTGCCCCAGAGAAGTACTACCTCTGCTTAAAAATAGTATGGTTTTCTTCCTGTTTTCCGTCAAGACCTCTTTCATTTCTGAGCTGATCTTGTAGCCAAGTGCTGCAGCTGAGATTTACAGAGAAAAAAATGGACTTCTGGCTCCTTCCTGCCCAATCTGAGTGGGTAACGGCCACACCAAGTAAAACCTGAATTTGTTAAGAACCCTGGATAACAGAAGGTCTAATGCTTTTCTCCACACATCTCATTCATTTCTACAATTATCCTTCCTGAGTGGCCCTCAAAGGCTGAGGCTTCCTGTGATGAACTTAAAAGTGGTTTCTGTTCTGGGTTGAACTGTTACTGTCTTCTGGCCATTCCCTCCATCCTGTTTGGGAGCATTTCTCTTCAACACCTGACCCTCTCAGAGGAGGGACTCCATCTGACAGTGCTGGGCTTTCAGATGTAGGTCTGTTCCTGGTGCAATGGTAAAGAATCTGCCTGCCGATGCAGGAGATGCAGGTTCAATCCCTGGGTCGGGAAGATCCCCTGGAGAAGGAAATGGCACCCCACTCCAGTATTCTTGCCTGGGAAATCCCATGGACAGAGGAGCCTGGTGGGCTACAGTCCATGGGGTCGCAGAGTCAGACTCCACTGAGCACACGTTTGTTTTTCTGTTCCTGCAAACAAGTTCCAGATGAAAAGCTCTGGGCCTACATGTCAAGTTAACAAAAGCCTTCCTTCCTGGGGCTTGGAAAACGTCATCCGCTTACAATTTCCGTTTGTCTTCCTCGAAAGGGAGCAAAGCCCATATTGTAACATCTGGTCGGGGGATTCTTTTCCAGATGGCCAGTGGGCTTGCTGCCTTTGGGGAGTTGGAAAGAAACGGCTACTGCCTTCTCTGTGATACACCTGTTGGTTTGCTGGCTTGCTAACCCTGGGCAGCCTTTTCCAGAATCACCCCGTGGCCACATGTTGGAATCATGTCTTTGGATGGGAAAGCTCTGAGCTCACCGAGGGGCCCTAGGTTCCTTCCAAAATAACAGATATTCTCTTTGAAGCTGGTGGAAAGAGAGCAGCGCCATCTAGGAAGAGGCTTCTGCCTAGTTAGACAGGAAGGGGCACCCCTCCCCTCACTAGGGAGGAGGAGAGGGGTTCCTTTCTCACTTACTGAGTGATGACTATATAAGAACACAGTCCAGACGTGCAGCACGTTCCAAGAGAATTTATGATCCAAGAGGTGAGGAAGTGACATGAGAGCACCCCAAAAGCCAGGAGCACCCCTGATGCCCACATCGAACATACTGGGACCAACATCGGGTATGGGGGCTGCTGGTTGTGGGACAAAAAGAGGAGGTTTATGGGGGCCACTCAGGCAGGGGATGCAAAATGTAAAGGTTTGGGGGGCACGCATTTCAGATGGCTCTAAGGGGGGCCTGTGTGAGAGGGGAGTCGAGTGAGACGTCTGGTCCCCTGAGTGTGGCAGCCCCCCCTCCATTCCCTCAGGGGGCTCCCGCTGCCTCCAGAACACAGCGCAGTGCGGATAAGAGGGGCAGCTCCTGGAGTGAAGCCTCTTTGACATAATGATTGGTTTTAGGCTGATTTATGGCAGAAAGAGAGAGAGATTGGCTAGAGAAGGACAATGATCGAGGAAGGGAGAGCGATTAGACACCGGAACCCTCAAGGGGCTAGTAATTCAGATAATTACGGTAAGGGCTGCGAGCCCTGCCACAGGCAGGGACCAAATCTGCTTCCCAGACCAAAACAGATCAGGCTGATGAATTAGCGCCTTGGCCGAAATAAACCAAACACTTAATGGCAGAACTGCTCGAGTCTCAGGGTGATGCTGGCTGCCGAAGCCCCAGGGAGCACTCCTGAGCCCTGCGGCTTGTCCCGAGCGCGGAGCTGGTGATGCCTGGCACAGCCTCTGCACTTGGCCTGCTGGGTCCATGTCCTCTGCACACGTGACCCTCACCGTGGCCTTTCTGAGCCTCCATGTCCCCACGTGGTAGCACCTAGTCGTGTGGCTGCTGTATAGACTGAATCAGATAATTTCACATAAAGAGATTACCCTGCTCCCTAGTGCCCTGAACTCTCAACAAGCAGCTGGTTTTTAAAAGTTGCTGCTCTTGCTTTAAATTTAACCTGACTGTCTCTCAACTGAATGCTGTTCAGTTCTATTCATTCCTCCATTCAGGCTTCTAAAGCATCATTATTAAGGAAAATATTCAATGACAAAAGCCATAGATGTTCAGTGTTAAAAAAAAAACAAAAACCCAACCAGGTCCAAATACAAGACTACGAAGAAAATATGAAAATGCCTCATTCAACACCTTGCTGCTCTGGCTTCAGATCCTGGCTCTGCCCATTCCTGGCTCATTGGCCTTAACTGGTCAAGATACTTGACCTCTTGGAGTCTTCATTACCCCAACTGCCAAGAGGAGGTGGTATAATCCCAACTTCATGTACCTGCAAAATGAACAAGCCAATGCAGGTGTGTCCAGATGGGAGGCCCCAGGCTGCCAAGTGGAATTCAGGCAGTAAATGCTAGCCTAGCAGGTGTCACGTCATTGTCGCCATTGCTGTTGTGAACTTCCCTGCAGGGTGCAAAGGAGAGCCCGGGCTGGATGGCAGGAGGGGTGAGGATGGCCTCCCAGGGTCCCCTGGGCCTCCGGGTCATAAAGGTGACATGGGAGAAGCAGGCTGTCCAGGAGCACCAGGTAAAGAATTTCCATTTCTCTTCTTTTCTCTGGCCCCGTGAATCTGAGAACTGTGTACAAGGTCTCTGACCTCTCAAGCATTTACCTTAGATACCAACTCACCAGGCTTTAGGGAGACAAAGCAACAGGAACAGAAAAGAATGGACCCCCCCCCCAACATTCTAACTGATACTCGACTATCATAAAAACGGGTCAAGGCCTTGTGTCCATTACTCTTCCAAAGCACTATTCATTAGCATAAAAGGCTCAGCCATTTCTGCTGTTCGCTTTCCCAGTCTGAGCCTGGCATGCTGTACCGTTGAGAGGCTGTGCTGAAGATCTCAGGGTCGGCAGGGGTGGTCTCATGTCCATAACTGGCTGAATCACTTGGTCTCTGGTTTTCCGAGTTCATTCGTCTCATCATACAGCCATCAGTCCATTTTGTTTTTCGGTTTGCTCAGTTGTGTCTGGCTCTTTGTGACCCCATGAACTACAGCCTGCCAGGCTTCCCTGTCCTTCACTGTTTCCTGGAATTTGCTCAAACTCATGTCCATTGAGTTGATGATGCCTCTTAAAGAGAACCTAAGGCTTTTCTTCAAAAACACTTGTGAGTGGGCCTTTGGTGAAGGCAGATAAGACCCTTTAGGATATAAATCTGAAATATAACTCATTAAACAATATGTTAGGGCCTGAAGACTCCCAGATAGTCTCCTCTGTGGAGAATATCTGGCAGTACCAGCTTAGTAATGAGAAGCAGGTGAAGGGGTGTTGGGGAGCTGGGATGCTGAGGAAGGGGCCTCGGGAAAATGGGGGCTGCAGTCTGAAAGCAGGACTCGGCTTCTGTTATGTGGAAATTGTGGCCACGTAGAAATGTGGGCCCACTGTTCCCTATACTCTGCTTTTCTAGTCTGAAATCTTAACTCATGAAATCTTGGTAAGTCAAACAAAACACATGAGCAGTCCTGATGCAGTCCACAAGCTACGAGGTTGTAGCCTCTGGTTTACAGCATAGATGAGAAGAGCTGCCAGTCTTCCAGAAACAAAAACTTTTAACAAACACCTTTTTTAAAGGTGTCAAAGTCTACCTCCACCCTCTGCTTTTGGCAATCAGAAGTAGCCACTGACCTTCAGGAGGTCACCCCCTTAGAGAGGCCGAAGGAGATGTCCCTGCTCATATTCTGTAAAGCTGTTCATTTCCCACCAGCCAGTTAGAGATCTAGAACTTGGGCTTCTTCCACTTGCCTTTTGTATAAAAGAAGATACAAAGCCAAACTTATGGGCCTCCCTGGCAGCTCAGCAGTAAAGAACCCGCCTGGCAATGCAGGAGACCCGGATGCAATCCCTGGGTTGGAAAGATCCCCTGGAGTAGGAAATGGCAACCCACTCCAGCATTGTCGCTTGGGAAATCCCATGGACAGAGGAGCCTCATGGGCTATACAGTCCCTGAGTTGCAAGGAGTCAGACACAACTTGGCGACTAAACAACAATCACGATGGATTCTAAACCCTTGTCTTTAGAATGGAACTGACAATATGGGAGGACCATGGAACGCGTCTGGGAGCTATAAGACAGGCCCACTCCTGAGAGTCACTTCTCAGATAGCAGACTCCTAGTCTAATTGGTAAAGTCTGGGAGATCCCACACTGGCCGTCGTTACCCCATCGTGGTTCTTCTCAGCACTTACCCTTTATTAAGTATTTCATAGTTCACATTTTCATTATGCTTATTACTTGTCATTTCTCCTCTTCAAGTAGAATGTAAGCTGTAGGAGGGCAGGTATTTTCGATTGCTTGTATGCTGATGTAACCCAAGCAGCTAGAAGCTGCTAAACCGCGTCCTTGTTGAATGAGTTGTTGGGGTGCATTGCAGTTGTGTGAGGGGGACATTCCTCTCTGCTCTCTGAGTACTTAGCATAGCATCAGACAGAGGTACTTGGAATATCTGTTAAACTGAACTCCCTAAACCACCTTTCTTTATGTTTCCTTATTCTTCCAGGCCCTCCTGGGCCCGTGGGGGATCCTGGGCCCATAGGGTTTGGCCCTGGATACCTCAGTGGCTTCCTCCTGGTTCTCCACAGTCAGACCGATGGAGAACCCACCTGCCCCACGGGCATGCCCAGGCTCTGGACTGGGTATAGTCTGCTATACCTGGAAGGACAGGAGAAAGCTCACAATCAAGACCTAGGTACGTAGATGGCACGTGTTCACCCCGGTTCATTGCTTATGAGCAAAACTTTAGGGTTAGTTTCATGGATTCATTAACATCTTAAATGATCACTCATCTTCTATGAAATTTTTTTTTCTTTTTCAACTACCATGCTAATTCTCAATTAATTTTGTTAAATCTATGACCCTGTGAGATGCCAAGAAAGCTCATACTGGCTATATCATTACTATATTTTTATTTCTAATTTTAAATACTAATTATTATAAAATTTAAAACGACAAATATAAAATTTTTATAAATTTTTTAAATTATAATTATTATAAAATAAAATTATAAAATAACCATTTAAAATGTTATTTATAATTTTTAATAATTATTATAATCTGACTACATAGTATTAGTTTAAAAATAATTCTTCCTCAGTAAGTATAACTCTGATATAAAAAGCAACTTTTATTTCCCAATGTAAATGATTTAATCAGGATATGGTTTGTTCCTGGAGAAACTCCCTCAATCCCTGAGTTGATAAGATCTCCTGGAGAAGGAAGTGGCAACCCACTCCAGTACTCTTTTGGAATTCATTGTCAAATGAAGTACATTTGACATATAACATGTAAGTTTAAGGTGTCGAAGGTGTTGATCTGATGCATATATATATAGTAATGACTTCATTGTACCGATTGTTGGCACCTCCATCATATCACATAGTTATCATTTCTTTTTTGTGGTGGGAATAATTATGACCTCATCTCTTCATACATTTGATGGTTATGATACAATATTGTTGTCTATATTCATTCCACTATGCGTTGGATCACTAGGACTTATGTATCTACTAGTTGCAAATTTACACCTTTTAACAGCATCAGAACTTTACTTGGAGTGTCATTCCTTAGCACTGTTTGTCAACTTCCAATAGTGGATCTGTAAGCCTCAGAAACTGACTTCTAAGCTGAGGGTTGAGTCCCCAGATGCTGACACTCATGTCCTCCCTAAGATAGTGGTGGTTGCAGTGGTGGGTGCAAGAGGGCTGTGCCCACAGGATCAGCTGGTGGTAAGGCGCGTCTTGTCACCTCTCTCACTGGGCGTGATCCCGCTGCCAGTAAGGGTGATAAAAGCATGCAGGCCTGTGGGGGGCACCAGTGTCAGTTCCCCGGCCCTGCTCTAGCCAGAGCCACCCCACTGTGACTGCGCTCTGCAGAGCTCTTGGAATAAAATCCAAACTCCTTAACGAGATGGACAAAGCCTGCACCCTCTGGTCTGCTTTATTGGATTGGCTGAAAATGTGTGCTCCTACGGAAAAAAGCCCCAAGGAACTTTTTAGCCAACTTAATACTCGAGCAACACGAGACATAGACCCAGACCTGCTCTCCCCACCTTCCCTGGGGCTGAACTCCTCTGAGTCCTTTGACCTCCTGCTCCCTAATTACCTCTGACCATCTTCACTGCTGTATAAACAGGCCTTTCCTTTGAACCATCACCACCATCTCCAAACCTGGCCAAACCTTGTTCGGAATTCAGGTCCTGGCTTCCAATCACTTCTTGCAGCCATCCGGCTTGGGTACCCCCGAGTCCCCACTTCTCAAGCCTTGTCTTGCTGTGTTCCCACTGCCTCTTGGCTCCTCCAGCTCCCCACCCCCGCCAAGCCGGGCCAGCAGCTTCCTGAAAATTCCTGAAGCTCTCCGAGAAGAGGTGTGCTCACGTCTCTCTCTCAAGCATCCTGGCCTGTTGCTTGACTCAGGAGAGCGATGTGGGATCCAGGGAAAAAAGCGGCCTGACCCGTGAGACCTGAGAGGCGGCTGAAGTGGTCAGGTGCCCACAGCAGCAGACTTTGGCTGGGCCCCCCACCCCCACCCTGTGCCCCTGTCCCCCATCCCCTGCCCAATGCCAGATGAGTGTCTGCAGAGGGGCCCGGGTAGGGAAGGTCATCCCAGAGCAGAGCACTCAGCCTCCACGTGGTCTCCCCTGCCCAGGTCTGGCGGGCTCCTGCCTCCCCATCTTTAGCACGCTGCCCTTCGCCTACTGCAACATCCACCAGGTGTGCCACTATGCCCGGAGGAACGACAGGTCCTACTGGCTGGCGAGCACCGCGCCTCTGCCCATGAAGCCGCTCTCGGAGGACGAGATCCGCCCGTACATCAGCCGCTGCGCCGTGTGCGAGGCCCCCGCCCAGGCCGTGGCGGTGCACAGCCAAGACCAGTCCATCCCCCCGTGCCCGCGGGCCTGGAGGAGCCTCTGGATCGGGTACTCCTTCCTCATGGTGAGCCCCTGCACCTCCGCCGTCCCTAAGACCCGCCTCCGCACCCCTTCCATCTGGACTGGACCGTAGTTTTGAGAATCCAGGGCCGATGGGCGAGTTTGGCATGGGAGTCATGAAGACCATACCACACTATAGCCTGCTGAGACACAGGGCCACTCTTTTTTGCTTATTGTGGATGAATTTTTGTATTACTCGGGTAGAATTTAGAGGATGAATTTGCATCAGCCCTTAGTGAAAGGGGTTTCTTTTTGTGTGTGCACCCATCTCCTTTCCCATGTACCCTCTGCTTTGTTGTCGTTATGGAGTTGCTGTGTCCGGTCCAATTCTTTGTGACCCCATAGACTGCAGCCCGCCAGGCTCCTCTGTCCGTGGGATTCCCCCGGCAAGAATACTGGAGTGGGCTGCCATTCCCTTCTCCAGGGGATCTTGCCGACCCAAGGATCTCCTGCAATGGCAGGCAGGTTCTTTACCACTGAGCCACCAGGCTAGTCCATCCTTTCCTGTTTGCTCAGTCGTGTCTGACTCTTTGCGATCCCATGGACTTGTAGCCTGCCAGGCTGCCCTGGTCCATGGGATTTTCTCGGCGAGAACACTGGAGTGGGTTGCCATTTCCTCCTTCAGGGGATCTTCCCGACTGAGAGATCAAACCTGTGTTTCCCGCATCTCTGGCATTGCAGGCAGATTCTTCACCACTGAGCCACCTTTCCTTAGCAGATCATAGTCTCTTTTTCCTGGCATGATTTTTAGGGAAAATGTAAAGTCAGGCCCAGACCTGGGTGTGTCACTGGTTGGGTCTGGGGTTGTCTGTGCATGTCTGAGCCCTAATTCTCTCCTGTTGTCTGGGTAGCACACAGGCGCTGGGGACCAAGGAGGCGGGCAGGCCCTCATGTCCCCAGGCAGCTGCCTAGAGGATTTCAGAGCTGCACCATTCCTGGAATGCCAAGGCCGGCAGGGAACTTGCCACTTTTTTGCCAACAAGTATAGTTTCTGGCTGACAACGGTGAGACCTGACTTGCAGTTTTCCTCTGCACCATTACCGGACACCTTGAAAGAAAGCCATGCTCAACGCCAGAAAATCAGCAGGTGCCAGGTCTGTGTGAAGCATAGCTAAGATCCCACCTTTCATGATCAGGTTGCCAAGAGAAACTTGCCAGGAGGCTGAGACATCCTAGGATGTGCTAAGAGATTCAGTGGTGCTCATCTTAGACTCCTGGTTTAGCCGTTCCTTCTGTTTTGATGTGGTTATTCCCAGAGGACTATATAATTCCTTCCTCTGTTCCAGACAGATTAAGCAAATACTACACATATGGATTTGCTTGGACCTACCAATCTAGACGAAACCCAGATATTCTTCTTTCATTGAGGATGGTGGGAAAAGCTGGCTTTATTTAAAAGTATGCTAATTCAGGGGAAGGCAAATAGACGATAAAGGCCAGATTACAAATGACATTACTGGAAACTTCATTCATTGGTTAATAGCAACTCAAACAATTGAAGTCAATTACTGTATAATACAGTGGGCTTCTGGATGGATATTTCAGGAAAAAAAAATATGCCAGCAAATGAACTAGGAAGTAGAGATTTCCTACGTTTCAAAATGATTTCCTCTGTAATCTATTTTTCCATGCACTTTAAATAATTGTAAAACCATGACCCAAGGAGATTAAAAAAAAAAAAAAACCCACACAGCCAGCCTTAACAGTTCATTTCAAAGCAGAATGAATCATTATGCCATGAAGGACCACGGTTGGTATATTCCAGAGATGCAACATTAGCATAAAACACATCGCAGATGAACATAAAACATTATGTTCCCTTCTGCATTTTTCAGAGAATAGAAATGCCTACTTTGGCAACCCTTTGGAAAAGTAGCAATTATGGGGCAAAAATATGTTCAATAAGGGATTAAGAGCCTAAAAGCTATTAATGAATATTAAGGCGGTGATTCACAAAAATTGATTCCCCACTGCAGTGAACTTCCAAACAGACCGCTTTGGCCCAGTCGGGGTCCGCCTTGTCTTCCGCGTGTGTGTGTGTTAATGGGCCTGGAGCCACATGAGGCCACGTTCACACAAAGCAGACCCCTTCCCTCCCCTGGGTATGCCTACAGAGCTGCCCCACAGCCCCACAAAGGACACTTTCCCTCCATCCACATAATGGCATCTCATGCAGGGAAGTGCCAGAGCTATCATTATGCGCTTGGGAGAAAATTAGGGCCGACTTAATTAAACTAAGGTAAGAAGATTCATTTAAGTCATCGTCACCCCCCACCCCCGCCAAAGACCTGACACTTGTAAATGCAACAAAGACAACCTACAGCTTGAATCTTGTGTTCTGTTATTGGTTTTTACAGGAGCATCCTGTTTTTCCTATCCTAAAAACATTCTTGTATTCTATATCAATATTAGACCAAGGCAGCAGTTTGATATTTGGCTTTTTTTTTTTTAATAAAAGCTTAGAGGTCATGTCATTTTATAGTGAGTAGTTTTCTGTCTAGCAAAAGGATATGTTTTCTATTTTGCTAGAATTCTGTGGTCTAATCCTGAAAATCAAAAGGCTTATTGGAAAAGACTTTTATTAAATTTCCTTTTCTCATGTTAAAAATTTGGTATTTTAGAGAAAACTAAAGAAATTTCCCATGAGAAAGTGACACTCATTTTAGTGCTTAGTTTCAAGCCCTTAATAATAATTAAAACTTTGTTTATAAGAAATGCTTTTCTTGCCAAATATTGATTGGGAGTGTGCTCTTATATGCAGAATGTATTTCAAATGAATCTTGCTCTGGGCTGCCCCCCAGGATGGCAATTTATTTTAAGCCTGCTTCCTGGTAAAAAGAGAAAAATGTACATTTTAAGAGGAAATATTATCTTGATGTACCAGAATATTTCCTATTTCATTTGACCCATTTATTAATTTTTTTAAACTCTGCTATGGCATGTTAAATATTTGCGTACACCTGAAATTTAAGCCAATTTCAACCTTATTTATAATTACCATTTTCTGATTCCAAAAGTTTTTTTCATATATTACCTAAATTCAAGCCTTCCAAAAATTCATCTCATTCATTCACGAAATTGTTCTGAGAACATTTTCTGGGAAGATGAAAGGGTGATTGATGGACCATAAGGAAACATATCTTGTTTGCTATTTTAAACACCTTCATTTTAGTATTAGAATATTATCTTAACAAACTGGCCAAATAAATAAAAAAAAAAAAAACAGCCTGAATTAAGTGGACAAGTTCCACCACAGTGAGCCCAAGGTAGTGTACAAGGCTGATTTCAAAATACTAGTATCACAAGAGTCCCCTCTAAATACAGTAAAATGCTGCCTGCTGATTTAGAAAAATTATTTTCAATGCTCGAAAAAGCAAAATGATGGAAAAAATACTATCTTGCATTAGAAAACCACAGTAATTTTTAGGCCATTAGTTTCTTTATCTGGTTACCCATTCAGGGTACTTCTCTCCTTTCTCTCTGAAGGATGAACAAAGCTTTAAAGTTCTTCTCCTAATCCCTTACTGGTGATTATCCTTACCAAAAGGTCCTTCTCCCAAACCCTCTCCTGCAGCGAGTTAGTTGAAATGCTTCTGGACTGCCCAAAGACAGTTGCTATGAGCTGGGGGTCAGGGTGTTTCCTTTCAGGCTCTTATTCTCAATGAGTGGCCCATCCATGCTGCCAGCGGAGGGAGGCCGATCCACCATAATCCCTCCCCTCTCAGATTCTCCAGACCTCAACTTCAGTTGCCACTTCCTGTGGATTGCTATCTTCTTCTCTGACCTCACTGCACCTGTCTTAACATAGCCTTTGTCCTCTTCACCTCTGCTTGTGTAGTAGACATCTCCCAGCTGCTGCCTCCAGTTTAAAATTCTCATCATCATTTCTCTGAGATGCAAACTTGACTTTGTTATTCTTTGGTTTTTGTTGTTGCTCAATTGCTCAGTCATGCCCAACTCTTTGCAACCCCATGGACTGCAGCACACCAGGCTCCCCTGTCCTTCACTATCTCCCAAAGCTTGCTCAAACTCATGTCCATTGAGTCAGTGATGCCATTCAACCATTTCATTCCCTGTCGCCTCCTTCTCCTCCTGCCTTCAATCTTTGCCAGCATCAGGGTCTTTTCCAACGAGTCAGCTCTTCGCATCAGGTGACCAAAGTATTGGAGCTTCAGCTTCAGCATCAGTCCTTCCAATGAATATTCAGGGTTGATTTCCTTTAGGATTGACTGGTTGGATCTCCTTGCAGTCCAAGGGACTCTCAAGAGTCTTCTCCAACACCACAGTTTGAAAGCATCAATTCTTTGGCATTCAGTCTTCTTTATGGTCCAACTCACATCCCTACATGACTACTGGAAAAACCATAGCTTTGACTTTATGGACCTTTGTCGACAAAGTGAGGTCTCTGCTTTTTAATATGCCGTCTAGATTTGTCATAGCTTTTCTTCCAAGGAGCAAGTGTCTTTTAATTTCATGGCTGCAGTCACTGTCTGCAGTGATAAATGACCCCACTGCCCACGAAGTCTAGATGGCTTTCCATGGGGGGAAGGGGCCTGTGGGAACTCTCTGCTCATCACAGAGGCACATTCCCGTCTCTCTGACTTTGCTCCTGCTCTTTCCACCAGCGATGTCCCCGTCCCACCCCCGTAAGTTTACCTGGCAGACAACAACTAATTTTTAGACAGAATTAGCTGGTAGGGAGGACTGTGTGCATTTCCCCACGATGACCTGGCCTCCGTTCTGCTGCTCCCAGTACGAGTCAGGGATTTGCTCACTCTCATGCTTTCCCCACAGCTCCTGTAACGTCTCATCCCACTGCCTTCATTCTCTTGCTAAAATGTAAGCCCAGAGGGCAGGGACCATGCTTCATTCATCGCTGTATGCTCAGGGCTCACATAGAGCTGAGCGTATTATTGACTTTCAATTCTTTCTTCACTGACAATTCAAATAAGCATCATTAGACATTAGATGTTCAGCTCTGGGTATCAGTTCTCATTGACAAAATGGTTACAAGTACAAACCATTTCTTATTTCAAACGATTTTAATGTGACAACCTATCTGCACACCCACAATCTCATCTTACAATTGTTGACAGAAAGCCGACTGATGAACTTTAACCATCACCTACTCCTGAAACATAGCTTATTTGTTTATGTTTTGTCGCTAAGTCACATCCAACTCTTTTGTGACCCCATGGGCTGTAGCCTGCCAGGCCCCTCTGTCCATGGGATTTCCCAGGCAAGAATACTGGAGTGGGTTGCCAATTCCTTCTCCAGGGGATCCTCCCGACCAGGAATCGAACGCATGTCTCTTGCATTGGCAGGCAGATTCTTTACACCTGAGTAACCAGGGCTCCTCTGAAATGTAGCATACTTTTCCATAAACTGAAATTTTAGAAATAACGTTTGAGAGATTTGACAATGAGAGAAGACTTTTTGTGGAAATATGATGTCTTAACTCATGCTGTAGGCTGTGTTCCCTCATGATGTTGAGTGTCCTAGCATAAAATCCCCTCTACAAAATTTGTATATGTTATTGGTGCTGAGGAAAAGAGTAACAGAATGGTTTACTAAAACTGGATTTATCAAGGGTTTTATTTTGAGCCTCTTAGAGATTATAATAAAATAAATCATTCTCTGTGTTTCAGGAAATTACATGGATTTGTTCTTCTGTCAGCTCACCAGCCTAATTTTATCACTGTTACTTTTATTTGGTATGGCTTCAAGAACAGTGGAAAGATGTGGCCTTAAAGTTAGTTGAACCTAGGTTTCAATTCAGCTGTCCCTTTCCAGCGGCAGCACCCTGGGTGTTACACCAACTCCCTGACCTCCACTTTCCACATTTATAATATGGGGCTTAATGCCTACTCTTGCATTGAAAATTAACTCTAAGATTATATGTCCAGCACATAGCTGACCTCATACATTTATTATGGCCACATCTCCGATTTAAAACAAGCCCTTTCATATGAAAACATATTTCTTGGGATTCTTTACATAGTAGAACACGATGATTCTCACAGGGCATATAAATTACTGATTAGAATTATTTATACCTGGTCAATTCTTAATGTCTTTGGGAAAGCTATTTTATTTCAATTCTCGAAGTTATTATACCACATGTGAAAAAAGTCACCATTTCCTGCAAGATCATTATCAGGAAGTTCTGCAGGGAACAAAACAATTGACATTAAAAATCAGTACTCTGCAATTGCCACTGTTATTATCTTCCAGAGATTCTGCATAATGCATTTTCAACCACCAAGGTTGGCTGCCACATCCATGTGAAATGCTTGAATTTTATGGTGCTTAAATATTTAATGATTCATAGGAAAAAAATGTGAAATGTGTCTGATTAAATTGCATCCCTTTATCTAACCTACAGTTGTAAAGTTAAAGACTTTCAACATGTAACATTTGCAAGGTGCCTGGTTTGCTATTGACATTGAAATGTTGTATTGCAATTTATACTATCACTTATTATATATAAAATTCTCTGATGACCTCCAAAAGCAACTGTGTTTTATGTGGTGCATTTATTTTCTTTCAAGCCAAAGTGAGTTTACTACTTAACCTACCTTGTAATATGGCCTGCCTTACGGTTGGCTCGGGGGTGGGGGGGAACAGGAAAGGTTACATGGTAGAAGTGTGATCTGCAGATGGGAAGAGCATGAGGGCAGCATAGACAGTGCCCGCCCCCCACCCACCCTGGACTTGGGAAAGCGTGATTCTGAGGCTCCAGGGAGCACTGTCCTCCATGCAGTGGTGAGCTGGGGTGGACATGAAACCAAACCTCTGCTGAATTGCGTTTACCCGCCAGCCTGGGGCTCTGATCTCGTGGGTTTTAGTTGTCCTACCAGTTGAAAAATGAGACCACCTGCTTCACAGGGTTGCTGTAAGGGTTAAAAGTAAGAGCTATAGGGGACTTCCCTAGCAGTCCAGTGGTTAGGACTTTGCCTTCCAATGCAGGAGGTGTGGGCTTGATCCCTTTTCAGGGAGCTTATATCCCACATGCCTCACACCAAAAAGCCAAAACATAAAGCAGAAGCAATATTGTAACAAATTCAATAAAGACTTTAAAAAAGTTCAAAAAAATCTTTAAAAAATTAAGAAATAGAACCACAAAGAGATATAAAATGTAAGGTACTGTTACTGACAACCAGAGTCACTGGAAGTTAGGGGTTAGGAGGTATTTTTATTCTCATAGCACAGGGGTGGGTGCAGTGCAGATATTCAACAGCTGTTTCATGGAGCACCTTTTTTTAATTAGGAGGGAACTTCAGTGGTTATTTGGTCCAACTGGGCTTCCCAGGTGACTCAGTGGTTTAAAAAAAAAAAGTATACCTACAAATGCAGGAGATGCAGTTTTGGTCCCTTGGTTGGGAAGATCCTGCAGAGGAAATGACAACCCACTCCAGTAGTCTTGCCTGGGAAATCCATGGACAGGGGAGCCCCATGGGATACAGTCCATGAGGTTGCAAAGAGTAGGACATGACTTAGCAGCTGAGCATGCACAGTCGTGTACTCACTTAAAGAGCAATAATGTTAGCAAATGAACGTTTCTTGAGCACCTACTATATGACAGGAACAGTATGAACCCTGTGGTACAAGCTTCCCTCAACCTCTCAACTATCCTATCTTACAGATGAGGAAGCTGAGGTTTAGAGAGGATAAGTGACTCGCTTGGGGTCACACAGTCAACACCAGGAGAACTTGAACCCTGGTCCATCAATTGCTTAAGATTGTGTTTTACCCACTACACCATGGCCTCCCATACTACTGGTTTCATCACACAATTCTCTACCTAAGCAGCAATATGTACTACAACCAAATTCAGTGATTTCTGCTAGTCATGTTCTGGTTTTCCTTGATAAAGTATAAATCGTATGTTCCAATCTGTCAGTTCATCTGAAGATTCCTGAACAAGATGTCAAAAATGACACGGGGGGAAAAAGCAGTGAGCACAGACACACAAACACACCTGCAAACAGTGGCCAGACTTGGTGGTATCCACGGGGGCTCCTTGGTGATATGCTTTGAAGGTCCTGGAATCTTGAGTTTTGTGCACTTCACTGCAGCATTCGTGACATGGAACCAGCTTTGGGCACAGGAGGATGGCGACCTCTCCCCACCATCCGGTAAGCCTTGGGGAAGGCCTGGATGTTTCTGCTTCTATGGGCAAAAGCCTCTGATGCTCAGAAAGATTGAAGGCAGGAGAAAGGGGCAATAGAGGATGAGATGGTTGGATGGCATCACCGACTCAATGGACATGAGTGTGAGCAAACTCTGGGAGATACTGGACAGGGAAGCCTGGCGTGCTGCAGTCTGTGGGGTCTCTAAGGGTCAAACAAGACCGAGCGACTGAACATCATGGACAAAAGCCTTCTTTCAAGTGATTCTTTCCTGTGATTCAAGAAAACAGACACACAGTCAACAACAGCAAGCAGCAACAGGCACCCCTTTGCACGTGTGCCACTGGTGATGTTGTAAATGAGCTTCTTTCTGCTTCACTCCACAAAAGCTTTATTGGTTTTAACACTTCAGACACTGTATCAGGTACTATGAAGAGATGCACAGAAACACAGTCAAAGTCCTGCCCTTGTGAAGCTTACAGTCCAAAGACCTTCTCTCACTTCAGGATAACTAGCAATTCTAAGCGGCTTGTGGAAACTGTGATGAATACCCTCCAAGGGCAGATCATTCTGGGGGCAGAACGGGGAAGATCTGGATGAGGATCTAAGAGAGAGGGATAGGTTACTGCATGGAAGTCACAGGGTCAGGCATGCCCGTGGCCTGGACAGCAATGAGACCTGTTAGCGGCAGCACAGACTCCCTTAGGGACAAGTGAGGGTGAGGCTGAAAGGGTGGCTGGAGCCCCATGGTTGAGGCGAATGAGTCTGACCTTTATCCTTTGGCAACAGAGAAATGATAAAAAGGGACTGAGATGGTGGGTGGCATCACAAAAGTGCATTTTGGAAGATTAATGGGCAGTGCTGTGTAGAACTGAGTGAAGATGAATTTTAAGTATTGAGTGGGGCAATGAACAGAGATTTTAAGTAGGGAGTCTGTGACTCTAAAAAAGACTGGGGCAAAGCAGGAAGAAAATGATTGCAGTAATCCACAGGAAGGGAAGAGATAATAGGATTTTGTTTTTTAATGACTTGTTGTTTAGTCACTCAATTGTGTCCGACTCTGCGACCCCATGGACTGCAGCCCGCCAAGCTTCCCTGTCCTTCACCATCTCCTGGAGCTTGCTCAAACTCATGTCCATTGAGTCAGTGATGCCATCCAACCATCTCATTCTCTGTTGCCCCTTTCTCCTTCTGTCTTCAATCTTTCCCAGCACCAGGGTCTTTTCCAATGAGTCAGCTCTCCGCATCAGTTATTAATTGAATACAATTCTTTACTGACTCTTTCAAGAGAAACTAGGACCAGGAAGGAGGTGGCCAGGTCTGCCACATCCTCTGCGTTTTACTGTCCTTTTCTGGTGATGGGTCTCAGTCTTTTAATCCTCCAGGTGGCTCAGTGGTAAAGAATCTGCCCGCCAAAGCAGGAGACACTGATTCTATCCCTGGGTCGGGAAGATCCCCCCTGGAGTAGGAAATGGAAACCCACTCCAGTATTCTTGACTGGAAAATTTCTTGGATAGAGGAGTCTGGCGGGTTACAGTTCATAGGGTCATATAGAGTCAGACACAACTGAGTGACTGTTTACTCAGATTCTTAACTTACTTCCCAAGCAGCAGAACGTGTGACGGACATGTATACTGGCCCCAATTCTACAAAAACCAGCCTTTTACTGTCCAGGCCTCAACAACAGACAGCTTAAAAGGACAGAGGGGCTGTGAACAATCAAGCACAACTCTGGAATCACAGGCACTAAATACATTCAAGGTCATAAAGAGGAAGCAATTTTAACTGGTTCCTCATCTTGAAAACCAAGGAAACAGTCTGAATTAAGAGGTCTCCTAAGTTGACTGATCACAACCGAAGCGTGGGAATGTTTAACAGACAACCAGGAAATCACTATTAAGCAAAGAAACCAAATTTAAAACCACCTCTAAATGCTTACTCCCTGAGAGATAATTAGTTGAATACACTGGCTTTTGTTTGTCTTTCTCACCCCAGTTTCAGTTTTGTGGTGTAACTTTGGAGATTCCTTACTGTAGGAAGAAAAAATAAGATGGGTATTGAAAATAATAAGCACTTGGTTACAAGCAAGCCTATTAACTGAACAAAGTAATTAAAATAATTTCCAAAACATCTTTATTGTTGTGCTAAGATAACTGGTTTATAACTGAAATGACCTTTCCCACATCTGTAAAGTTTAGTGATAATCCACTCCATAAGTAAGGTATGCCTATTACAGTTACACCATCTGAAATCCAGTTCTGGTGTCTTTATATCTGACAAGTGAAACAGAGCTAGAAGCTATTATTACTAGATTGACAGCCACCTCCATATACAGTGGCTGGACTTTTACTGCATTGAAAAAATACTCTGGTGAGAAACCAACACTGAATAAGCCTCTACTGGGAGGCAGGGGCCAGCCTTTGGGTGATGCAGTGAGAGAGCTGGAAAGTGTGGCATTAACGAGACCTCATTCCACAGCCATTCATAACCTGTGCTCCTGTGTAGAAGGCATGTTTTTCTACAGTTGTGTACAAATAATCATAGAGCCAAATGTAAATGTCAGAGTTACCTTTAAAATGTGCTATCAGAAGATGGAATGTAAGAATGAGGTTATTCCCAGTAGGGGGCTTCCCAGGTAGCGCTAGTGGTAAACCCGCCTGCCAATACAGGAGACGAGAGATCCGGGTTTGATCCCTGGGTTGGGAAGATCCCCTGCAGGAGGAAATGGCAACCCACTGCAGTATTCTTGCATGGAGCATCCCAGGGACAGAGGAGCCTGGTGGGCTACAGTCCACGGGGTTGCAGAGTCGGACACGACTGAGCTGACTTGGTGTGCACGCATCGCGGGCAGAGGTCATGGGAAACGCGTTTGAAGAGTTTGGGAGAAGAGGAATGACATCTGGCTTAAACATTTCAATTGTAAAGTGTTTGAAGCTGCAAGGCTCAGAGATGCAATTCATACTATAAACGTGCTGCATGTCGCTTTGTATCAGTCAGAAATTAAGCTGAGGAGCTCAGGAAACACTGTTCCAGCCGGCAGGTCAAAGTGCTCCCAAGTCTCACGTGGTTTGTTAGCTCATTTACATGCAAGTGACAAAGTCTCACCCAGGTCAGCTGAGATTAGGAACCAGACACAAAACTGCATAGTTGGTATGCTCCAAACTTGTGAAACATATACAAAGCCTGAGAAAGCAATATCCTTAAAATCTTAACCCTGGTGGAGACACAGGTGATTTTTAAATTGCACATGTATTTTTTTGTATTTCTGTTTATACTGTAAATTTTATCAACAGAGACACAATACTTATTCTTGAGTCCATTTTTCTGGTTATATATTTCTTCATTTATAATTATATAAATCAGTTTCCCTACTGCAAAAGTAGTACACACATATACATATACACACATTTTAAAAAGAGAACAATAATCACTTCTTGGCCTTTTGGCTAAGATCAAGTGTAAAAAGAGAACAATATAAAATTGTGAAAAACAGAAAGCAAAATCCTATGCACTCCACCTTCCTAAATAACCTCTGTTAATATGTGGGTGCATTTCCTGCCAGATGTTGGCTTTATGCATATACAAGGTATATATATTACTTTCATAATCAGAAAATTATATAAATGCTAGATAAAGCCATAGAGGAAGACCCTTTTCTGCTTCTAACTCTCTTTAAATATAAATATCTCAGTGATGTAAGACATCAGTGATATTTGACCTTTTCCTTTTATTCATGAAACTCAAGCACCAGGAAACACATCTTAAGTGACGGGGTCTGTGTGTTAGGAGAGTGTCTTGGAGGGTGGCTGTTACAATGGTCAATTAAAAGGCACTTTTATGAGGAAAAAAAATACTTCCTCAGGAAGGATTTCTCTGTGACTAAGCTGCTGGTCACTCCTCTGCACGTGGCACCTGCTGCTGCTCTGCTGGTTAGTTAAATACAAGTCGCAGCTCCAGGATGTGACATCGTCCCCGGAGAGGCTCTGGGATGGAGAGGAGCTAGGTTGTTGGTGCCACCTGCCAGGTCGTGGAGTGGGGAACTGGTTTCCCATCTGAGGTCTCACTTAAGCTTTTCCACTGACACATCCTCAGAAGGCAGAGAGGCATCAGAGAAAAGCAGGTTCACTGCAGACACCGCTCAGACATGGGGGCCCCAGGAACCGAGGCGTCTGGGCAAGGGAGGCCGGGACGACACCCTGCAATGACGGCTACATCCGGTGCCTGGAAAGTCACCATGGCAACGTGCCAGGAGGACGAGGGATGGCTCCCCGCTTCCTGCCAAGTCGGGCACTGAGCAGGAGGAGGACCTGATCTTCTCCGCTGGTGAACACAAACCTCCTGGCAGAGGTCACGGTCCTCAAAGACATAACAAGGCAGGAGCTCCACTGAGTCAGCAGTGAGAGACGGGATCGTGGAAACTGGTCCCCACGTGGAGACGCCTGAGCTTCTGTCTGCAAGGTAACAAGGTCAAGAGTGCCATTCCCAGAGAGCGGGGGGCTGTGAAAACAAGCCTGGTCTCAAGATGTCAACTAGCTCAAAATATCAGTTGGACTCATGGTGGCTGCAGGATGACAGGCCACTGCAGAGGTGAGCAACTGGGATGGTCATGCGCCCTCTCTGCTTTTGTACAAAACTGAGGGTCTGGGGGTAATTATTGCACAACCGGACCGTGTTTGTTCACAAGGCTGGGTTGCCTCACTGGCTGTCAAATCTGTGCAGCCGCTGTCTCCTCATTTCTTCTTCTGGTGAGAGACGGAACCCATAGGCCGGGGGGCTGCTTCTGCGATTTCCTGAAGAGAAAGCATAAGGTAGAATAAAGCACTGCCCTTGTTCTGACATTCACAGGGCTCTGCATCCCAGATCTCAAGGGCGGGGGGAGAAGAGGGCTTGGGTGTTATCTTTAGCACGAAACAAGAGACAGAACAAACATATTTCAACTGCAGCTGTCAATATGACATTGCGACATCAAGTAAACGTTTTTAGTGAGGTCCAGTCCATGAAGCTAGTTTGACTCATTTTGAAACTTCTTGACAATTCTCCCATTTCAATGTTGTTTTTTTTTTCCCCACCATGCTCCATGATTCGCATCATTTAGTTTCCCTAATGTCTCAAGGGCTGAGTTTATCTTTTCTTAATGCCCAGAAATAACTTGGTCGCTGTCTGTAACGTCTTCACTGGCTGTGCTCGTAGGTGCCTCCCGATGAGTCTGAGGGTCTCCCTTTCCCTCCCTCTAACCTGCTGTCTCCTGAACCTCACCAGCCAGTGGGAATCACACCTGTAGACGCACAAGCACCCACAGGGCATCATGGCCCATGGAGCAAAGGCTGTGTTACCATAATGACCAGTGTTGGGGCAGGCAGACAAAAATACAGGCATAGTATGTGAAGATCATATGATGGACCGTGGAAGTCATTACTGAAAAGACCTTCTTGGGGCTTCAAACAGACCAAGAAAATCATTTGCAATGATAGAAGCACTTCAGTTTACTGCATTAAAAAAACAAAGAAAAAACCAATGGAAGATCCAGGCATTGCTGGGGGGGAGGGTAATAAAAGAATAACAACAGACAGTCCTTGATCTCAAGGAACCAGCAACCTAAGTCTAATAAAAGAGCTTTAATGTTTGCGATGAGGCAGCCATGCAGGGTATCACTGATGGATACAGACAAATAGTAGATTCACTTTTCAGCACGTGGACCAAAAAGATTGTACTTTTTCCCTTCTGAGTCTCTGCTAACTCTGTGAGTTCACTTTGAAAGGCCTGCTTCCATCACCTATATCCATCAAAAGTTCTATATGTTACAGCCAGACCATGCCCTCTGAGGTTCCGACACAACTGAAGTTCTGGCCAAGCCAGGAAGGGTAGGTGGTGGGCAAGGGGGCTGGAGCCACGAGGGAAAACAAGTAAACAGGTGATCTCTCCTGCTCACACTGAATGTTGGAGATGTTGACAGGTAATATATTGACGTGGTGACTGTTAAACCTATGATGAAAAGATGACAGAGAAAGCAGTGTGAAACTAACAGTCAGTTTGCTGAGCTACAACTAGAATTTCAGCAATCAGACAGAAATGTCTAAGAAGGCAGTTTTTGGTCCACATTGCGAGAGACCCCAGGACTCACCCATATGTGGTTCTCCTTTCCTTTTGAGACATAAGGGAATTACCCCTCCCAGACCTCTTGTAACATTTTCTGACTAGTCCACCCAAAAGTGAATGGGGTGGGCCAAGCCCGACACTCCGTCCCACTGGGTAAACTCCACTTCGAGGTTTTTTTGATCAGCAAAGTATCCGTGATTTTACCAACGTTCACTGAAGATGATGTTCAAACCCAGAACACTTTTACCATAGAGATTCTATGAAGCCTACAAAAGTTTTACTGGATACAGCTTTCGCTGTATACATTTGTAGAGGGCTTTCTCTCTGTTTAAAGTGGTAAACACTTTGAAATTACAGAGAAACTCATGAATCCAATTACTATTAGTTTACGGCTTCAAATTGCTTTATACAATGAGATCCAAATCCGGCTTCTCCTCTGACAGTTGTTTTTAACAAGGCCATCCTTAATTGCACTCATGAGCACGGGCCAGTATGTGACAGCCCATTCCAGCTGGGCAGGGAACTGGGAGGCCTGGGCTGTGGGCAGAGTCAGAAGCGAGCTCAACGTGGCATGTTGACTCTAGGCCACAGGGCGCGAGCCCACAGATGCTGAAAGATGCTCAGACACCCAAAGGGATTCACAGCGTCCAAGAGAAAAAGCTGTTCTGCAAAGGGAGAAATTAGAGAGGACAGACTGTGAAGGTTCCAGGGGTCCAGCTCTCAAAGTGGGCAGCATGCACCAAAGCTCTCTGGAGCCCCGCTTGGGGCACGAGAGGAGAACCAGGGCTGAGCCAACGGCAGAAATGCCACGTGACCACGTAGAAAACTCACATCAAGAGAGGAACAAATAATTACTCCTTCACGAGAGCCTTTTAAGGTATCCTATTTCAATTAGTTTTTATTTCTAATTTCATGAAGCCAACCTTACAGAGGAGGAAACTGAGGCTCAGGAAGAGTCAGGGACAAACCTAAGGTCACAAAGGGGAAGCAAAACGTGAACCCAGGTGTTCTGCCTGCAGTTCGAGTTCTCCTCCCCTTTCCCGCAATCCCGTGTCACTGTTCCTTCTAACACACCGAGTGTGTTAAGCATCTTTTCATTCTACCTTATCCTCCTGCCCAAACCCAGAGAGTCCCTTTCCTGTATAGATATGTGGGGAGCTCACTATTTGAAAAGAGAAAAAGAAGAACCAGCCTAAGTCCTCAACTTGATGGGACTCTGCTGTCATGACAGATGTGGACACGAAGTTCCCACGCAGAAGTGAAAGTGTTAGTCACTCAGTTGTATCCAACTGTTTGCAACCCCATGGGCTGTAGCATGCCAGGCGTGGAGTCCTCCTGGCAAGAATACTGGAGTGGGTAGCCAGCCATTCCCTTCTCCGGGGGATCTTCCCAACCCAGGTCTCCTGAATTGTAGGCAGATTCTTTACTGTCTGAGCCACCACAAAGTTCCCACACTGGGTCCCCTTAAATTCTACTGACTTCTGGAGTGACTGGGGTTTTTTTAGAATCCCTGGGAAGGCCTTGGGTATAGCAACCACAAAACAACAACGATGGACAATTCCTGACTTGGATGTTCTTATGGATATTTTAAGTCCTTCAAACAGTGTTTCTGATTTATCAAAGCCACCCTATGGTCTGAAGAATGACTTAATCCTTTCATTTCAGGTTTTTGAACTCCATTCTTCTTAATGCTGTTGGTTAATTTTCTTGGAAAGTTTTCAAGTCTAAATTAATTTGTGATATTTTAAAGGCAATTGAGTATTTGATATCAGTCGGCAACCCACCCATCCTATTCATCATCTGTGCTTTGGGTCAGGGCCTCTCAGCTGCTCTGCTCAGTCTCAGCTGAGCTCTGTCTTCCAAATCGGCACTTTTTCATTTGTTTTTTAACCCATTTCTGTATTTTCCTCTTGTGTCACATGATCTATCACTTCTCTCTTTAGATTCCAGAATCCTCTGAAGCTATTTCTGAAAGGGTCTTAAGAAATGTGCTTTTAATATCTACTTACATTGATTACATAGGTACTAAGTCGCTTTAGCCATGTCCGACTCTTTGCGACCCTATGGACTGTAGCCCATCAGGCTCTTCTGTCCATAGGATTCTCCAGGCAAGAACACTGGAGTGGACTTCCAGGCCCTCCTCCAGGGGATCTTCCCAGCCCAAGGATTGAACCCACGTCTCATTATGTCTCCTGCATTGCAGGTAGGTTTTTTACCATTAGCGCCACCTGGAAAGCCTGAGCACATAGGAAAAGATCCCAAAGGGCCTCAGCTGGATGGTAGAAGAAGAGGTCCCTGTGGCTGTACTGGAAATGGGAGATGTTTCCAGCCGTGCATACAGCTGCGGGGGAGACCCCAGGGAAGGCTTCATTCCATGAGGCTCTGTTTGGGTCACTTGTCAGGGGAGGCTGAGGAGCAAGGTGACTACCAGGGTCCTTGCTACAACTCGAGTTTGATGACTGGAATTAAATTGTGCCTCCTCCATGTATGGTTATATATCCTTGAGCAAGTCGGTTACCATCCCTCAGCCTCAGTATTCTTATCTGTAAAATGGGGCTAGTAACAGTACCTCCTCTGTTGGGTTGTTGGAGAGGATAAGGAGAGATGACGCATATACAATGCTGAGTGCCAGGCATGCAGTTAGTGCTTGATGGCCAATGGACGCTGGGACTTTTAACCTCTAACATCAGTGAGAATCACGGGTTAAATGTCTGCTTGTTACTATCATTGACTAAGACAGATACAAAATAAAATTCTCGATGACTTCTTAAAAGATAAGAGCCCAGGACTTCCCTGGTGGTCCAGTGGTTGACAATCTACCTACCAGTGCAGGGGACACAGGCTCGATCCCTGGTCCAGGAAGACCCCACATGGAGGAGCAACCAAGTCTGTGTGCCACAACTATTGAGCCTGTGTTCCTCAACAACAGAAGCCACTGCAATGAGAAGCCCACACGCAGCAACTAAAGAGGAGCCCCTGCTCGCCACAACTAGAGAAAGCCGGTGTGCAGTAGCGCAGACCCAGTGCAGTCAAAAATAAATAAATAAAAAATGTCTTAAAAGATAGAGCCTAATTCTGTTTGAGGAACAACTGGGAGTGTTTTGTACAAAGCGTGGGGTCACTACCTATTAAATATTTGCCCTCCAAGAAACAGATACAAAAAGGGTAATTTGAGACCCCCACTTTTATAACCAGAAGGAGCCTTACAGGCTTTGGGAAAGCTGGAGACCTTCTTTTCTCTGCTGAGTAAAATCATGCATTGAACGTTTACAGACTTGGGTGAAACGGCCTTGCTCTGATGAACTTGGTACACAATATTAGTATTTATGAGCCTTGCTTCTGTGTTCCTGTAAATGGAGGTCAGCCCTCAATTTTACTGAAAGAAAGAGTGAGCATGCTTCAAAGAACCTCAGGAACAGTGCCCGGTTTAAGAAGATTTAGCTCAATTATTGCACCAATGATGAGATCATAAGATTTATTGACTTGTGGTTCTTGATGGAAAATTTTTTCAGTTCTCTACGCTTATGTATAATGCAGTAACCGCTGCATTTTACATCTGAGGGAGGAGAAGCAATTCCATCCACATAAGAATTGCTAAAAAGAATGCCGTGAGTTGATGGCCCTTTTCCCTACTGTTCGCCATCCCTGTAAACAGAGATGCTTAATTTGCTGGTATTCATAGGTGCTGCCATGA